TTATAATGGAGTATCACATAATATAAATTTGTCTAACCAACGTAGCAAATATCAATGACTCTGTAGATGGGATACGATGAGCGTGTATTTTTTTTTTTTAGAAAATATGCACATATTAAAACAAACGGCGATCTAGACTTCAGTTGTCACGGGTAATATGTAACATTTTTTTTAATACATCACAATTACTACCCTACTCTATATCCTAAAGACTATGTAATATGATCTAGAGTTTGTTACTATTCTCAAACAAAAAACAAAGAGAAAACATGATACTTCTTTCGACCAATCAGATTATAGTAGGTATGACCAAATAACTTTTATGCAGCAATCCAGCGGAAAAGCCTTATAGAGAAGAATAAAATAGAAATAAGAAACAAGGAGGGTCATACAAACAAGTATATATGCAAAAGAAAATTTTCAAAATGACAAAATGTTATTTTTAGTCTGTATGTGAGGATAAATAAGAGCAGGATTTCGAATACAATGTCGTTATATGTTGTTTATTAAATATATCAAACTTACTGGCAAGATGTATGTATACTAATATCAGCAAAAGTGGCCAATTGATACTTGGTAATACGATTTACTAATGTTCCTGATATCAACAAACAAGGAACAAGTTAATGTGTTTAGAGTTTAGCGGAGGATGTGACAATTTTAGTAACCCATTTTTTTTTTTGTGCAATCTAACTTCTAATGTAGATTGATAAAATTAAGTGAACCACTTCTTTCTATTTTTTTTTTCTCGTGGTACATACACACAGTACACAAGAGGAATGAAAAAAAGAGGAGGATTAGATGCTATTGGAGAGAAAAAACAAATCATGAGGTAAAAAGGGCTCTTTCCTCTTCCGTGATCCATATTTAACTAAAACCTTGTTGACAAAACCTTTTTTGCTTATCCGGATGAACGATCCGGACGTTAGATTTTTTGGTGTATAATTGTGGTACAATGATATAATTCGGGAATGGCCCACAATAAGTCTTTCTTTTTAGTCTGTGGGTAAAGCAAAGTGATCAATTTTTTTTTTGTTTATATTTTTATTCTATTTATCATGTGAGACAAAGAGCTAGTTGAGAAATAGATGTTGGTTGTTAACATGATTCGAGTTACTGATGGTATATGCCTGCAAATTTTATTTAAAAGAGCGAAACAAGTTGCCCACGTACAGAATCTACAGCATTCTCCCCTTCTATCTTTTTTTTTTTTTTTTTTTTTTTTTTTGGTTTATGCAAGCTGGACGTCAGCCCATTACTTAACATGTAAATTTGAAACGTTTAAGTTTAAATCGTAAACATAAATAATTTTTTTTTACCTCGTCATTGAGATTTCCTTTTTTCTTCTCTTTCTTGTTCAATTATCGGAAAAAAATAAATAATTTATTTCTTTTTTATATATTGCTAGAACACATTTATATAATAAAAGACTCCTAAAAAATTAACATTGTAATATAATAACCACATAAAAGATGACATCAACAGCAGTTAGGTATACTCGATTTACATCTTCAAAAGAAGTTTCAACAGTATTGATGATATTTTTTTTAGAGTTGCATTACGTGTTCGTCCTTTAACACAACGAGAACAACTATCAAATTGTACAGAGTGTATATCATTCATACCCAACCAACCTCAGATTTTAATAGGAAAAGACCATTCCTTTACCTATGATTATATTTTCGATACAAATTCAGCACAGCAGCCTATTTATGATACAAGTGTCGTACCTTTAGTAGAAAAATTTGTTGATGGGTAAAGATAATATTAATATTAATTCTTTCTCCTCTAACGCTTTGTCTTACAACCCAAACAGTTTCAACGCAACTATCCTAGCTTATGGGTATGGCACTTCTACCCCCTCTTTTTTTTTCTTTACTAATCAATGTATATTAAATTAGCCAAACTGGCTCTGGAAAAACGTTTAGCATGGGCACCGCCCTTGATGAGCATACAAATTCAGAAAATCAAGGTAACAGTTTGAACTTTTCTTTTGCCTTTCAAAAATTACTAGTTTTTTATTTATAATAAAATCAAATTGAATAGGTATTGTGCCACGATTCATTCACGATCTATTTAAAAGACTTGCAGCCAAAAAGAGAGCAGGAGCAGCCCACGACTACCAAGTATTAGTCTCATTTTTGGAATTATACAACGAAGATTTGGTCGATCTTTTGAATCACCAGCAAAAGAAAAAAACTGGCCACGCATGCGAAGTTCAGATCCGTGAAGATATTCATGGCCAAATATATTGGAGTGGAGTACGTGAAGAACCATGTTCGAATCCTGACGAATTGCTACGATTCCTTTCGAAAGGGTCATTATGTCGTACAACCGGATCCACAGACATGAATTCCGTCTCATCCAGATCACACGCCATTTTTTCCGTCATTATCAAACAACAGGTTCCAGAGGAAGAGTCCACTACTCCACCAACAACAAACAATAATATTCGCACTATTATTAGTAAATTCCATTTCGTCGATTTGGCTGGTTCAGAGAGAGTAAGTTAATAAATCTTCAATTTGTTTCATTGATTAAACTTTTTAAATGTCTATAGCTTAAGCGTACTAATGCGCAAGGTGATCGGGCTCGAGAGGGTATCTCCATTAATTCAGGACTTCTTGCATTAGGCAACGTTATCAGTGCCTTGGGCGATGACTCTCGTAAATCACTTCATGTACCATATCGAGACTCCAAATTAACAAGACTCTTGCAAGACTCGCTTGGTGGAAATTCCCAAACATTGATGATGGCATGTGTCTCACCTTCTGATTCTAATTTCTTGGAGACACTCAGCACATTAAAATATGCCAACCGAGCTCGTAACATCAAAAATAAAGTGGCAGTTAACCAAGAATTCGCTGGTTCTTCTGTTGAAGTCAATCAATTAAGATCTCAAGTAGCAAGATTAAAATTAGAACTGAATGCCTTGCGTGCTTCCTCATCCGTGGCCTCTAAAGTACCATCTGATATGATGATTCAAAGCATGATTGGTAACGGAAGCCATACAACAAACGCTGCGAAAGTCCTGAAGGATGAAATAGACAGACTGAAGGCACGTGTCCATAGCATGTCCGACGATATCTGTCGCATCACTACCGAGAGAGACTCCCTCATGGTCGAGCGAGAACTGACTCAACATATGGGCTCGGAAGAATGGCCCCATTTACTTGAGCAATTAAACCGAAGACCCTCATTTTTTGAAAATAACCCCACAACTATACCCATGATTGGCCAATACCAAAAGACAATTCAAGATTTGCGCAACGAATTGGTAGATACCCAAGAACGTCTTGCATTTTCTGAGTCGATCCGAGCACCACTTATGCATGCTGCTATGGCAGGAGTTACGACGCCCCAAACATCTTTAAAAACAACTGCAAAACAACAACATTCTTCTACAACCACACGTCGTCGTGCCATTAACAATGTAAAAAAGAGACGCAATGGAAGTACAACTACATCTAGAAATGTTACATTCAGATCAACTAAACGATCCAAAGTTCCCAATATGACCAAGCCTTCCGAATCAACCATGTTCACTAGTAAAGTAGACTATGATGATGATGAAGATATCGCTACATGGTTAAAAGATACTATTGGTACCCCACAGATCTCCGAGTCTTCGGATTTAAGAATCGATGCAAAACACTCTATTTCAAATGCTAAATCTCAAATTGACAAGGCTCTGAAAGTATTAGATGAGTTCAAGGTAACAACAAAAAATATGCTTAATATTTGGTTTTATCTGACATTTTTGATTTTTCTTTTTTAGGCGAAAGAATCCGAGCAGGTATAATGAAAATGTTTTTTTTTTATACTTCAGTTCAGGTACTAACATTGTAACTTTCTTTATAGGTTGAATATGAATGTGATCTTTTAGCTGATGACGAATTATTTATTAAATTACAATCGGAAGATAATGCAAGCCTTTTTGGGGACATAGAAGAAGACCAACGAATTGCTGAAGATGTAAGAAAAGACTTATAGTAATAAACCCCTCAGTATCTAATTGTTACTCTCTATAGTCACTAAAATCAGAATCGCCTGTTGAAATTATCAGAACACCTCGTTCAAGAATGGTCTCTACGGATACCTTTATGGATGATGCCGAACTCGCTGAATTTTATGAAAATAATCCTCATCTTCATCGTATGATTGGACAAATTCAATCCGATATTCAAGTTAATGAAGACCTCGTTATCCAATTAGAAAAGACAGAAGTAGAATATAATCAGATGCGCAAAAAATTCGAAAAGAAACTCTATTCATTACGTGACGAAATATTGACTCTACGCCGCGAACAGGAACAGCAGCAGCAACAGCAACAGCATCAAGTCCAACAGGCCCAACAGGCCCAACAAAATTCTAAACTAAATGTTAAAAGAAGAGATTCCACTGCTAGTATAAATAACATGAACCACATTCGTCAAGCTTATGAAATCAAGATGAAGACTCTCATGGGTCAGTTATCTGACCTGCGTCGCAAATACTCTCAAACCTCAAGTACCATTCAATCTTCACGAAACCAAAACGAGAGTATGTTAAGAGCTCTCCGTGTGAATGTTGAGTCTCTCAAGGTTGAGAAACGTCGCATGATAAAGCGTATGAAAGATGAAGCTGAACGCGTGAAAGAAAAACTCCATACCCATGAACGAGAAATACAAAGTTTGCGCCGTAAACAACTCAAGGATAATGAAAACAAGAAACGCCTCGAGCGTGAAGTGAAGCAAATGCAATTAACCTTACAAAAGAAAACCGACGAATCTGTTGTTACTGCAGAAAAACTGAAGTCGTTGGTTCAGATCTTGAAAAAAGCAGTACGAGAAGGTGGTGTGCTTGATGAGAAACTTTTGGTTAGCTGTGGTTCGCTTTTGGATATGGGCTCTGCCTTAATTCAATCTTCTAACGTGGGGCGCATATCTCGCAATAGACGTAAACACAATCAGCGCAAAAACCGTGTTCCCGTTGAAGTCCGTGCTGCCAAAAAGAAGATGCTTTTAGATAACGCTTTGTATCAATTTATCCAAGGAAAACAGGCGGTTGAAGAGATGAAACAGCTTTTAGCAAAACGAAATGACTTGTCTCAAAGAAAAGTAGAATACATGTCTGAGCGGGAGCTTCTCATTTTAGACGAAGATAGCAAAGATCTTTCCACCATTGACCATGCTTTTAGACAAGTGATTGATGAGAATATTGAAACAGTTGAAGCAGAAATATCTTATCTTAATGCACGTATTCATGCCATTCATAATGATGCCGCTGCTGAAATAATGCAAGATGATGCCCAAGATGATGAAATCGTTGTGGTAGACGCAACCAGGCCCGAAAAGAGGGTTACATTTGCTGATCCCAATCAAGATGAAAAGGAAGAGCCTGAAGATGAATGGCTCGATATGGATGCTCTTGAAGAAAGATATAGCCTCCCAGCAAGCGCTGGTCCTGAGCAGTCCCTTGAAATGGTTTCCAAATTGCTCAAGTCAATGGCAGATGATGAGTCAAGTCACGTCATGGAGTCCGTCATTGATGACATTGTTTTGCTTCGTATGGAAGAACATAACAACAAAATGTCTATCCAACAGCTTGAGAAGTCTACACAAGATTTAAGACGTACTTTAATTGTCATGAAAAAGGCCGCTATCGATACAACTGTAGAGAACGAAAAGAAGCTGAAACGCTTGCAACAACAACAACAACAGCAACAGCAACAACAACAAGGTTCTCGACGAACCTCCCTGTCCAGAGACCGCTCCTATTCCAAATTAAGCAACCATTCTTCTCCTACAATGGAAGATTGCAGTGATGCTGATTCCGCCATCGACTTGTATCAAGAAGAGCAGTACCAGCATGTCGGAACCGTATTTGAAAAAATTTACAATGACGGCATCAACGGTAAGCTCGATTACGGTTTAAATGCAACAGAGGCGCCAGCTACATTAGCCGAAAATGAGCTTAGTCCTTATCTTCGACCTCATACTACTTCTAACGCTGTTTCATCCAACAAGCTTGGTGTCTCCGCACCTATGAAACCATCGACTTCTCCCTTGGCCAATCGTAGAGATTCCATGTCTTCTCCTGAACAATTTTTGCAACAATTACTTCAAACGCCAAAGGATGTACGACAAACTCCTTCCTCACCTTTGATGAAACCTGCCGAGTTTGCCAAATATCAACAAGATCGCGAATCATCTACTTCATCTGTTCGCAGTGTCATTCGTAGAAGATCATCTGTTCAATCTGACACAGGGTCTTGGTCTTCCCTGTATTCCAGCAACCACGGTTTTAGTCAACAAATGATTCGAGCTTCATCCAATAGCAAGCTACCTCCACTTCAACCGGAGCCAGCGAGTACTCCATTGCCACCACCACCTACAGTTTTAAACCGTCGTAGAGCGTTCTCTTTCCAACAGCCGCCCAGTGCTCCTACTCCTCCTTCTACACTGCGTAGACGCTCTCTTCTTCGAGAACTAACTAATTTACCACCCACACAACCAAGTGAATTGTCAACGCCACCTAAATCACCTTTAAATCAACAATGTTTTGATAACAAGAATGATTACTCCACGAATGGAACAACATTGATACCCGCATTTAATAACAGTTCCATCCTGTTACAAAAGCAAAGATCTCAATCTGTTCTAGCTATGCATGCACCACCTGTAAATACCATCCCAAGACCCTCTACAGCTATGAAAAGAATGGATTCTTCACCCAACAACTCTTACGAGCTTAGACGCTCCGCTGCTGCAAATAACGTCTTTGATAGGCTATCTTCGGGTCATACTCATGCTTCTTCTGCGAAATCTGCTAGAAAGCGACCTGGTAACTACCGATACTCATCCAGTAGTATCGATGACTTAAGAAACCAATGGGCCAATGAGTTACAAAAAAATCAGCATCATGATGACATGTAAAAATTATTATCTTTCTTGTGCAAATAAAAATTCCTAAATATGGAGCATTGTTTTTTTGTTCACTTATTCCAGACTTTTTTTTTTTTTTTAGTAGTATATAACTTTTTGTAAACATAATTTTTCTTCTTCTCTTCTATAATTTTTTTATTCACTTTATTTTTTTGTATTTTTAATTCCTAATATCAGGTAAGATAAACAAGTAACATTTTAAAGTCTGTGCATTTTGTAATTAATTTCTTCATGTAGCCAATCATATGAGCTCTGTAACGTCGCTTCGAAGAAAAGATAACATGTGGATATACAAAAATCCACAAGGTTTACAATTATTAAATGACGTATGTATCACTAGACAGTCAGTATAGTACATAGAAAAATATTGAAACTTGTCTATTAGGAGCTCGAGCAAAGAAGAAAGAAAAGGTTTGCCAGAGGACGACCCAACACATCGATGCTGTCACCGCCTCTATCACCACAGCAACACCACAGATCCTTCGGAAAGGATCCGATAGAGGCAATCATACCGATAGCAAAGAAAAACATATCCATAATAAGAAAGGACACACCGGAACCACTGAGCCCGTCAGACACACAGCCACGGTCACCTGTCGAAGCAATACAGGATGCACAAGATAATTTGACGTCACAAAAACTCATGACAGCGAAGAATTTATCGCATCAAGAATCTATCGTCACAGAAGAAAATAAACATATTACCATTAAAAAGGAAGATACCCCGATTACACCACATATGAGATACGAACAGAAGTCAAATGAAGGAAAGAAACAAATAGCCATCAGCAGTACTGTACAGGAAAAGAAAGATGCTTTAAAGCAATGTGTTATGCAGGACAAGCAAATACGAGTGCCACCTTCATCCACTACAGTGGTCTCGCCTATCAGAGTGACTTCGCGCACGAACATCGCTTCTCCTACACAAAGTGAATTATTCGATAGAGCCACTTCACCCACAAAGGGCACTTCGCCTTCAAAAATAACATCTTCAACTAAAATGGCTTCACCAACTAGAGCGGCTTCACCAGCTAGAGCGGCTTCACCAACTAGAGCGGCTTCACCAATTCGAGCAACTCCACCCCCTCCTAAGCGAGTTACTTCATCTATTCGAGTACCTTCACCGACTATAAAAATGTCTTCATCCATTAAAACATCCTCTCAACCCGTACGAGTCCCTTCCGCTTCTAAACCTGAAAACAACTTTCTGCTAGAAGCCAAACAAAAACTTTTTTCTAATCAACAGCCAAAGGCCAATTCTGTACGAAAGTCTCTTCCAGACGCGCCCAAAAGAAGCGGCCTCGTAGTAAGATAGAACGAGCATTATGCCATTAAATCACTAACTAAATTATGTTCTTTATAGTCTTCGTTTATCTCATCGTTTGAAACACCACTAGTCGAGAAATCTGTAATGGACTCACCACCCAAACCACCAAGACATGTTGTGATGCCCTTAACCCCTACAAGCTCTGTTTCCACACCTTTGAGTGTAAGTTAAAACAAGCTCGAAAAGCTGCTCTTTTTATTAATTTTTGATGTTTGTAGCCACCTGCTGTTGAAAATATTGTGCCAGTGTCCTCGTCGTCCACAATGTTGCCGTCATCTGATTCTTATTTCTCAGCTGTGATTGACCGTCGTTTTAATGCAACACCCACCGAAGATCAAGATGAACCTATTCAGGTATATCTCCCTCAACTCTCACCTGAGATATCTTTTTGTGGCAGCTCATTAGACGTGCCTTCCGATGATGAATACCTTCCTCAGGAACGCCCATGCATAAAAAAACGAGTTTCGTTCTCCGAGCAATTGTCAACATTTATTCCAGAGGACGATGCCAGTGTGATCACCGAAGAAGACAGTAATCCCATGAGCAATTTTGTTCGTACGTTAAGTAGCGAATTGGCCGATATCAGTATGCAATATGGTGGAGATCCCCGCGAAAAATTCTTACCGGCTATCCAAAAGAAAGAGGTCAGCCCACAAAAATTATCCAACAAATTGCTGGATATGTTTCAAAAAAAGCCAAAGGTGATTCTACAGCCTAATAGAGAATTGACACATGTGAGTATTTCTGTCATTGTTTTGCAAACCAAAAAATAGCACTAATTTCTTTTCTTCCTAGCCAACAAAAACTCGACCCAGAAAACCAGCAAGTTTAAAAAAGCCTACAACATTAACATATCCTGCAGCCATTGCACAACCTGACTGGAGAACAAGAGCGCTTCTTACCAAGAAATCATCTGTATTTATATAAATTATCCCTCCCCCACATGCACCCATAAATAAAAACCAGTTTTTGTGTATTTGTCGTATGTCCTTTTTGTTTTTATTTACAGAAATATCCTCTTTAGTTCTCCTTGGGAGTGACGTCTTGAACGCCAGGAAGGGCAGCAGGTAAAGGAACGTCACTGAAATCATCCTGCTTAACAGCATAAAGAGAATATCCATCTGTGCGAGACATTAGTAAGCCATGCGTTGTTTGATAAGTTTGTTACTTACAAACACTGCCAGTGAAGGTCAAGAGACCGACTAAAGTAATCATGTTACGGAGAGCAAAAGGTGCACGGGTTCTTTGCAAGGCAGGACTGAAGCCATAACCCTTTGATGTAGAATAAAGTTTTTCACGAGTAGGTTGATGTTCCATGTTAAAATATTGTAAATCAAGAAAGAAAGAAAAAAAAAAACTGGCCCTTGCTAAATGCATTTATGGTTATCAAAAAAAAAAGAGCGCTTTCTTGTGACTCGTGTATTTTTTTTTTTTTTTTTTTTTTTTTGTCAAGGCACGTTATAATTACAGATACGCGTTTTTACACCTTTGTCATTTATTTAAATCATGTCTTTTTCATTTGGAGCACAAACCGCTAGTACAGGGTTTGGAGGTGGTTTCGGACAAACCGCCACATCAACAGCATTCGGACAACCTGCCACCTCTACACCTTTCGGACAACCCGCAACCTCTACCCCATTTGGACAAACAGCAACACCTTTTGGGCAAACCGCGACCTCTACACCTTTTGGACAACCTGCAACCTCTACAGGCTTTTCCTTTGGAGCACCTGCTGCTAATAATGCTACTTCAGCTGCTCCTAGTACAGGATTTTCATTTGGAGCGCCTGCCACCACTACAGCGGCACCCACCACAGGCTTCTCATTTGGAGCTTCTGCTCCTGCTACATCAGCAGCACCCACCACAGGCTTCTCATTTGGAGCATCCAATACTACTACAACTTCTGCACCCACTTCAGGCTTCTCTTTTGGAGCACCCACAGGCTCTTTATTTGGCTCTAAACCATCTGCATTCGGCTTAAATTCCACCCCAACAAACAACAATTTATTTGGAGCTAACAAGGATGGACAACAACAACAACAACAACAACAACAACAAAGGGATCAACAAATTTACCAATTATTAGCTCAAGCCGATGCCGAAGCAAGGAAGGCATCTGTGTTATCAATTACCAGTGCTGATTATAAACCAGAGAATGTTTGGCATGCTTTAGCATTGTTAAAATCTTGGTGGGATCCCAAATCACCTAACTGTCGATTTAAACATTACTTTTATAACGTGGTTCCTGCTCAAGAGGTTCATTTATATCAAAAACCTGTTGATCACGACCAAGCCGCATGGGATGCTGCACAAGCTGCTAATCCTGACCCTAAAACGTAAGAAATGAGCACACCTTTTTTATTGAGTCATTTTGCCTAAAAAAAAAAAAAAAAAAAAATCATGTAGTATGGTGCCTGCTCTTGCTATTGGCTTTGACGACGTACAAAAGAGAATGGATCAACAACAAAGATTAAGTGAAGCTCACAGCGAAAAGTTACTCCAGATTCAAGAAATATTGAAAAAAATTCATTTAAAAGACATGCTAGAGACGGCTACTAAAGTGGCTGAATACAAACGTAGACATATGGAAGCTGCACAAAGAGTGATCAAGGTAAAGTGTGTGGGATGATTTTTTTTTTGTTTTTAATTTTTTGCTGCTATTGTGATGACTTATTTCCTCCAGTAGTTTTTAAAATATGCTCAAGTATTGCGTAATAAAGGCTTATCTATCACACCTGATGAAGAAGTAATGCGTGCACGATTCGAGAATATCAAAGACCAATTACAAAGATCCGAACAATTCCATGGTAAACTGAGTCAGTTATGGGCCCAGTTACAGCTCATTAAAGAATCAGGGCGAAAGTATGGTAAAATCGACGGGGTTGATGAATGGTATGCTGTTAGTGAGAATGACATGCGTGGTATCACAAAGGTAAACACACACACACACATTTTTTTTTCTATTTGATTTCGACATGGAAATGATAACTAAACTATCCCCTCCGATGTATGTAGATTTTAGAAGAACAGGATAACGGTGTACAACATATTATTGAAGTTATTAACAAAGATACAAAGGACATTGACATGATCCGTAAAGGATGGAGAGGTGATAACCAACAAAACTATTACTAAATAATAATAATAATAAAAAAAAAGAAATATTTTATTATATATACAAATATATTTAAAACAATGAGGGACCTTTTCTAAGGTTTATAAGTATCGCCAAAGTCATTATGAGTGCAAAACGTATCCATTTCCAGCTTGATGAGACAATATTTGTAAGCGCTTTTTTCACAAAGCAAGTGCGACGTGTTTGAAAGAAGCATTTCGGTTGTGTTTGTTGGTGGTGAACGGGGTGCATTGTATCCAATAAGTGTATTATGTCTTGGCGAAAGCCACCATCGTCTGAGTCTGATGCAAGGTCATTTAAAAAGCTCAAGGTATCATCTAATGCATTTCTTGTATCCAATGCACTTCTTGTACTTAGCAGAGAGGTTGTACCATCATTATTTATCACACCATTATTATAGTCTGACTGACTATTATTGTCATGGATGGAGTGTAACACAAGTAAGCCATTTCTTCCGTTATCCGACGGTTCCTTGGTATAATAGTTTTCATCTATGGTTACAATAGGAACATGACAAATTCTTTCTTGCTGTTTTGAATGTCTTCTTCTTCTCATGGGTTGATGCCCGAGACTAGCAAAGTAATCCTTTTCGTCTTCATCTGATGTTGAACGTAAGGATAAAATGGAAGAAATTGTTGAAGAAAAGGAAGAGAGTGAAGAAGAAAACTTTGTTTTATTCTCTTCTACTTTTTTGTCATTGCTATTGACAATGCTATGTAATTTTAATTTATGATTTTCAAGCCTCTTTTCAAAATGGTCCAAGTGGTTTGTATTCATTGATTTCAAAGAAATTGATGTTTCCAGTTTGATAATATCTAGCTTGCTTTGTAACTCTACAATTTGAGACATGAGCGTTTCGTATTTGCTCTCGAGTAGCTTTTGTCGTAATCGATCTGTGGCCGCCTGTATTAATTTATCTCTTTTCTGCTGCTCTTCTTCGTCAATAATACTACTGGCTGTACTACGAATGTAATGTACATTGGATTGCTGAATACATAGATAATCTACTGGATTCTGATATTGATCGTTATAACCTATCTTTACAGCTGACATTGTATGTGATCTATTCGGTTGAAAAGTAAAAAACAAAAAAAAAAAATAGAGAAAGAGAAAGGAAAGAGAAAAAAGAAAAACAAAAGATTTTATTGAAACAGAAAAACTTGATGAAACGCGATTGTACAGTTTAATCCGAACCCAGATATAGTTTTTGGCAAAATGTTGATTCAAAGCATATGAAAATTGGGTGGACCAAACATGGGGCTATCATGACAGTCAGGCCGGAATTCAGTCACCGCTTTTGATTGGACAATGCTTTTCCGGGTACAAATCTAACTGCATTTAAACAGGCATGTCCAACTTCACTTGTTCCGAATTTTCCACAACTTATAATGCTCTCAGCTCCACCTTGTAGACATACAATATTACCAATCAATCAATCCAGATTTGTAGTTGCAGTCCATACTTATCTAGGTCACCAAAATCTGCGACAGTAAGATAGTAAGTGATACTATTTAGGAATAAATTTAAATAACACACCATTGCAGTAAAATTAGTATGTACGTGTTAATTTTTAAGCTTGCAATGATATATGATAGTGTTCTAGAAGCGACATGCTAATTACTCGTGAAGACTGCATTGTCACCACACCAATTAGATACAACAGAAGCTACAGGCCTAGCATATTTGTTAATATATTTGAGCAAGGGGCTGGTTATGTCAACTGTATATCTGTAAAGTCAGTTAATTGTTGATTGTTGTTACTTTAATAGCCGATGCTTATAGGTATATGTTTTGGTGTTTGTTCATTATGCTTTTTTTGGTTAAATTATAGATATGTCACACGGCTTTTCAAAGGTATTAGACTTTTTCATTACTTTTATAGTCTTTTCTATGCTCCATCAACTCAATCCAAAATACTGGGCTTATTGACTTGTCCTCTTCTACTAGGATCTGGACTTGTATTCTGATGTTTATATTAAAAACCGAGCTTTGGGGTTTTAATGTACAAAAAACTGCGGGTCATCGGGGTGGCCACTACCATCTTGTTTAGCCTGTTACCGGTATAAGATAATTACAGCTTCCTTTTCTGAGGTCCTAATTTTTTAGACAAATTTTGAAGATTGGCCCTTAATCCTTGAACTGTTTTATCAAGATTGACGATGGAGGGTTTAAAAAAGGGAGATTACTAGAGCGTGTTTTCAGCATTATGGTCCAACCATTCATACAAAAAGACTCAACTCAACGTGCAATTTCTCCGTTTTTATCTTAAAATAATTGCCTATCGTGTTTTTACGACAATGAATATGCTACGTCCGAAAGTTCAATCATGCAAACTTGAGCAACATTCAAAACGCGAATCGGCCAATGAAATCATCAAAATCACGAAATTAAAATGCAAAGGCGAACCCCCTAATAAATCACATTTGACGTTACTTGGTCTTAACCCTGCATGTATCAAGGGATACTTAAAGCGAAATAAACCATTATGGATTTTGGATACGCATTTAAAAAGGTTCAATGTGAGTTAAAATGCGTTTTATTTCTGATGTTAAATAGACCACATTTTAATGACATTATCGCTACCTGCACTTGCCAATACGTCATTGTGAAAGCATATGGAGTTGACGCGATTTCTATGACCTGATAATGATGTATGTTGAAATGACGTGCGATTATAAATCTAGATTAAAAAGTGAGGTGGTTCAACATCTCATATTTGACTAAATGCGAAGGAAAAAAGTAAACTTACATCGATTGTATTGCTTGTTCCTGAACTAATAATCTTTCCAGAATTAAACTGTAAACTTGAAACGGGTGTTGTATATGTGAGTGTATCAAAAACAGAACCTGTACGAAGATCCCAGATCTAGAGATGGGTTTAGTAAAAACATCTATAGCTTGTATTCCATCTTTGCTTACCCTAATTGTTTTATCTAAACTACCGCTCACCAAGTGGACCTCATCAAATTGCAAGCACGTGATGGGAGCATTATGACCAGGTAAGGTACGGTGTGCTTGTCCTGTTCTCACTTATATTTAAGTTAGCTAATGATGAAACTATATATATATATATATATAAAAGAAGGTATAGTGTACTTACAGTCCCACATTCTGATCTTTCCGTCTGATGTACCACTTGCTAAAGCAGAATCCCAAAACTGTAAAGCGCCCACAAAATCATGGGAGGCGTAACCATATCCAGAGGAGGCGTTATCTAACCATGAGTCCACAATGTTTTTACTATTTCCACTTGCCCATAATACATCCAAAGTTAAAATGCATTCTTGGGTTTCCAGATCCCACTGCTTTATCGTTTTATCACCAGAGCCAGACACTACCGAGTTTCTATCAGCAAAAATTGCAGTAACTTCACTTTGATGTCCTTCTAACGTGAATGTTTCGTTGATTAAACCGCTGTCAACAGCGGTCAGACTAGGGGAGCTAGGAGCACTGGAGAATACAGAGAATGAACTGATGGAAGATGATGATGCCTCTATTAAAGACAGGTCCCATTGTTTGATGGTGCCATCATCTGATCCAGTAAGAAGACGTGCTTCATCTAATTGTAAGCACCTCACTAGGCCTTGATGACCTTCTAGGGTGCCTAAGCATTTGTTACGGTACAGATCCCACGCTCTTACGGTACCATCCATGGATGAAGATACCATCATACCCTTTGGATGATTAAAGTCAACACAAATCACATCATCAGTATGGCCTTCAAGTGTTTTAAAACAGGTGCCTGATTCGTAATCCTCTTCGTCTGCTGAATCCACATCTGACTTTGATCGTCTATGACCTCCATCCACACTTTCGCCTTCCTCAATATCCAGAATTGCTTCGTTTAGATCGTCGACTATTTGAATCAAGGCATACATGAATATTTTTGTTCTGTATTAATAAAGAAGGAAGATATAACTTACTTATTAATTGTAACTGTATATCTTTGGATTCCAACTTTTCCCATTTTTCTTCTAATGCTTTTCGATTGTCTAATAACTGATTTATTTGTAGATTGATCTGGTCGATTTCATTGGCTGTAGAAGACTATATATATTTTCCCCTATTTCATTACTATTGTGTGCCATGAATCCTAGGGGGAAATAGTTTATATGATTTACCTTTTGCATACTAATTTTATCGCAATCTCTTGCTCTTTTCTCTCTTTCGGATATGATTTGTGTTAGGGATCTTGGTAGATCTATTTGTGCAGATGTGTCAAAAAAAAAAATAAGGTAACCGTCAGTTTTTTTTGAAAATTTACCTTTTCGGTTAGGATTGTTTGATTTTTTTTTTCTCTGCTTTGGTTTTCTGGAAGAAGAAGGCTTTGTGGGTTTGGCAAGAGAAGGATATGCAGAAGCAAAACCTTGAAATAAAGAAACAGACGAAGGTTCGGGTATATCAGCTTGAAGCAAAACTGTGCTGGATGGCCAAGCATACATTTTACCATGTAGTACGAGATCAGTTCTTGATGTGGAAATCATACTGGATGAAGGATTGTTTGTGTTTTGTCTAGTTTGTTGCTGTTGCATTAACTGCAAGGCTTTCACCATGGACTCGGACCGATACACAGGATGAGCCGCAAGCGGACTAAACATGACGGTAGAGAGGGAGTCTAGATGAGGAAAAGTGGTCCATTCCGAAGAAGGCGTGAGCCATTCTCGGGCAGAATGAACCACGCTATTTGCTTTATCTCTAGCAGCAGAAACAACAGCTTGTGTTTTCGCTGTATATCTATTCTCGGCTGCAGTAGGCTTTGGTACGGTACGTACTTCTGATCTTTTTCGAACTATAGGTGGTTTGGTATCTGGCATAATCTATATTAATAAATAAATAATTTTTTTTTAATGAAAAGGTAATCCCCCTTCCCGCGCTCTATAAATATGTAATAGCGAGAATTACCAAACACAGTGACGTCAGCTTTATGCTCAATTTACTTATATACCCGAATTTTTGAGCGGTTTTTAAAAGTAGAGGACCGCTTTGCTTTTGATTTTTAGACAGAGCGTTTATTATTAACTTTTTTTTTGTTATCTTTGTATAGTAAAATTAGAATTGGAAGGAATGTTTGTAGAATTTATACGAGAGAGAAACCAGTGATTGAAGCCGTTAATTCTTCGAGCTCAGTTTCGGTCAAAGTATATTACTGGCGCTTAAGTTTATGGATGTTGGAAAGCAGAGTGTCAAAATCTATTGAAGAATTGCTTGGAGCGGTGAGAGGAGCTTGTTCAGTTGGAGTAAGAAGAGCTGAGCTATCAGGCGAGCTTTGGGGAATGGTTGAGAAAGTGAGATCGAAAGAAACTATTCAATTTAAGGTTGGTAAAGAAATGAAGCCGTAAAGAATTCAATAGTATTTATCTTTACCTTCAAATACAGACAACCAAGACATATCACACTTCAACAAATACATGTGTTTGCATGGGATATTGTCAAGGCGGAAGTCAGGGCAGCTGCAAGTGATCATTTGTAGATTGTCCACCACAACATCATAACTTACACAAGAAGTTGAGAAAGAAGAAATATCATAACCACTTCTACCAGCAGAATCATTTCTCGCAGTTTCGATGCCATACAGTGTTCGTTACTATATTTCAAGAGTATTTACTTTGGCTTAAGATATCGGGTTCTTTTTTTTTTAATATAGAATATCTCTTAATAAATCCATAAAAATATGACACTTCAAAAATAAAAAAAACAAGAGGGGAACAGGCTACAGATTTTTGATGGGCAAAGTAACCATGGAGCTTCTAAACCGGTTTTTGAAGCTGATGACTACATTTATTCTCGCGTTAGAACAAACGCCATCTAATTTTTAGGTCTTTTGGATGAGCCTTTGGTCCCCAAATAAACTTGAGTGTCCAATAAAAACTTTACATGTGCCACTTACTCCCGGTCAATCTCTCACTTAATTTGTAAGAGTTTTCGATTTTCAGACAGCTTCTTTATTTCAAGCCGAAAATCACCCACTTAATCTGTAAGATATTTCGATTTTCAGTCAAAATTCACAGTCTCATGTTTACGTTATCCTACAATTATATGATACCATTAGTAAGAACCTGGAAGCTTAAGACAGAGAGTTTTTTCTTCTACAAACAAAAACTAAATATAACTTAAAACCTAAAACCTGAATTGATCCTGATAGTGATATATTTACAAACACCTCCTTTAGAGCCATGTAAAACATACACATCAAATCAAAATCATAAACCTGGTTCCCACCATCACAAGGTAGAAAAACTATTTATCTCAACTTGTCGTCGAAACCCCTTATTATACAAAATGACGTCTCTAACAACATTTGATTTGATATATTATTATTTTTCAACTTATAAAAAAGCCTCTTGAGATTTTTTTTTTCTTTCTTTATTCCTTTGTTCACCAAAAGAAAGGGGAAAAGAAGACGGAAGTATTGTAAAAATAAGCAAGTATAAATGATACTTAATCTATTTTATTTAATTTTGTAGACAAAATACGTATCAAAATGTGGTTGTTTACTTTTGAGCTGATCGTGCTGACCTTTGGTTATCTTTTCCTTTTGTACTGCCCAATTTTTTCCTCATGAAAGGTTTTTTTTAATGGAGGCAAAAGGTTTTTACTGATGCCGGGGTTGGTACCAATACAAGATTTATCTATCGGAGGAAGAAGGCAGTCTAGAATTTGGTTTCCGTTACAAACAGTGTCTTACACTGCCACAGGTATGATAATTTTTATATATTTTCTATGCAAAAAGTCAGTCTTACAATTTATTTTATCATTTTAAAGCATTACTTCATGATGTATAGCCTATTGGAGCTGTTCCCCCAGTGTCCAGTGGGTGTTATCTGATTAATTGGTAAGTGATATAACTTTTTTCTCTATCACATCTGTTTATGTTCATACTAACGCGAAATTTGTATTACAGCTAGCTCAAGACGATGCAAATTACAAGGAAACTTAGAAATGTTTCTATAGCCGCGGTTTCAACACTGTTCGGTCTTTTGTATCTCTACCAAGTAAGGTCATTCCGCATGTAAAAGCCAAAGGAAAACTCTGACGTCATTCTTTTTTTATTCGGGTATATAAGGAGATGCTTTATGCTGGATCGAATTTTTTAGCAGTTTTTAAAAGTAGAGGGCTTCTTTACTATTGATTTTTAGGCAGAGGGAACGAGACACGCGTTTATTATTAAATTTTTTTTTTGTTATCTTTGGAAGGAATGTTTATAGAATTTATACGAGAGAGAACCCAGTGATTAAAGCCGGCCAATTCTTTGAGCTCAGTTTCATTCAAAGTATAGTGCTGGCGTTTAAGTTTATAAATGTTAGAAAGCAGAGTGTCAAATTCTGTTGAAGAATCACTTGGGGGAGATGGAAGGAGCTTGTCCATTTGAAGTAAGAAGGTCTGAGCTATCAGGCGAGATCTGGGGAATGTTTGAGAAAGTGGCGTTGAAAGAAATTATTCAATTTTAGGTTAGTAAAAAAAAATGAAGCCGTAAAAATTTCAATAGTATGTATGCGTAAATTCAAATACAGAAAACAAAGACATATCACGCTTTAACAAATACATGTGTTTATATACAGCATTATTAAAATGGAAGTCAGGGTATCTGCAAGTGATCATTTTGAAATCGCCCACCACAACGTTATAATTTACACCAGAAGTCGAGAAGAAGAAACAACATATACAATTCTACCATCAGAATCAGTTATCGCAGTTTCGATCATTTGTTCAAAAGCATCAGCACTGATGGCATCTGCTTGCATCTCTCTTGTGCGATGTCTTCTTTCTTCCGGACCCATCCTTCCAACTTTCAAAAAGATACGATTGATGTTGTTACCTTACTCAGGCAGAGCATCCTTCACTTAAACAAACACCGGTCGATCAACTCTTCTATTTCTTTTTCTGCCAAGATATTCCGTCTTCAATTGGTTGTGCCAACTCTCACATAATTAGTTGTCTCCATGTTGGTGTAAACTTGCGGTTGATATGCGGCGAACCATTGCATAAAGGCATCGTTTTCCAGGTACCGGCTTTTAAAGTACTGCAAAAAATCGCGATACACAGAGTATTCGGTAATAAATGTCGTCAGTTTTCTCTTGAAGACAGGTCTATCATGTTCCCACATCAGTGCCTTCAGATCCGCGATGATCTTGCCCTGGACGATGTTGTTGTGGTGGGTATCACCAGGCTTGACTAATTGGCGAATCTTTCCTGTCCAAGCTCTTGCCACGCGGAACAAGCACCATTGTATCCAACTCGGTACTAATGACATCGATGGTATTCTTCTCGATGTTCAAGATCTCAACAGTATTCCTCAAGAACCGTAAGAAGTTGGCCAATAGACCCATTGATTGATCGATTGTGAAAAAGAAAGCAACAGAACAACCAGTGCCGGACAAGGGTTGGCGCGTGACAATTGTGTACAGGATTCCGCTGAAAAAACTGGTAGTGTTGTGGGTAGTGTCAAGACATACCCTACGAGCTTGCAGTAACAATCGATGGACTATATGGCAAACAGACGACCTTCAAAGTAACTGGGCATTTGATCTTCTTGCTTCTCTTCTGCAAACCGCGTACCTGGCCGGAAGCACCATCTCGGACAACACCAGAATGGTATCTTTTGAAGTTTAAACAATGATATACATAGTATTTTCTGAAGGCATAGGTTGACTGTCTTTGTCTACCATATAAGTATCATTTTACACCATGTTTGGAAACAGATTCTTGATCTCAGTTTTGTATGTCTCGATAGTAGTTGTTATAGTAACAGGAATAAGACAATAAGGTTAGTCGTTTATTGACATTTTATACAAATAATAGGAAAGGTAAGTTAAAAAAGGAGAAATCAGCTAGACTTGCAGGAAAAAGGAAATTTTATAAATTCTGTTATTGGGCACGATTGGGTTTTAAATCATGTACATCATAATGCAATAAAAAATATATCCATTATATTAATCAAAACTTTGCTTTTAAAAGTTAATAACATTAAAGGCTTATATCGTACCAATTTAAATTATAGATGTCATACAGTGTTTTTACTACATTTCAAGAGTATTTACTTTGACTTAAGATATCAGGGTTCCTTTTTTTTTATCAATATGGAAGTATGTGCCTTGTAACTTCTAAAGTCGCTCCTCAACTGTCAAAACGTGGTTGTTTACTTTTGAGCCGATCGTGCTGATCTTTGGTTATCTTTTTTGCACTGTCCAACTTTTTCCTCATGAAAGGTTCTTTTTAATAGAGGCAAAAAGTTATTACTGATGCCAGGGTTGGTACCAATACAGCATTTATCTATCCAAGGAAGAAGGCAGTCTAGAATTTGGTTTTGGTTACAAATAGTGTCTTGTATTGCCACATGTATGATAACTTTATATACTTTATATGCAGTCTATTCGTAAAAAGTAATATATCATAATGTTTTGCTCATTGAAACTGTTCCCCCAGTGTCCAGTGGGGGTTATCTCTGATTAATTGGTACGTGATATAATTTTTTCTCTATCGTATCTGTATATGTTCATACTGACGCGAAATTTTTATTAATGCTAAATAAAAACGATGTAAATGACAAGGAAACTTAGAAATGTTTCCATGGCCACGGTTTCTACACTGTTTGGTCCAAGTAAGGTCATTTCTAATGAAAGAGCCAAAGGAAAATTCTGACGTCATTCTTTTTTTATTCGGGTATTTAAGGAGATGCTGGATGTCATGTGAACAGTAAATAAAAACAGAAAAAACAGCAGCACATACAGTTTTACAATTGTTTATTTATTTTTATGTCTGATGTACAAACAATAAGATCAGATATCTTCTTTTGTTGATATTTTCTTTTTCGCTTGTTCATTTAATTCTAGTTCTTCGTTCCAATCAGGTTTTCTCATAAATTGTCTAAATGTATCAGCAATCATCAAGGCATCTGTAGAAGATAGTATGCTACTCGATTGATTGGCTTCACTATGTAAACCCAGTGGTTGTTGCAAAGGTTTTTCTGATGTAGTGATAAACGAAATTTCATCATGTCTTGGTGAAAGTGATCTTGGCGACCATAACTGTTGTGTAGATGAATGAATCGAAGCGATATCTCGGTTGTCTCCTACCAAAAGAAAAAGTATGTTAACATATTAAAACAAACAAACATGCTTTTGAACAATTACCTTTTGCAGCAACTGCTGCAGTTGTGACACTTGTTGCAATAGCCACGTTCGACTCGTTTTTATTAGGAGTTAATACAGGTATTTTTTCATCATCTGCACCCATATTTTTTGCGGTGGCACCATTTAACTGCTTCTTGTTCTTGTAACGTTTATATGCCCATATCAAGGCAGCCAACGTCAAAAAGAATAAGACAATGACAATGACAATGACAGCAATAGCCCAGCCAGCTAATTTTTTACTTGAAGATGGTATATTTGATTCGTTAGACTCTGTGTTGGTTGGGCTAGACCTTGTTGTGTCGGTTGGAGTCGAGGTCGTGTTAGTGGTGGTGGTGTTACGAGAATTTTCTAAGAGGAGAATTGTTTAAAATAGAATTAAATTTAGTTAAATAAGGTATATATATAAAATCTTACGAATTAAAGTAAAAGGTTGTGGAGCAGGAAAGAAGTTATGTTCTGTTGGTATTAAATCAAGGTCAGTTTGAAGATCAAGATCAGCACCAACAATATACATGTACATTGTTAGAGGTCTATCGCCTGAATTATCAGCTAAGGATGTCGGGTACCAAGAGTCGTCGATATGTTGTACAATAATTCCTTTGGATTTCTCTAATTTGGCCCACTTTTTTACTGTTTCGTATTCGTCCGAAGATGAGTTACGAGAAAGCAAATATAAATCCAGTTCCGTCTAATCATCAAAAGTTAGTAAAGAATAAATAAATCTCTAAGCTTGATCTTACGTATTGAGTGAATACTGGATTACTGTTGTTGGAAGCATTGTATCAGTAATATAAAATAATAATTTTAAAAAGAGCCTTTTTACTTGTATTTCCACGTTATTGCTTGATCAGTATCGTTGTACCATATAGAAGTATCAAAAGGTGAACATATAGAGACTGTATTGTTTTGTTCACCGCAAGTCCTTGAGGCAATCGCTATGGTGATAAAAAAATATGATTAAAAAATTTATATTAAAACAAGTAGAAAATAGAAAAAAAAAATACCTTGTCTTTTATTCAACAAGTTAAAAGAGGCAAAAGTTCCTTTTATTAATAAAAAACATGTACAGAAATAAAAAGGTAAAATAAACATCTAATATATATGAAAGAGAAAGAAAGAAAAATATAAAAAAAAGAGGGGAAATAAAAAAAAAAAAAGATTGGGTCCCCCCCCCCCCCTCCTTCTTATTATGGCTGGGAGCAAATTTTGGATTGGGTGGGTTTCTTCTTTATACACTGAGTATAAAACCCCTTCCTCTCTGTACCACCCCTCTTTCCCCCCAACCACCATCCCTTTTTCCCCTGATAGAAATGGATGCCTACCTTCAACTAAACAACGTCTCTCTCGTACATTCAAATGATAGTACCAAGGGAAGATTGATACAGTCAGACACACTATTTAAAAAAGGCTCAGTCATCATTACCTCACAACCACTCGGCACAGCTACTTTGCCTCAACATATCAATGAAAACTGCAACTATTGTTTCAGAAAGCAAACCTCTCCTCCACTCCAACGCTGCTCACAATGCAAGAAAGCTTATTTCTGCGACATGGCTTGCTTTCAAAACGCTTGGTTAAGTTACCATCAATTCATTTGTGGTAAACACCATGCGAAAAAGGACACGCCCGCCAATGATGATCTCGACCTGGAAATGCTCGAAAAGGTTGCCCTGAACGTTGTCCGATATAGAAAAAGAACAACTGCAGAACAACCACCAAAAGATAAGAACGATGAAACAGTTAATGTCACCATGAATACCTTCTTTAGTCTCATGGGTCATGATGATGCTCAACCAAAACACGTCAAGGAAAAATACAAGGCTTTAGCAAAGGAAGCATTAAATAAACCTTTCCTTCAACAATCAGGCTTAACTGTGGACGAACTAGTTCATTATTTAAACGTGTTCAAATCAAATAACTTTGCTATTGACGATAAAGATATGTTCCCTATTGGTGAGGGTACATACCCCATAGCAGCCTTGTTCAACCATTCGTGCCGCCCCAATGCGGTAGTCATGTTTGACGGCGCCTATGCTTCAATTCGCGCTATAGAAGATATTCAACCGGGAAAAGAAATCACCATATCCTATGTAGATGCTGCTCATTCAAGATCCTATCGTCAAAAGGTTTTGTATGACAAATATTTTTTCCACTGCCAATGTGATCGGTGTGGTGGGAATAGCGGTGACAAACAGTATTTGTGTTTGATTGATACATTATTAGGAGAGGAAGAAAACGATTGGGACAGAGCCCAAGAATTATTAAACAAGCAAGATAAATGTCAACGTATTCTAGATGAAGTAAAAGCTTGGGATTTATTAGCCATGTGTAAACAATATGATCGAAAGAGTGATGGATATCCTGACCCCAAACAACCATTGACTATCGCCAACTATACGCATTACTTTATACAATTCTTTGCGCCCTATTTACTGACTTGGGATCAGGATCAATTGCACCAGCAACATGTCGGCTCTACTCTAAAGTCTTCTTTGAATGACTTTGATGATCCATTACCTGCTTTAGCTAAACCTGCAGTACAAGCAACATATGATCTCATCATGAAGACTGCCATTGATAAAATACTCTCTTACCCTACCGACTCCAAAACAATTATTCCCTATAGATTAACTACATTATCTACATGTACCCGATTATTTTACGATGAAATGGCAGAGGGGCATTGGGAGAATGCGGTGAAGCTCGGTATGTACGTGTTGATCCAGTACTGTTTAATTTACCCACCCTATCACCCAATGTTGGCACAACACTTTTTAATGCTTGCCAAAGCCTGCTGGAACTCTATTATCCAGTCTGAATTGCTAAATGTCGGATTAGAAAAAGTATATGAAAGAGGTGTGAGAAGATGGATCGTGTCTTCTAAAGAGACAATTGCAGTCGCATTTGGAAAAAATAGCAGTTTATGGAGAGAAACATTGGAGTTGGAATGGATCTTTTTACGGGAACAAAAATTGAAATAAAGAGAATTTTTTGTTTTTTATTATTGTTATTATTTGACATCGCAGACTACTTTAGGTTTGTATCTTCTAACAATCTGAAATACTGTCCCAATACATAGGCAGATGGCCCATATCACAAGCAACATATAGTAAAAGCTTAAAAGGCTTTTCAAAGGTAATGTCAAAAACCAGTCGTCGATTTGGATATGTTTATCTATAGATGCCTGCATTTTTGGGCCGAGGATCAATTCATTTATTTGAGGAACGCTGATCCGACCCATCTTGATAAAAGCATGGTCAACCTTAAAAAGATGGGGGGGGGAGTTTTTTTTTTTGTTAGTGGAATGAAAATTTTAAACACTAGTTTTGATTTTACTTACAATCCAGGTTAAGCCCTGTTCTATATTCTCGATTTTAGTCAAGAGTAGACATTGAATTAAATCTTTTGCAGGAGCTTCTAGTAGTGTACCACCCAAGACAGTTACGACCAACTCCCTTACTTGGTCTACCACGTTTGTCAAAGTCTCATTTATAGTAATAGCCGTACTTTTAATCACACCAAACGCCTGATTGTTTAAATCAAATTCCGTCTCATTAATCCAATAATTTATATTATTATATTGCAAGGCAGCCGTGTGTGTCCATTGAGACGAGGCATCCATCGACCACGTCTGGGCCTGATTAGTAAAATCTTGATAAAGTTGTTGGCTTTTCATTTCTAACACCCAGACTAGACTAAAAGTGGTAATTACACCGACGATTCCGACCACAAGACAATACAACGCGATAGGATGGCTCATGAAATGCAACAGACGGTAGACAGGATGGCTTTTCTCGTGCCAAGAAATGAACGTATCTGCCGAGGTGTATGCCTGTAACATTTTTTCACATTCTTGAGGGGTCGTTGGTGTGGTTCGCAACAATCGTACAATCATTGCGCGTGCTTGTGTAACACGGTGATGTCGGGAACGAATCACAAACATATTGGACAGGATGCAAAAGAACATGATGCCAAACAGTAATCCGATAAATATATACACATACTTTTTAAGTTCAAATTCAACATGATCAAGAGAGACTATCAAGTCTTGCGAACTACATACTTGTTCTTGTGCTTCTTGTAACTGAGGAGCTGAGCTGTATCTGGGTGGTTCCCAACCAGCTAGTGTATCGTTTATCTGTGCATGTAATAATTGGAAAGGCTTATCAATCAACTTTTGTATAACATCATCATCATTTTTGAACCAGTCATCCACTTTGCTTTGAGTGTCTGTTAAAGACCGAGTCCAATCGCCACTCATGTAGTCCCCGCCAGACACAAATGAAGTAATCCCTTGTGCCGCCTTTTGAAGTGGCCCAGTAATTTGTGTGACCACTGAAAGGACAGAATGAACTGCCAAACCGAGTAAACAGCGGTAAGTTGATTTGTACATTTGGACCAACCAGATGACACATGATTCGATTACGCTAATGACTGTGGATAAATTGCGTTGAATATTCTCCTTGGCGGTAACCATGGATACCATCGTAGCGTTTAATAAAATTGACGGCGCGTTGTATATCTGCGCGGATGTAGCATTGATAGAGTCACAAACAGTTTCAAGTCGGGATCTTGAGCCAGTCATAAATGTTGTGATATTGGAGATGATATAGAACAAACTACCAATAACAGTGAGTATTGAAATGGTGCTGATTTCTAACCAAGCTAGAGCATATCTCTCATTCAATGTAGTTTGCATTTTTTTTTTTTTTTTTTTTTTTTATGTTTGGCAAGTTGTCGATCGGCTAATTTTTATTTGTTCAACTTTTTTTTTTTTTTTTTTTTTGGTACAAACAAATGAAAATTACGAGGAATTAAAAAAAAAATGTTTAAAATCATGAACTTGATATTTATTTTATAAATCACAAAGACACACAATACTGAGAAAATTGATTATGAAAATGATGATAATGCACCCATATTATCATGTATATATATATATAAAAGCAAAGAATCAAAACAAATATTTTTTTTTATATTTTTTTTTTACATGTATAGTATAAATGTAAACATTCAACTAACAATAAAATGTTGCTGTAACAAATATAGACACGAATCCCATAGGAATATTGGGGGGTGGGATTTTCCCTTGTTTCAATGTTTCGCCCGATTTAATTACAAGTATATAATATATTTTTCTAAACACGGATTTTCTAAAATAACTCTTTTTTTTTTTTTTTTTTTTTTTTTTTTTTATAAAATTTTCCCTTCTTTTTTTTTTTTTTTTTTCTTATTTCATTAAATGTTGAATGAAGATTCTGTTCAGACTCATAATAATAACAGCCAAGAATCTTCACCAGATCCAGTATTAATGCAACAACACAGCCAAAATAGAGATTTCGAAGACCAAGAAAATGATTCATACAATTATCCCAACTCTCCCAAACCAACAAGCGTGATTGTGTCGAATGTGGTCGATAGCAGCAGCTGCAATAAAAACTCATACCATTCCATAACAAGCACCAATAGAAGACGTCAAACCAAACGATCCTTTAAATCGGCCATGAGTTTACAATCGCCACCTCAGAACAGGCTTGCGTTTATTAATGCGGTGAAGATGGCATGGTCACTTCAGATCAAGAGAGGGAAAAGTGTCCATTCTAATAATCATTGCAGTAATAAAAAAGTGCCACAAAAGAAGACGGTGACGCATGCGACAATAAGTAGTGCTACAAGTGATATAAGTATTGTAAAGAACAAGTTGGATTTCCCTCCAATTACTGCCGAGGCACTTTCAGAATTGTCTGTTTCTCAATTGTTCAAAAGCCTTCAGATTCGGCATGATCTATTAATCGATCCCAACTTGACATTTCGACCCAATCTCACCACGGAAAAATGTCAAGAATCTGAAATCTATTGGAGTCATTTGGATGGCCTGATTAAATTTTGCTCTACAAATACATCAGAGGAAAGCGATGATCATTATCAATTGATATTTCTTGTACGCAATCTATTAACAGAGCTCTCATTGATCTTGATTTCTTTAATATCTCCCTTTCCCAGTCATCCCACCACTTCCTTTATTTGGAATTGGCCACAACAAATCACAGAGAGCTATATTTTATCAGTACTAGATCCTGATCTCATTCACCAACAACTCATTCAAGGCTGCTTAAATGTCGATTTCAAATTTAGTTTGCTGTATTCTATACTCGATCCACTTTGTCCAGATCAAGCGAAAAAGGTCCAAAAACTAGTTGAAGAGAATGAATACGCACGGGCCTTGGAAGTTTGCTTTTTAACATTAGAGACAATTAAATTGGTAAGGGCCTATTTCTTTTAATTGTTTTATACATGTAGTAATCTTTTTTTTTATTGTTATGGTAGGATTGTGCTAATAAGGCACTGCATTATTATCGTCCCTATTTGATTGAAAATGGTACAAGTTTAGAATGGAAGATCTTTTTGAGCCAATTAGATAATGGCGAAGTGAATACCGTGTCTGTCTCACAATGGATGCGATGTACTTTCAAGAGATTGGGACAAGAAGCCAAGTTTATAACCGTATTTCGTACAGGTAAATAAATAAAAAAAAAACGAGTATGCTATAATTATGATTTACTAAAATCACTAATGTAAAGGCATTATAAACTTGGTGACGGATGATAACGACACAATCTCTGCTTTGAACATAGCAGCCTCTGCTTTCCCCATTACATTTTGTTATGATGAGAAGCGGTTAAAGCACCAACTGCGACATGAATTTCAAAATATTATTGTGATTGGGTTATTATTGATGCCCTATCGGTTAATGGCAGGAAAAAATGCAAAGCAATCTGATTTGAATCAACTCAAGACAACATATTCGAAATTATTAAAGGATGCGTCTATTGCCAGTGGACGAGTGTCTTGTTTCCATTTAGCACTTCATGCGTGCAATATGGCGAAGCAGGCGGTTTTGTCCAAGGAGGATGTGATTGAACAAGCTAAGCACTGGTCCAACTGGATGAATCAAAACCTCAGAAATACTTCACCAGTGTATAAAATAATGTATGATCGGGTGCGAAGTATTATTCTGACGTCGATGGCCCACGGAGAAGAGCATCATTTGTCTTTAAGCCGTGCTCATGCTACAGTTGGACTTGAAAAGGAGGTGGCCAAACTGAGTAGAAAATTATCAGCCATTGCAGATTACAATTTACGTACATTTGGTTCATTGTACACTTATTTGTTACCAAGTGTTCGTCATTCCTTGTAAAAAAAAATAAAATAAAAAAATAAAAAGCCGAGGTTTTTTTTTTATATCAAATAAATAATTTCTTTCCGAGCAATTATTAACTATTCCTTCTTGTCTTGTCGTTTCGAGTATTCCAACTCGGCGATAAACCTATCACAAAAAATATTATTAAAAAAAATAAACAAAATAATAGTAATAACAATACCATTTGATTGTGACGAAAAGACAAACAGCAATCAAAGTAAGCGCAATCACATGAGGATTACCGCCTGTCATGAATAACATGAATAAAAGAGTGGCAAATAGTGCGTAAAACGTATAAAACATGAGCTGGATCACTCCATTAGCTGTATACCCCGGTGTCATGATGGACTTTGCAATGTCACCTGCAAGTCCCTTTTCAAACTGAAGAGGCTGATCATCGATCACTTGAGTTTGTTCGGTTGCCACGTTCTCCATTATTATTAAACTTGCCAAAAAAAAAAGTCGGTTACAGCCCAGCCCCTTTCTCTTTTCTTACAAGTCTAGGAGGAGATTCAAAAGTTTCAAAATAGGCTTTAAAGAAAATGCAAATTTTAAATATGATGTGAGGTTTATTGAAAGCAATGAGTACTTTTGATAACGTGACAATGAAACCTCATTGATTTTGCATAACATCATGATATGATCTCATAAACCAATGAAACTGCTGATAACGTGTTCCTATACGTAATATTTGCTTGCATGATTATCTGTTTCTGTATAAAGAACATTCGATTCTGCATGGAAAAAACTAGAAAAATATGTGTGTCCGGGACGAACTAAATTTTGCTGCGGCCTTAATCCGTACCGCAGCAAAAACTTTTTTTTTCTTAAATAATGACCTATTAATCTGGTTTAGGAGATCAAAAGAATGGCTTCCGAACAATTTAAAACCGAATTAAACAACTTTAAAATCAATCTAGATGAAGATGCGATTGAATATATTGGAGGCATGTTGAGTGACATGACGCTTACTGATCACGATGAAGTACGTGAATCCACAGAGACTTTTTTGGTCGATGCCAATATTCATGACATGATTCGAAGTGCCTTTTACAAGTCTTTATTCTCCAGCAAAGTATTTCAGGGCAATACGACCGTCGCTGATACATCATCAAAGCCCGTACGTCTATCCACAAAGCCGACAACCACAAGGGAGAAGGCAACTCCGGTAAAGCCTGTCGAAAAAGAAGATATTACCTCACCGGCCACTCCAGCCACAACAAAACGTGTAACACTTGCTGAGAAACGTGCTGCCCGAAAGAACACAAAGGCTAAAGGGGAAACAAGTGAGGAAGAACCTGTCCTGGTGGCAATTTCACAGCAAAGTCGATTCCATACCGAAACGCTCGAGTCCAGCAATAAAGAGATTGACTTACCTGGTGTTCAAATATCAATCAACCAATTGGACTTGCTGGTGGATGCCCATTTAAGGTTAAAACCGTTAATTCGATATGGCCTTGTAGGACAGAATGGTGTAGGCAAATCCATCTTGATGAAATGTTTAGCCGATAATATTCTTGTGGGTATTCCTCAAAATCTTAATATTCTTCATATATCCCAATTGGAAGATTTTGATGAGTCAACCACCGTTGTCGAAGAAGTATTGAGTGCGGATAAAAAAGCTGCTGTGGCCATAAGAGAATACGAAGGTAAAAAGTGAAAGATATGAATACAATAGTTTTTGCATAAATTTCATATTAAAATTGACATTTTACAGTGCTTCGTAGAGTAATTGGTGATAATGCTCCTGCTTCCAACCAGCAAAATAAATCAAACCAAGAATTAAACAAGGTTGTATTCACCATCATGCAATCTCGTGTGAAGGATAAAGTGGACGAAGCAAACCGTCTAGCCACTAAAAGATCTGGATTACGTGGTCGCGAAGCGCGTAAAGAACTTGTAAAGCTGGAGAAAGAATACAGCGATTTCTGTGCCAACGATCCACAAACATTTGTTACTGCAGATATGGTGAATACAGTGATCTCAGAAGTGTTTGAAAGATTGGAATTGATAGATCAAGAAGAACGTCTTAATCGTGCCAAAAAGCTTTTGAAAGGGTTAGGCTTTAGTCAAGAACAATCGACAAGTCTCATTTCAACCTTCTCAGGTGGCTGGCGTATGCGAATTGCTTTAGCCAAAAGTCTCTTCATGCGTCCTGATATTCTCTTGTTGGATGAACCCACAAACCATTTGGATTTACCTGCTATTCTCTGGCTGCAAGAATATATCAAGAATGATACCGGAGATATGATTGTCGTGATTGTTTCCCACGACCGTGAATTTTTAAATAACGTAACTGAAGAAACTATCATCCTAAAAGATAAAAAGCTTAAATATCATCCCGGTAATTATCAAGACTGGGAGATTAATACCGAAGAACAGCGAATTCGTAAACAGACCTTACTCGATGTAAACATTTTACATTTTTATACACATTCATCTTACCACTCACTCATTTATTTGTTATTATTAGAACACGGAAAAGCGCAGAAAACAAATTCTGTCCAGTATTCAACAAAACATGCAACAGGCCAAATCTACTGGTGATGATAAACGTCACGGTATGGTCAATTCCAGACGCAAGAAGTTGGATCGACTAGGCATGGAAAAGACGGAAGATGGTAAACGGTTCAAGCAAAGTTATCGTGTAGGTTTCCACACCGATAACCGTGTCGCAATTGAGGTTGAAAAGAGTGTGAAGACAGCCACTATCAAAATTCCGGAACCTTCACAACTCCGTTATAATGGACCCGTATTTCGTATGAGTGATGCAGCATTTCGATACAGCAAGACAGGAAAGAACGCAATTGAGCCGTTTTCTATTAATATTGACCCTAATGCACGAATTGCCTTTATTGGACCCAACGGTTGCGGTAAATCAACTTTGTTAAATATGCTGACGGGCAAGACCGAGCCAACAAGTGGCCAAGTCTATCGTCATGCTTTGCTTCGTATCGGTTATTTCTCTCAGCATTTGGTAGACCAGCTCGATGTTAACTTGTCTCCTGTTGAATCCATGATGGCTAAATATCCAGAACTTACAGAACAAGAATGCCGTGCTCATTTCGGCACGATTGGTATCTCCGGTAAACTTGTGCTTCAAAAGATCAGATCCCTTAGTGGTGGACAGCGTAATCGTATTGCGTTTGCAATGATTCTGTATGAAAGACCTCATGTATTGGTTCTAGATGAGATCACCAACCATTTAGATATGGGTACAGTTGAAATGTTGGTGGATGCATTGGCAGGTTATTCAGGAGCATTAGTCGCGGTTAGTCACGATGTCTGGTTTTTGAAGCAGATTTTGGAAGCCGAATCGAATGAGGAGGAGGATGATTCAGACGATGACGTTATTCCTTCTCAAAATGAAGTGTTTACCATTAAGAATGGCCATGTTCAGAAATGGGAAAAGGGAATTGATGCGTATGTTGCCTCTGTACTACGCACTGTAAAGAAACAAAATAAAGTTTGAAAAATGCAATAAATAGCAAATAAACATTTACCATTTGAGTGCAATTTATTAAATTATACGGCTAGATCTCATTACGCACAAACAAAGACGTCGGGTTTTCTTTCTCCCGGCACTATATTGAGCCGGGGAAACCCAAAGCAAATATCCCCATCACCGTTGAAACGGAGTTGGACCTTTTTCTTTCGTCCTTGGCGCTAAAAACCGCTCCAGGTACTGGAAGAATATTTTAGACAGACATTATGGATCTCCCAACTCTCTTTTTTTTAGGTAACAGAAACTTTTTATTACTTTTATGCTCGTGTTTTACCTTCTCTCACCTGAACACATTTTCAAAGTCAACAGTTTTATGTTTTATAATCATATATACTTATTTACCCAATCTAAAGTAGATCTTCTTTTATCTTTTACTTATTTACGATAGGATACAAGAAAAAAAAAAGAAATGTCCGTAACCTTATAACTTATTGCTTTAACTTTGTATTTCTGTTTTAATTGCCAAAACAATGTCAAGTTTGATTCGATAGGTAGAATTAATATCCGGATAACCTTATCTTGCCTTTTTATTGACGTTGACCAGATGCGTCATTAATAGAAGGACAACAATATGGATAAATAGAACTTCATGACTACACGTGTTGATAGCACTCCTATTTTTCTCAAAAAAAGTTAGTTGAGGACAAAAAGATTTAGAAGGAACAAATACAACTATTAAAAATTTCCTTTAGACATAAAACAGACGTAATTTTGGAAGGGAAGAATATGAGGTGACTAATGAAATCATTAAAAAGCTCAAGCTCAAGCTAGAGCAGTAATCGGGGGGGACATGTTATAGGTTCCGATAAAGCCGGCAAATGGCAATGAGTTACACACACATGATGAAATCCATGGTACAGAAAAAAAAAAGATGATGTTCTATTTTCTTTTAATACACCCAAAGAGTCCATTGAGACCTTCTTATTCACTTTGAGGTTCATGACAGTTTGAAGGGGAATATTTTTACCGTCCGCATGGAGACGGACACTTTGAAGAGTTGGGACTTCCTGCACTATATTTAACCTCGATTCGAGATCAATTCAAACGGAGATTTTAGAATCCACACAATGAACCTATGGTGAGAAAACTTGAAATGGCATTAATAAAACAACGCATAAAGGGTGAATATAATAGCCTTTCTAGCAACAGAAAATAACAGCAACAACAAATATAAAAAACCAACGGATTATTAATTCGGTTTTTTACAATTTTACTAAAGAAGCCCTTATCTTGATTCCGGGATACGAGCTTATGAGTTTTTTTTATTTTTATAAATACACAATTTCTTTTTTTGCTGCAAGTCGGTGCTGCAAGTTTGTGTAACTATTAAATGGTTTTACCGTACAAAAATGGATATTCTTGATTCGGATCTTGAAACGTTTTGCTGGTAGAATTATTCAAGCCAGATTTAGCCGAAAAGCTCAAAAAATTTCAAGCTAAAAAAAAGTAATATAAAGGCAAGGTAAAAAATGATGGTAACTTTTTCTTTTTTCTTTTTTGATTATATATATTTTAATACTACTTCTTAACTTTTCTTTTCGATTGCTTTTTTATATTTTTTGGGCCTCGAAGTTTAATTTTACATACTATATTTTTTTATCAGCAAAAATAAATTTCTTGATCCAACATGGATATGCAAGCGTTGCCTAATTCGCAACAAAATCGACTCAATCGTGACGAAGAATATCAAGCTAAACATCAACATTACTCAGATGAATCCACAATTGAAGGTGTTCACGAAAAGGAAGAGATTCGCGATTCAGATGAATACCCTAATCAAATTTCTAATGGCGGTGCCTTTGGTGAAACCGAAGGTAATGCTGTCAACATTGAGGAAGCCATGTCCAACTATGAAGAGATCCGCAGAGAATTAACTCATCAATCCCGTGTCTCTCGTCGTAAATCTTTATCTCCTGGTGAAGCCGAAAAGGGTGATGTCAAAGATTTCGATTTGACTGATTTCTTGACCGATCAAAACGACCAAGGTCAAGCCGCTGGTTTCCATCCTAAGCATATGGGTGTTGTCTGGAAAGATTTAGTTGTACAAGGTCTTGGTGCTGATGCCAAAACTATCGATACCAATTGGACTTGGATCCGTGATACCATCAAGTTCTGGAAATGGGGTAAACATGAAGGTACCGATTTCACTATCCTCAAGGGCAACGATGGTTTCTGTAAAGACGGTGAGATGCTTCTCGTTCTCGGTCGTCCTGGTGCTGGTTGTACTACTCTTCTTCGTGTTATTGCTAACATGCGTTCCTCTTACACTAACATTGAAGGTTCTGTTCATTACGGTGGTATTGAAGCTCAAGAATTCTCCAAGTTTTTCCGTGGTGAAGTTTGTTATAACGAAGAAGAAGATCTCCATTACCCTACTTTGACTACCAAGCAAACCTTGAGTTTTGCCTTAAAGAACAAAACTCCTGGTAAGCGTCTCGATAACGAAACCAAGGGTGATTTCATCAACAAGATTCTCTTCATGCTTGGTAACATGCTTGGTTTGACCAAACAAATGAACACCATGGTCGGTAATGCCTTTGTCCGTGGTCTCTCTGGTGGTGAACGTAAGCGTCTCTCTATTGCTGAACAAATGACTACTCGTAGTTCCATCAATTGTTGGGATTGTGCTACTCGTGGTTTAGATGCTTCTTCTGCTCTTGATTATGTTCGTTCTCTTCGTATCATGACCGATATTATGCACAAGACTACTATCTCTACTCTTTATCAAGCCTCCGACAGTATCTTCAACCTCTTTGATAAGGTCATGGTGCTCGATGAAGGTCGTTGTATCTATTTCGGTCCTACTGCTACTGCCAAGCCTTACTTTGAAGACATGGGTTTCTACTGTCCTGATCGTAAGTCTACTCCCGATTTCTTGACTGGTCTCTGTAACATGAACGAACGTGAGTTCCGTGATGGTTACAAGAACAAGGTACCTGTGAATGCTGTCCAATTCGAAAAGGCCTACAAGGAATCCCATGTATACAATGCCATGATGAAAGAACGTGATGAATATGAAGCCAAGATTAACCAAGATCGCCCTGATGAGAAGTTCCGTCAAGCCTTCTTGGAAGCCCATCAAAAGAATGCCCCCAAGCGTTCTCCCTTTGTCGCCTCTTACTACCAACAAGTCAAGTCTTTGACCGTGCGTCAATTCCAATTGATCTTTGGTGATACTGGTGCTTTGATTTCTCGTTATGGTGGTGTTGTTGTCAAGGGTCTTATCATGGCCTCTGTCTTTTATATGATGCCTCAAGATGCTTCCGGTGCTTTCTCTCGTGGTGGTGCTGTTTTGTTCTCTCTTTTGTTTAATGCTTTAATTGCTCAAGCTGAATTGTCCGCTTTCATGCAAGGTCGTCGTGTCTTGGAAAAGCATAAGCATTTTGCCTTGTACCGTCCTTCTGCTTTCTATATTGCTACTGTGATTGCTGATATTCCTCTTGCTCTCATTCAAGTCATCGTTTTCGAACTTTGTGTCTACTTTATGATGGGTTTTGTCTTGGAAGCAGGAAAGGTAAAGTGCCCATTGTCGACTCATTATTTTTTTTAAAGTATTTATTAACGTAATTTCTTATAGTTCTTTACTTTCTTTATTATTCTCGTTGCCACCAATTTGTGTATGAATGGTTTCTTCCGTTTCTGGGGTGCCGTTTCACCTAATTTCTTCACCGCTTCTCAATTATCATCCGTCTTATTGATTGCTTGTCTTGTTTACTGTGGTTACCAAATTCCTTATACTCAAATGCATCCTTGGCTCATGTGGATCTACTGGATCAATCCTCTTGCCTATGGTTACAAGGCTTTAATTTCCAACGAATTGAACGGTATGGACTTTTCTTGTGCTGGTGCCAATTCTGTTCCTTTCGGTCCCTCTTACACTGATGATGCCTATACCACCTGTAGTCTTGCCGGTGCTGTCCCCGGTGCCAACACGGTCTCTGGTGATGCTTTCCTCCACACTGCCTATGGTTATGAAATCTGGCAACGTTGGATCAATTTTGTTGCTGTCATCTTGTTCTTTATCTTTTTCACCGCCATTACTGCTCTTGGTATGGAATTCGTTGATCTCCAAAAGGAAGGTTCTGTCACCAAGGTCTACAAGGCCGGTAAAGCTCCCAAGCCTATTGATGAAGGTTTAGCTCTCCAACAAACTGTGAACGAAGCTGATGAAAAGATGGAAGCTGTCTCCGAAGGTACCACTTTCTCCTGGCATCACATGGATTACACTGTTCCTATCAAGGGTGGTAAACTCAAGCTCTTGAATGATATCGGTGGTATTGTACGTCCTGGTCATTTGACTGCTTTGATGGGTTCCTCTGGTGCTGGTAAGACTACCTTATTGGATGTCTTGGCCAAGAGAAAGACAATTGGTAAGATTGAAGGTCGTATCTACATGAACGGTGAACCTATCGGTCCTGATTTCGAACGTTCTACTGGTTATTGTGAGCAAATGGATGTCCACAATCCTAACGCTACTGTCCGTGAAGCTCTCAAGTTCTCTGCTTATCTCCGTCAAGCTCCTAGTGTTCCCAAGGAAGAAAAGGATGACTATGTTGAACAAATTATTCGTCTTATGGAAATGGAAAGAATCGCTGATGCTCTTGTCGGTGATCTTGAAGCTGGTGTTGGTATCTCTGTTGAAGAACGTAAGCGTCTTACAATTGCTACCGAATTGGTTGGTAAGCCCAAGCTTCTCTTCTTGGATGAACCTACCTCTGGTCTTGATGCTCAAAGTTCTTATAATATTGTCCGTTTCATTCGTAAACTTGCTGATGCTGGTTGGCCCGTGCTTTGTACCATTCATCAACCTTCCGCTACCCTCTTTGAACATTTCGATCATTTGGTCTTGTTAGTCCGTGGTGGTCGTACTGCTTACTGTGGTGAAATTGGTCCCAATGCTACTACTATGGTCAACTACTTTGAAAGTAATGGTGGTCCCAAGTGTTCCCCTAGTGCTAATCCTGCTGAATATATTCTTGAATGTGTTGGTGCCGGTACTTCTGGTAAGGTGACTCAAGATTGGGCTGATGTCTGGACTGGATCTGTTCAAGCCAAGGCTTTAGATGCTGAACTTGAAGAAATTCATGCTGGTATTACTACTGGTCATAAGAACCATGCTAGTCCCTATTCTCTTCCTTTCTGGCAACAATTCTGGTTAGTTTACAAGCGTATGAATGTTTCTTGGTGGCGTTGTCCTACTTATAACATGGGTCGTCTTTTCAACGTGTGTTTCATTGGTCTCTTGTCTGGTTTCTCTTTCTGGAAGCTTGGTAACTCACCTGCTGATATGCAAAATCGTATGTTCTCTGTGTTTACCACGTTATTGATGAGTAATGCCTTGATTATTCTTGCGCAACCTCGATTCATGCAAGAACGTTCTTGGTTCCGTCGTGAGTATGCTTCTAAATACTATGGTTGGGCACCGTTTGCACTCTCTTGTATTCTTGTTGAAATTCCTTACTTGATCTTCTTCTCGGCCATTTTCTTGTTCTGTTTCTATTGGACTGCCGGTCTTGAGAATACGTCTGAACGTGTTGGTTTCTTCTATATCCATTTCACTGTGTTCTTGCTCTACTCTGTTTCTCTTGGTTTCATGATTGCTGCCTTCTCTGCTACTCCACCTATGGCTGCTGTCATCAATCCTTTCTTCACATCCATCTTGATTTTGTTTGCTGGTATTATGCAACCTCCCGCTTCGATGCCCTATTTCTGGAGTGCATGGATGTACTGGCTAGATCCATATCATTATGTGATTGAAGGTCTAGTTGTAATTGTCATGGATAGTGTCAAGGTTACCTGTAACGAATGGGATTTCACCAAGATTCCTGCCCCTCCTGGTGTCAGTTGTGGTGATCATATGGCTGATTTCTTTGCCGCCGATGGACCCGGTTATATCCAAGACAACTCTGCTATGGATATGTGTAACTACTGCCCATACAAGGTTGGTAACGAGTTTTATGAACGTCGTATTGGATGGAGTTACGATAACCGTTGGAGAGATTTTGGTATTCTTTGTGCCTACTATATCTTTAACGTATTTGCATTCATGGTCTTTGTCTTCTTATTCAGAAAGGCCAAGCGATAAATTCATCATTTATTTAAAACCCACATATAACCCCCCCTTTTTTAATCTTTCTTTTTCACCTTTAAGCATTTTTTTTATTACTTATCCCCCCCATTTAGAACCTCTTTTTTTATATAAACTTCTTGTATTCTAATACAAACTTTTCTTGTACACTATTCTTCTTTTATTTATCCCTTTTATATACACTCTTTAAAATCGAAAAATAAAAAAAGAAATATAATAATAACATCATTTATTGCCTCTTTAATGTGTTCTTCAAAACGATGAGATGGAGTTTTCCTGCTAAAATGGAGTTCTTGCTTTACACTTGAGGCGCTTGAGAAAAAAAAAAGAACTCACTATTGACTAGCATTTCCCTAAGACTCGATATGTTCAGATACAAAGGGAAGTTATGATAAACAAAGACTGCGGATTATTGAATAAGGATGAGGTAATTGATTAACTATAAAGGAATAATTGCGTTTTAGATAGATGGTTTTGATTGACTTGAAATCACTTTACATGCATGTGTGATGCGGGTCGTTAATAGAACTACTATTTGTGAGAAGGCCATTTCATGAAATCAGGTCAATATTTTTGTAGCTGAACTATTAGAAACTCAAGTGGATGTAGATTCGATATAAAAAACTTTAGACATTTAGTAAGCTTTTACGTGACTTTAAAAGAACACGTAAGAAGAATTAAAAAACGCGTATCGGTATTGCTGCTTTGAAATAAAATAAAGTGCCGTATAAATGGTGATACGCCCTACTTTCCCTCTATCTACGGACGATGCATCTCTTCGAAAGAAGTCAGATTGTAATGTTTCAGAGTCTTTAATAAGGTTGCATTTTTTCTTCTAAGAAAATCATGCTTGGAGCTCTAAAACATCATGATGCGTTCATTTTGAATAAAGATTTTACCTTACCAGATAAAAAAGCACATCAATTATGTCATGGCATAAAACTGGAATAGCCCATCACTTTTTTAAAATTCCGCTGTTTCAGATAAATTGACAAATGGTGGACCAATGATAACTCACACATGATGGGGAAAGACATATGAGACCATATGTCGATCCATTTTATATCAAATAGTATTGACCAAAAATTTTTTATTAGAAAGAAAAAAAGAATGCTAAGCTCTTTTGCCAGGTATATATTCAAAATAACAAAGAGTGAGTGCAAAGATAAAAAAAAGAGAAATAGAAACAAAAAAGTGAATTATATACAAGGAGACTAAAAAAAACAAACTTTTTTCTTAAAACGTGGTGAGCTTTTCAGTAGGTGGTGTTTTGGTTTTGTTTGAAGGTAAAGCAGGAATAGCAAATACATGGTCTGATGATTTCTTTGGTGACTTGGGCGATGTGGGTGCTGAAGTAGGTGATTTGGGCAACGATGCTTCATTCGCAGCAGCTGCTGCTGCGGCGGCAGCGGCAGCGTTGGCAGCAACAGCAGTAGCGGCAGCAATACGTTGAGCTTTCTTAGCTTCTTCACGATCCCTTTTATCATTTGCAATTCTCATCTTCTTTTCCAGCGCTTCTGCCTTTTTCGCATCTGCTTTTGCCTTAATTTCTATTGTTTAAGTTAGTATATGTGTTACACCCGTTCCTTATAACACTTACCATCTTGTGCTTGTTTGAATGCATTGGCAGTATTTTGCTCGATTTCAGTAGCAGCGTCAAAATCTAGCATTTGAGTCTTTTGAACCCGTTGCAATCCCCTGGGTACTTGATGAGGTGCTGCAACTCTGGATGCGGGTCTGGTGGCTCCAGGACGATGTGACAATTTTTGTTGTTTGATAAAGAGGCCACCGCCAGCAGCAGCAGAGGGGGAAGGTCTGGCAGGTCTCTTTGTGTACAAGGAAGAAACAGAAGCAGAGGGGACAGACGAAAAGGGTCTTGCCATAGTTGGTGCGGAAGCGGATGAGGGAGGAGGGAAAGGGAAATTGTTGTTGAGGTTGTTGGTGGGAGAAACTACACGTTTGCTTTTACTTTGAAATTCAGCACCAGCACGCTTTTGAGCAACGACTTGAGCAGCTTGAGCTTCAGCTTGCTCAGAACGTTCTTCAGTTTCAACAAGTTCTTTGAAACGCGCGTGTCTGGCGTCAGCAGAGAGGATGTCGGAGGGAGAGGTACTGAGGGAGAAGTGTCTGGTGTTGGTGGAGGTGCAGTGAGTGTAGGTAGGGGAAACATAGTTGGGCGTGGTACGTGCTGCGGGTTGCAACAACATGTCTTCCAATGGATGAAAGTTGAAACCGTTGCTTTTGACTACGCAAAAAAAAAAAAAGAATGATTAGATAAATAGAGAATTAAATGACAAATTGACTTACTGGAAGTGCCGATAGTAGCGAGTAATAATTGAAAGTCATTAGACCAGCTATCAATGTTCAAATCCAAGGCTTGCGTATCAGGGTAGAATTTGAGAATGTTTGCTGTAGTTCTGACGAAATCATCTTTATCAGTTAGAGCTGTTTGAATAACCTGTAAGAACTTTTGTTAGTTTATCAAACTATTTGAATTTTGTGACACGCCCCCGTCTCCTAGCCACCTCCTTTTGTGTGTGTGTGTGTGTATTTGTAGTATTTAATGGACGCAAAAAAAAAAAAAAAAAAAAAAAAAAAAATTCATTCCCACATCATGCAAAAAAGATTTTTTTTTTTTTTTTTTTTTTTTTTTTTTGAACAGATTTATTACCCAATTTTGATGAAAAAAAAAAATTAACATTGTAGAGTCACGGAAATTTAATAGTAAATACATATACATATATAAAAAAAAACATATCCATTATATACTATCGTCATACATACACATCCTCACAAGCTTTTTTATTACGAAAAAAAAAAAAAGAGGAAACAAATAGGATAAACAAAAAGAAATAAAAAAAACACGTTACCTTATTTAAACCGTCACCCAGGGATAAAAGATCACCTTTTCTCATATACATAGTGGATAAAAGAATCCCTTGTTTCACTCTGTTATCAAACATTTCGAAATTCTCCATAATAATCGTCATCACATCCTCCGTCAAACCCTTAGCAATCGCTGAACTATTCCATCCCGGTGTACTTATTTCTGCTGTTAACCACGTCCGAATACCTTCTGTACTATTTCTTTCATATGCCATTTTTTTTGAGTTTTTTTTTTTTTTTTTTTTTTTTTTTGTTGCGCGCGTAGTTTTTTTTTAAAAAAAAATTAGAATGAAGAAAAAAAAAGGGAATTGAACAAAAAAAGAGGCTATTTATAAGTTTTTTTTTTATTTTATTGAAGGGGTGGGGGGTGTGGCAGGCCTGATGACACAAGATAGTCACGAAACAAGTCACAAAAAGCCTTTGATAAAACATACTCGATCTGTCTCATCAAAACATCTATACCCTCTTTCCTTGGCTTCTTCATACGTATACAGATCATTTCGGTGATCTGTCCAGTCCTCTACGTCAAACAACAAGGATTCACACTCTCTTAGATACATATCCCTCACGTTTTCTTCTTCTTCACTACGATCAATAGGGCTGACAACAAGTGCCATGTTATGAATGATAATATTGGAGAGATGAGGACTCGTGTGTAGTAGAGTGGGTATGAAATTTGCATCGACTAAGAGCCGTGTAGCGGAGATATAGAGAAGGGTGAGATGTGGAAAGTGAGAAGCAAAGTGCAGCCAGGTGGCGCTAGGCACGTGACAAGGCAACTTTTCACACTCCTTGGACAATGGATAGTATTTACGAAAGGCCAAGGAGAGGATGGATAATCTAGATAATTGGCTGATATGGTGGATGCACTGGGAGACATGCAGAGGGTCCAAATCATGCAGTACAATAGCGAGTTTCTCTAACAGTGGCGAATGATGAACAATGTCGGATACGAGTGAATGCGAGACAGAGTCGTTGAGTGCCAGATGGGTCAGGGATTGCTGTGTAAAGAAAGATTGATAGAGAGAGGAAGGGATGGGTGTGGATTTGCTGTTGAGATAATGAAATGGGTGAATGAATTGGTTTGGGTCAATTAAGTGTGTATTGGATTTAGTGGGTATGGAAGGTTCGATAAGAACCTGTTGTAATAACAAATGTTGAAGCCTGTTTAGACTGTTGGGAAATTGAGCAAATGTACTTTCCTTGATTGTGCAATCCGTCAGGGTCAAAGATATTAAGGGAGGTTGAAACTCGATCAAGGCCAAGAAATCATCAAAGGTATCTCTACAGTGAGTCAAGTATAATTCACTCAAATGAGGACAATATTCAAAGAAGTAACGCAAGCCATACAACTCGCTTCTTTCCTTGGGATGAAAATCAATCCGTAGCGCACGTAGGTTTACCACGAGTTGTGCCATGAGTTGCGAATTGGACAAGTCGTAATGAGGACCGTTGGTTAAATCTCGACTGAGGGAACGAACGTAATCGCCTAAAGCATAGTTTTTTTGGAAAAGAGCTCGTTTAGAAAGAAGGTCGGTGGCCATTTGTACCTTGATATGACGTTGGTGCTTTTCATCGTCTTCACGAGGTAGGATGAATTCTTTATATCGCCATAAAAATGGTGCAACAAGAATATAAAGGTACCGACAACAGAGTGCGATATTCTTAAGATCCACGTGTGTGTATTCGGGGTATCGCCAGCCATGAAATTGGTGTGTATCTTTCTTTTCCACTGCAGAAGAAAGATGGATAATGTCTTCTAGTATTTCACTAGGCAGTTTCAACAGAGCCATTTTTTTAATAGAGAAAAGAAAAAGAACAAAAAGGCTCATGTGCTGCAGATTAGAATATAAAAAAAAAAATGACGAAACAAAAAAAAATATATAAAGGGGCTGTTTTTGTGTGGTGAAATATGGACTGCACACATGATCTAAATTATTTTTATATGAATGGCATTAAAGTAGGTGTTCTTGCCTTGTAATCCACCCAAGCCTGACCAAAGAACCGATGCAAGGTATGTTCTTCATAGGCAATACGTTCCGAAAAGAATTGATGAAGCCAATACACAAACAAGATTAAACACAATGGATTCATCAATAAGACTTGCACACCAATGGCCCACCAATAAAACCCAAAATAAGAAGGATGTCTCATCAAGCTGTAGATACCATGTTGAACAAGAACATGATCCCTTTCCTTGTAATCTGCAATATGATGACTGAAATTATGTCGGGCAGAAAACATGGCTATCGTACGACATGCTTGACCTACCACCAACAATACCAGTCCGATATAATTGATCGTCCCAAATGTCTTGTAACCAGGATAAAAGTAGTATTCGATCAAGAACTCTAATAGTGCTGCTGCATGCGCTGCATGATAATGAGGGCTGTGGTTGATTAAGTAAGCTATATTTATAAAGAAAGCAGAAGGTGAATTTTCTATTACCACACTTCATGTTTATTCCGACTTACAGTCGAGGGTCAGCTTGTCTGGGTTGAACAGAGCTGTGGCAATATACTCGAGGAAATGGAACAAGGCTAATGCCGCTAAAAAGAAGCCAAAGTGAGGCATGTTGGAGCCCATCATGGTAAAGCAAATACCCGCACTACACACCATGCCTAATAAAAACCCATATACAGAGATATTCTGTGGTGTGTTTCTGCCATCAAAGATGTGGATCTCGTCCTTCACATGTACTTTTGGTTTCTCTGCATCCTCTGATATCGACCTACGTATATTGAGACCATGCGTGCTCATTTCTATATCTATAAGATCGTTGTCAAAGATGAAGAAAGAGGTTACATAAAAAATAAAAAATAAACTGTCTCTCCTTGAATAATATCACGTGTTCCACTAAACTATAAGACCGCTATCTCCTCTCTTTCGTGCCCTTTCTTTTCTTCCTTTAAACACACACACAGAAATGTACAATCCCACACGACTCAAGGTTCAATTAAAGTTGGCTATTAACCGACTCAAGATGCTGCAAGCGAAAAAAACGTCGCTCAATCAACAAAACCGACGCGAGATTGGCACTCTGTTGGAAAAGGGCAAAGAGGAAAGTGCCCGCATAAGAGTGGAGCATATCATTCGCGATGACCTATTTATTGAAGCTATGGAGAGTTTGGAGTTATACTGTGATTTACTGCTCGCTCGTTTTGGGCTCCTCGAAACCTACAAGTAAGTTGTGATGAAAGTACAAGGAAAAAAAAGCTCGCTAAAATATAGATATACAGGACGTGTGAGGATAGCGTGGCAGAGGCAGTGAATACAATTATTTGGGCGGCTCCGCGTGTGGGCGAAGCCAAAGAGTTGGGTCTGGTGCGTGACCAGTTGGCCAGTAAGTTTGGTAAAGAGTTTATGATGCAGGCTTTGGAGAACGCAGATGAGCGTGTAAACCCCCGAGTGAGTTTATTTATCTGTACAATTTGTAAATATATACTTATGCAAGATCATAGATTGTGATGAAACTCGATATAGCTGCACCTGATCCATTTTTAGTAGAAAGATACTTGGAAGAAATTGCCAGAGCCTATGATGTGAAATGGAGATCTCACATTCTTGTGCATGAAGAAAGTGAAGAAGAAGAAGAGGAAGATGAAGATGATGACACTATGGGTAATGGAAGTGGTGGTGGAGGAGGACAGGCAGAGGTACGGAAAAATTAAATTGTCTGGGATTACAAAAATTAAAAAAAAAAAAAATTAAAAACCAATCATAGTTATTACCTCCACTTGAAAATGAACAAGATTCTCGCTTTGATTTACCAGAAATTCCCACTAATTCACCCTTGAAAAAGACAACCAATGTTGTAGATGATCCCAATGATTTTGATGCTTTAGCAAGGCGTTTAGATGCTCTTAAGAGAAAATAAATAAAGAGACTGCTTTTTTTTCATTTAAATTTTAACATGAGGGAGGAGGTTTTTTTTTTTTTTTCTTTTTCTTTTCTTCTTTTTTTTTTGTTTGTCTGGGGCTGAGTGAAATGAGCAAGATTCCCATGAATGAAGAACATGTGATTGAAAGAGAGGAAAAAGAAGTAACCGAGGTACTTCCCAAAGTAACCACAACCGCCACCGAAAATAAAAGCACACCAGCTGTGACCGATGCCACCTTCAAGTCTACATCCGTTGCTTTAATCGAGAAATTACTGCAGTTTTCCACACCTCGTTTGGATGTCAAGATTGTCAATGTTTTATTCCTCGAGGGTAATGCTCAAATAATAGCCCTAAAAAGGAATAAACTTACTTATATAATTCAGAGCAGGCATGATGGATATTTTCATGACACATGTAACTCGACTGGACCCGAACGGGCCAAAAGTGGATTTGGATCAGTGCAGCTTGGAAGAGCAATTGGCTTATAGCGAGCACGTGCGTGATGTGGAGGATTTAGAGGCTACCAAACGATCTTACCATGCTATGGAACTCCTATCAGGAACCACAGCCAATCATTTATGGGTGCAGAATGCTAAATTCCATGATATTGTCACTCATTTATTCCAAGTTTTCTTACCAAACTCGCATGGAAATTTCAATCATTTCTTCAAGATATTTCAGAGGTTGATTCGAAGACATCCATGTGATATGTTGAATGTAGTCATCTTACGCAACAAGGCCTCCATCCTGTTCAATTACATGTTACCTTATCTCACCGAGAGTTCCATCACCGATGCTATCCTCAGTTTAATCTTTGTTCGAGATATTAATACAGAGACTAAAGAAGCACGTGAGAAATCCCATGCTTATTTACAGGAACTCGGCTTTTTGGAATGGATCATTCAATCCATGCAAATCAAAGGTTGGATAAAAAAAAGATGGGCTCATTTATTAAAATTTTTAAACTAACTGGGTTTAATAAGGTCACCCGGCATTTGTTGAGGCTACACGAGAATTCTTTACGCGCGTCATTGAAGAAGCATCGCAAGTGGATAATGGTGATATTCTGTTTAAATCACTACGTACTGATAAAGGCATGGAGATGATGGAAGTCCTCGTCAAGGTATTTGCATTTAATCATTCAATTTTGACCACCAGTCCAAAAAAAAACTTACATATCTTTAGAATGTGATTGACAACCCACCGTCCGAAGAAAGAGATGGCACGATTAATATCATTAAACTGTTGGTGAAGAGCGGTATGTTGACAACCCGCGCCTCATCCATGTCTCAGCCTGTGCAAGGACCTTTATACTATATCTCACTGCGTTCTCAAGAATTACTGATCAAGCACATTCCTAGCTTTTGCTCTCTTTTCGCCAAAGATCGCCACACCTCCAACACCAAAATGTAAGTTATGAAACGTGTGTTACTTACAATGCCTAATCATTAGAGATTTATATAAAAAAGTGCACCGTTGACGACGTCGGATATGGATTTACTGGATATTATTTACCAAACACTGTATAATGCTAATGAAAAGACGCAGATGCTGGCATCTACCCCTTCGGCCTTTTGGAAAATCCTGGTGAATTCATTCTTTGAGAAATCATCCAGTAATATTTACCACACCTTGTTTTACCGCATTGTATGTTTAACCTTGTCGATTAATTATGAGCCCACATTGATTGTGCTTGTACGAAAATATACATTGATTACTCGTTTGATTGACGAATACCAGGACAAGACACGCATCACCGGTAAAGTATTTCTCTGTTTTTTTTTGTGGGTGGGAGTCAGTGAAAACTAACATTCTGCATTTAGAAACACGTGGGTTTATTCTGTTGATCTTGAACCAGTTACGATTGATGGCGGATGCACACCATAGTGATTTAATCAGTCGTATTATAGACAACCATCCACGATTTCGAGAATTTTTACCGACGCTGAGAACAGATACCCTGGCTCAATTAGAGCCGATTTATACTTGGAAATTGGAAGCATGTCCACGTCCCCCAGCTCATTTGGGGCCCACACCTCCTATTCAGGCCGTGCATTTCTCACCGTATGCTGGCACCTTACCATTAATGACCAATGCCAATGATCATGATGAAGCGTCAGGCATTGATCTCGGTAGCGATTGTAAAGTATAATTGATGGCTGCACAACGAAAAAAAAACGAGAGATCTGATGATATTACTTTTATAGATGCATATTGCTTAGGGTTTAAAGAAGGACCCAAGGGCTCGGAAACACCTTATTATTTATCACGCAGAAATTCCAACCATTCGGATTACTCGTTATCTTCCTCACAATCCAATAATGATACTGGGTTCCCCATGGATATTATTTGGGGAGAAAGTCTAACTGCTCCAGCTACAGATGAGGAAGAGGAAGAGGAAGCACCCCTTAGTAATAAGAACAAGAAGAAAAAGAAGAAGAAGAAGACTTAAAATCTTATATTATAAAAACGCGGTCCTTTAATTGTGGGGGGTTATTTTGTAAACAACAACAAAAAATAATAAAATCTCTCTTCTTTTTTCTATTTTACAAATAACAACACACACACACACACGCACACAAATGTATAGTTCTGATGAAGAGGGGTATGACTGTCCTCTTTGCATGGAAGAGTTAGACATTGCTGACAAGAACTTTCGACCTTGTCCATGTGGTTACAAGGTACCTTTGAACCAAAAATTGAATGGTGTTTACGTATACTGACAACACCCTGATACTAGATCTGCCGTTTCTGCTGGCATCATATTCGTGAGAACCTCAATCGACGTTGTCCAGCCTGGTAATGTGTCTTCTCTAAAATCGAAAAGCTTAATTTTTAACCTTTTTTATGTAGTCGTCGAGAATATTCTGACCAAAATGCAGAGTTTGAACCCATTAGTGCTGACGAGTAAGACAAATAACTATTTAAAAAGGCTTATTTTTGCTAACTTTAAATAACAGGATTCAGCGTATTCGAAGAGAGAAGAAAGAAAAGGAGAGACAACAAAAGGATATGGAGACAGCGAATCGACGTCACTTGGCAAATATGAGAGTAGTTCAAAAGAACCTTGTCTATATCATTGGTCTTCACCCCAAGCTAGCCACTGAAGAGGTAATAACAACAGCAACAAAAAACGTTCTTCAATGCTAATCCCGACCATAATCTTAGACGGTAAGGTCCAATGACTACTTTGGTCAGTTTGGAAAGATTTCAAAGATTGTGATCAATAAGCGACAGATTGCACCTACGTCTTTAGCCAACGGAGCCACGTCCATGCAACCTAGTGCAGCCGTCTATGTAACTTATCAGCGAAAGGAAGATGCAGGGAAAGCCATTCATGCAGTTGACGGTAGTGTCATGGCTGGCCGTATCCTAAGGTATTTCAACTCTACATACACAGCAAAAAAAAAAAAAAAAAAAAAAAAAAGGTTTTGTATTCACACCACTTAAATAGGGCATCGTATGGTACGACAAAGTATTGTACCTATTACCTTCGAAATATGAATTGTCCAAACCCTAGTTGTTTATACCTGCATGAGCCTGGAGAAGAAGCAGATACCATTTCCAAAGAAGAATTAGCTACAGGGTAATGCTCAAGGGTGCCTATTTTATTTCCAATGTAACTCACATTTAAAAATTGTACTAGAAAACATCGTATGAGAGATCAAATGGCACATGATGATTCGGAAGATGAAGATGATGATGATTATTCATACCACCACCATCACCATCAACAACAACAACATCATCATCATCATTCACCCGTATCTTCGCATTCTGATTTCCCTCCTGTTTCTGCTGCTAGTGGTAGTGGTTCTAGCACCAAAAAGTCATCGATGGAGGATGAACGCTCAGCGTTACCAGCAACAGCATCGTGGGCCAAATCCAGTGCGGACCCTACGTCCCGAGCCACACGGGCCCTGACGCCTGATGCCTTTGGACCTCCCTTAGCTGTAGCAGTAGCGCAACAACAACAGCAGCAGCAACAACAACAGCAAAAGCAACACCAACTTTCTCCTTCTGCATTAAAACGTAAATTAGAAAAGAAGAAACGTAAAGAGATGATGCAAAAGCAACGAAGAGAAGAAGAGGAGGAGGAAGAAATGGCATCAAAAAGGGTAGAGGAGAAAAAACCATTTCATATGGATGATGGATTAGTGCAATTTGTATTGGGAAATGCATTTGAGGAAGTATGTGCACCGAGTCCATCTGAATTCACCAATGAAGAAACTCCTGTGGGCGTGAGTGGACTTTATGAATCAAATGAAGAAGACGAAGAAGAAGAGGAGGGACCGATGACACCGCCAATTGAATATAGCATGTCTCGATTACATTTGAATGATACCATGTCACCACTTGAATACTTGACACAAACAATACCTACACCTTCATATACGGGCACTTTCAATCCATTCGCTCATCAATTATTAAGAACAATGACATCCTCATCTCCTCCTTTATCATCATCATCAACGACAGCAACAACTGTAGCAGCAGCTAATGATTCTCCTGTTCGTAAACATTCAAGATTTGGATTTGCTCAAGTTTAACTAACCCCCTCTTTCTTTTTCTTTCTTTTCATCATGCAATAAAATAATTTAAAGTCACAGTAAAAGCGGCACTTGATAATCAGAGAGGAGGCCCCTTTTTTTTATTTTATTTTTTTTTATTTTTATTCATTTTACAAAAAATTCATCTTGTAGTCATGACGACCAACGGGGAAGAAAAGAGATGGAAATTTGCACAATGCTTTGGAGATAAAGGCGATTCCGATGATATAACAGAAGGTATATTCATAAAAAAGGACTGCAAAAGAAGAACTAGAGGAAGGTAAACCGAATTTCTTTATTTCTTTTTTTTTAGCGGATATCATTTCAGCAGTTGAATTTGATCATACGGGCGATTATTTGGCTACAGGTGATAAAGGTGGTCGAGTTGTCCTATTCGAACGCAACGACGGTGTAAAGTAGTTTTATAAGTGAGAAAGAGGGTTTATTAATAGTGTAAAAAACATAATAGAAAAAAGGGTGTGAATACAAGTTCCATACAGAGTTTCAGTCCCATGAACCTGAATTTGATTATTTAAAGAGTTTGGAGATTGAAGAAAAGATTAACAAAATCAAGTGGTGTAAACGAACGAATTCAGCTCATTTCTTGCTCTCCACTAATGGTAAGAAAAGCTTCTTTCTTTTTGTTGCTTCTATAGAACAAAAAAAGGGACTAACAAAAATAACAACAAAAAACTCTAGATAAAACAATCAAGTTATGGAAGGTATTTGAGAGAAGTATTAAGGTGGCCAACGAAAACACTTCCAATAGTATTACCGGTCGAAACTTGTTTATTCCTAAAATATCACATCAAGATAATATTGTGGCTGCTGTTCCTAGAAGAATCTACGCCAACGGTATACCATCACAAAAAAAAAAAAAAAAAAAAAAAAAAGAACTCACATTATTTATTCTTCTTATCCCAGCTCATGCGTACCACATTAATTCGATCTCAGTCAACTCGGACAGCGAGACGTATATGTCTGCTGATGATCTGAGAATTAACCTTTGGAACTTGGATATATCCGAACAAAGCTTCAGTAAGTTTTTATCTATTTCGTAAAGCAAAAAGAATGGTGAATTGATTCATAAATACAAAAATAGACATTGTGGATATCAAACCTGCCAATATGGAGGAATTAACCGAAGTCATTACAGCGGCTGAGTTTCATCCAAATCAATGCAATTTACTCATGTATAGTAGTAGTAAGGGTTCGGTCAAATTAGCGGATATGAGAGAATCTGCCCTCTGTGACCAGAACGCCAAGGGTAAAAAGAAAGATTGAGAAATGTAATGGTTGTTACTAGTATTCACACCCTTTTTTTCCTTTCTTAGTGTTCGAGGCGCATGAGGACCCAAATACGCGCTCTTTCTTTTCGGAAATCATTTCATCTATATCCGATGTCAAGTTCAGTCCTGACGGTCGATATATTCTTGCCCGGGATTATTTGACGTTGAAGATTTGGGATATTAATATGGAGAGCAAGCCGATCCAGACGATTAATATCAATGATAATTTACGTAGTAGTCTATGTGACCTGTATGAAAATGATTGTATCTTTGACAAGTTTGAGTGTCTATTTAGTGGCGACGGAAAGTACGTTTTTTTTATACATAGTGCGGTAGAGAAGCAGCTAGCTAACATCTAGGGAATTAGGAGTGTGATGACAGGGTCGTATAGCAATAACTTTTCGATTTACAACCGAGATACCAAGGACGAAATCCCACTTCAGGCAGATAAAAGTGCTTTCAAAGCCAAACGTCTGGTTGGCAATCAAAAGAAGATGACAACCATGGGCCGAAATGGAAAGCGAGAGGATTTGGATCCAGTCGACTTTAATAAAAAGATCCTGCATGCTTCGTGGCACCCCAAAGATAATATCATTGCAGTGGCTGCTACCAATAACCTCTTTATCTTTGCGTAAGTATCTTCTTCTTTAGCATGATTTTTTTTTTTTTTTTTTTTTTTTTTTTTTTTTTTTTTGAGAAGGGATTTGTAACTAACCTTTTTTTTCTTTTTCTATTGCAAGTGAATAACCTTCTCTCTTTAAAATAAATAATTTGTTATCATTATTACAGTGCATCTATTTTACAATGAACAATTTTTGGCTCCGATTTTTCAAAAAAAAATAATAACTCTATCTCCTCGATGAATTCAACAGGTATCCAAAATCCGGCTCTATTACATTCTTTATTAGAGAGTTCTCCACAAACTAATAGAGCCGGATTTTTTTTTTTCACACAAAATTTTTTACAGATGGCAAAACAAAATTGGCCATTTACAGTGGGGAGACCCAAAGATGTCCGGGAGGTGTTTTACAGTGCAAAAATTCATAAAAATCCAACGGATATATCCCGGTTAAACATTTTCCCGCGATAAATTAGATTTCTCTGTCAAAAAATATGAAAATCACCAGTCTAAAAATCCGACTTTTAAGTTCTGAAAATGTCCGTTTTAACGAAAATTGTTCATTGTAAAATAGATGCACTGTATCCACTACCTATCGTTTTATAAAGGGATTTGTATCAATACGGAAAGCGTTATATTTAGGCATTACGTTCTATTTTGAAAAATGAACACATCCTATGCCAATCAAAATAAAAAACATTGGTATTGACTCAAAAAAATGTGCCCTTATTGATGTCTGTATAAATATAAGGCAACTGCTTGAAGCGTGTACTCAGTTTCACAAAACTCGCTCAACTCAACCCCCTTCAATATAACCTGCGAGCTATTAATTCTATCATTATATGCTTCCAAGTTTAAGAACCTTTATTTTAATGACATTTCTTGATTATCAAGGGGGGGGGGGGATTAATTATCTTTACACTTAGACATTTTACAAGACGTTTATTAGTTTCACTATTAATCCCATCAAAGTAAAATGGTGAAGCAACCTAATATGCGACTCAAAGAGAGATATTGCAAGTTGTTTGTCTCTAAGAATTCAAGGTAGCTCATGTAATAGACAATTGTAGCACGATTTGATATTTCACTTCATGCTAAGTGCTAGAACTACACAGTGGGATACGCTCGTGTCTTCCAAGAGAGTATTACCATGTTAAATAATGTCCCCACCTTCTCGTCTCTCTTCACAGCACCTTTGTAAAAAGAACAAATCCGAGAGGGAAAAGATTGCCTTTTGGCCATTAAATAACAAGACATCCTTTCTCCGCAAGTAACTTTCTTCGCAGCTTAGTTCTTTTTTTTTTTTTTTTTTTTTTTTTTTTAAAAAAAAAAAGAAAGTGGCTCCAACATATTAAAGATCTTATTACAAATCATAATCAATTTTTAGGTTTTGTTGTCGTAAGTTATATGATGTCAGTATTTTTTAATCTAATGTTTTTGTTTATATTTATTTATTCTTGGCTTCTCAATCGGTTTTTGCGAATGTCAAGATGACCCAAGCGTTCCCCCAACCTACACAGCAAAGAATCTTTTCTTGGGTTGTACAATATTGTAGGAAAAATAGAGAAATATTTAGGATTTAAAGCGGAGTAAACGCTAAAACAACTTTCTTTTGTTTCAAGGCTAAATAAATCAACCTTAGTGTACGACACCGGGGGTGGGAAAGGGGACCAGAGGGAATAAACAACAGGCAAGGTTTTTTAGGAATGTAACATTACTTTATTTTTTTTTAAAAAAAAGAGAATAACACAATCTATAAATGCAAGAAATAATAATAGAAGATTAAGAATAAATAATAATAATAAAAAAAAAATCGTACGATTTATGATGGTTTTGTTTGTTGTAGATACAGTAATGATAGTATACAAAAAGAGAGTGAAGTGAAAAAAAATGTTTTATGTTACATGATTAAGTTGGAGATAATTTGATAATTGTTGAGATAGTTAATAGTTGGGATAAATGATAGTTGGGATAAATGATAGTTGAGATAAATAGTTGATTAAAATATAGAATGAGCCGTAAATAGAGCAGGTTAAGGGATAGACAAGATGAGATAAAATAGAATGAACGTGTTCTGATGATAGCAAATTAAAGACTAAGCGTGTCATCTGCTTGATAAATATAAGATTGGATATGTTTTCGGCACTTTGGTGATAATGATTTTGTGTAAGGAGATTCCATGTCTTGCATGACTTGGTCCCTTAATTCTGCAATATAAACAGAAGCATGGTGTGCCAGCAACGTCCTCTTTTTACTGCCACCGCTGGATAATCGTTTGGCGGGCGAACAGGTGGTTTGTTGATGAATAATAAGCGCTTTCAATGTACGTAAATGAACGGCAAGGGTAGAAACAACAAGCACGCTGGCTTCGTAGTTTTTGGTAGAGGAAGCGATCTGTTGAATGCATTCGGTAGATGCTGCTCTATCCTTGGCAGCCTGTTTTAAAAATGTGGGGACTTGGTCAGAGTTGGTATCGGTTTGTAAAGCGGTAGCAGCTTCCAACATGTGGTAAATCATGGTTTGATGACGTCGCAGCAAATTGGAGGAAGGATGGTTGTTGACTTGAGGTACTCTGGTTCGGGTATATTCGGCAAGTGCATCTAAATTATCTTGGTGCTGAGTGCCGGTGTTATTACTAAGTGACTGAAGAGTTAAGCCTACTCTTACCCACCATTGTAACATGTGGCCCGGTGCAGTTGTAGTGGCAGAGACAGATAACACGTGCTTCAATTGATTTTCACTGAAAACAGGTCTTGTGCCATTTAAGTAAGAGTACCAACAATCTTGAAGGTTACTGAGTTGTTGCCAATAAAGTACCAAATCGAGAGGCGATGTAACATACGGAAGTACAAATGAATAAAACACATTTCTACAGCAGCTGCCGTCGTCGTTATTTGTAAACCCGTTTCGAATAGCCAGAATCTGTAACACCTGGTCATGGCAATTGGAACCGAGCCATTCAGTAGAAATAATATTATCCTGTTGTTTCTTGTTGTTGTCTTGTTCGACCAAAGATTGTTTATTATTCATAACTTGAATAACACGTGTCCAACAGTAAGGAACAACAAGAGAGGAGATAGAAACCGGTAAACAAAGTTCGAGTTGGATTGCCGTTGTTGCGTAAACTCGAGCCATTGTGTTTTCTTCGCAATAGATGTCCCGTTTTTCATCACGCTTCATTTTATGTAATTGAGAGAGCATACCGACACAAGAGTGTAACATACCAAGACGAGTGATATCAGGATTACCTAGATTGCCATTAAAGTAAGGGAAGGGAGAGAAAGAAAGAAAGACAATATAAGACACAGAGAACAAACAAAATAATAATGTGTGTAAAGAAAAAAAGAAATTTTTATTTTGCAATGATTTTCTTTTTATTATTACCTCCTAAGCATTCAACTTCATTCAATCGAATCCATGCGCCAATGTAAGATAATTCTTCAGGGCAACCAACGGGTTTGGCATTCTTTTGAAAGATGGTGTATATAAAGTTAGGGATGATGAGTGAAAGAGTGTAACGGAAGATATCGAAGATGGTTGATAAAATAGAGATAGATGTGGTGTTATTGCTAGCTTTGACAGTGCTTGTAGACTTGTCTAAAATTGAAATGAGATTGGTGTAAAGGCGACTCCATGCTGTAGGCACTTCATTGGCATAGTGATGATGATCAGTACATTTGTTAGGTCTGTTGACCGGACGAGGTCGAAGCCAACGTAAAAGGAGTGGAATGAGACAAACATAAATGATGCCAAAAGTATAAAGGGTATAACGAAGTATGTGCCTGAAAAAAAAATGTATGATTAGTACTTGGACGCCTAAAAAGTATATCTAAGTGCTTACCAAATGTCCATGGAGGCAGAAACTGTGGAAGGAGCGAATGTTGAACGAGTGTTGGTTTGGTTATCATGAGCACCGAATGAATGAGGCAAGTTACCAACATTGGAAGAGGTAGGGGAAGCGGAAAAGAAGGCGATACACATGAAAGCGGCCATAAACATCTTATTGTTTCCGTCATCAGATAACAATGAAGACTTCTTGGTTGGCTTGGCATTGTTCTTTGAGGATTGTCGGCGACGATAAGGTCTTCTTTCGGGCTTTGGCAATAATTGAGCTAAAGCAGCTCTTTGAGCAGCTCTTTCACGCAAGATGCGCTGTCTTTCTGTTCTTTCACGCTCTTGAGCATCGCGACGTTCACGAGCTAATCTGTCTTGTTCAGATTTTTCAAACTCGCTCTTTTGACAAAGGAAACGATTCAAGACATCATTACCACCAGGCATTTGAGCAATGATCTGTTGTAAAATCAAGTTTTCTTGTTCGGTTGTATCATTGGTATTCTTCAAGAACTGGATGTACTCGGTAGCCTTTCTCAAGATGGTAGCCTTGTTTAATTTTTTAGCAACTTCAACACCCTCAACGATAACAACATCATCTTGTTCGTTATCAGAGTCAGCCACACTGGAATCATCATCAGCTTCACCTTTTTCTCTGATGCGAGCTTTGTAAAGTGCAGGGACAACATTTTTTAATTCACGAATACGGTCATTGATGTTGTTACGGTAACGTCTTTCAATGGCATTATGGGCAACTTTTTTTAATTGCTTCCCTGGTTCAGGACGTTCTAAAGTGTTTGGTTGTGGTTGATGCAGTTGTTGATGTCTAGAGGATGTCTTTCGCCAATGTCTAGGCTCGTGCTCTTCACACTTGATATCAAGAGGATGAATCACATCTTGCTCTAATGATTTGTTTTGGTTAGTACATAAATTCGTATGTAGTTTTTGTAGTGTGTGTTACCTTTTAATTGACACCATTGATCAATGGCAGAGAAGGCACCAGATAATGGGTTTTCAAGTGGCGGTGAGGGCAAATTAGATGAATTAACGGGAGGGTTTTCCGTAATGGGAGTTGTTGGTATATTGATGCCAGGAACATTGTGTAAATGATTGAGTGAAGAATAAATTGTTCTTTTAGCAAAGAAACCTTCAAGGACTTTACTAGCTTCATCTTTGATTTGAGGGTTGGAATTGTATGAAGCGTATAAAGGAGGGCTATTGATCATTTGTGGAGATAATGTATGGGATGTATAACCATCAGATGAAGATTGAGGCGAGCTCAATGGGGATATTTGCATTGGTGATGCAGAGTGATGTGATGTTGGAGGGTTTAGATCCCAATCGAATAGATTGAAATTCTGTTGACCTGGTTGTTGTGTATAGTGATATGATGATGATTGTCTATTGTTGTTATTGTTTAGTAATGAGCTTAGTGAGTTACTATTTTGTTGTTGTTGTTGTTGTTGTTGCTGTGAATCATCATGATATAATATATCACGACTTTGTTGTTGTTGTTGTTGGTGGTGCTGATTTGATGAGGCGACATCAAAGTATGTATCGAAGTCTAAATCAGTTAATTCTTGAAGCATTCTAATAATTGGGTAATAGTGGGTAAAAAAAATAATATATATGAATATATACAGAGAAGAAAAGGAAAATAAAAAAGAAAAAAAAATAGGTTTATAAAACAAGCTGTTTAAATGTATCATATGCTTTCGGGAACTGGGGTAATACACACAACAGGCCACTTTTTTTTAATTTTTTGGTGTAGAAATATGACAGAAAATGATTGGACAAGACATCCTCACCTCATCTTTTTCCTGTCATTTTTTTTTTTTTTTTCAGGTACTTGTAAATGGCGTGAGTTTTGTCCTATTAATACACAGAAAATGTCAGATGATGCCTGCCCTTTTTATTCTCTTCTTTCTCCACATAATATAAAGTCATTATCTTTTCACACAGTAATATCATAACTTCTTTTTTTTTTTTCCTTTTGGTTTTGTGAATGATCTGATATTTATGTAGCACGAGGTACTCATAAAAAAGAGGGGGTCCTTGAACCTCTTGTCAATTATGTCTTTATTTGAACCATCTACACGCTAATCCAAATGATTTAATATGTTTGTATTCTAGTAGATGAAAAAGGGCTGATTTTCTTGAAGCAGATATCTTGTTTTCTGCGAAGATAAATTACACACGCCCACCCCCTTCCAACTATAAAAAAAAAAACTCGGGCTAAATTGTGCTACTTTTGTAATCAATAATTGCTGAGTTGATTTATTTTAAAACAGGCCACCTTTTTTCTTGTCAAGAGAAAAAAAAAAGTTTTATCCCGTACAAGTAAAAAGTTTCAATAATCGTAATTTCGTATTGTTTCGGGAAATTCGTAATTACCTGTAATCAAACCAAAAAGAGAGCAAAAAAAAAACGCACCCTGAAATTTCATTTCCGCTTCTATTTTATGTTTCAGTTGGCAAATTAGTTATTGCTGTCATTTCTCTATTGATCACACAAACAGGCCCTTTTAAGGAGGGATGTAAAACATAGCAACTCACAGGGAAGAAAGTGCCCTCTTTTTTTTTTTTTTTTTTACACTGTAATGTTACATGTGAAAATATAAATGTATAGCATATATTATCAAATGATTAAATAAGCATTTCCGATCTTGTCATATGCATCCATTCAGACAAGAATATTTCATTGCTATTGGCTGCAAGCCGTGAGAGTTAAATATCACAAAAACGTATAAATATCCTCTTTCCTTCACTTCTTTTTCTTTCTTTTAAAAACTACAGAAAAAAAAGAGCGACGACCGGAATTAAACCCGAGAGAAATAAAAAAAAAATCGGAATCCGACCATGAAGATCAGCCTTTTTTAGTTAAAAACATTGACGAAAAACTTGTAATTAAACCTGAACCAGTACATTATGGATTTATATTCGTCCCAAATTGGGTCAACCCGAATCAATTTATAGCCGAAAAGAACCTGTACTTTGAGGATTATAATAATCATATCAGTAACATGATAAATGTAAGAAAACTCAGCTCTATCAACCAAGGTACAATGTCCTACAGCACGTACCATGTATAGAATGAGCGATTGGTTGGCCAAGAACAAATTAAGCGCGTTAAACGATCTGACGTTCTTAAACTGGGCGGCATATATATTTACCGTCTCTACTTACTATTCAGGGAGCCCAATTTAATAAGGAGAAAAAAAAAGACTACTATATTTCTCTGTCGTTTCATTTAAAATATAAATCACGACTTTATATGATGCAAAAATAAATAAGCACATACAATTTTCATGTACATGATATGTACATTTATGGAGAAGGTTCTTTTGGGGTAATATAGTAGTAATACATTTATAACAATAAATTATATTTTTCAGGCATCTTGGAAGCATTTAACCTTATAAACCTCCTTTTTTTTAAAAAAAAATTATCCCTTGCATTACTACATGTGGTATTTTATATTTTTATTATAAATGATATACTATTGATTGCTATTGATATTTACTATATAATGTTCCTTTGGTTTTGAATCGTCCTCATCGTCGTGAGAGTAGGCATAAGCATCCTGTAAATTCACTTGAGGTTCATAGATCTCGATCTTCTTTGGACGCTGATCAAAAGAATAATGGTAATTTTCTGATTCTACAGCAGTTGGTTTTGCGTCTGATGAAGATAGAACACCAGCGTTATCTATTAATGTATTGGATGGCGAGAGAGTTGGCAAAGGAGGCCTCTCTTCCAATTGTTGCTGTTGAAATTCGCCTGCAACAAGGCTAGGACTAAATGCAAGTTGTGGAGAATATTGATTTTTAAGCATCATGGCTACATGTCTATCATCAACCAGAGTGTCTGCAGTCATTCTTTTTTGTCTAATAGATGTATAGGCAGGAGGGGGTACGCTATGTTCTTGTGTTTGGATCATATTGTTCTTTTCTCCAAGATCATTATTGTTGGCTGCAGATGTATTGATTGTACTAAGACTTGCCCAGCTCTGATAACTGTTAGGTAGGATTTTGGCTGCTTCGGGTGTCTTTGGTACTGCCGGAGGTGCGTCGTCGTATCCCCGAGAGAGATTTAAGGAATCATCGTGAACATAAATAGCATTTTTCTTTTTATTACGACCAATCAAGTAAATGATGGCTATAGCAACCACCCCCACTGTACCTAATACGCCCAATAAAGGAGCAATCCAACATGTTCCATCTGCATGGCTTTTATTCATTGGTGTTTTATCACTGAATGATGGATCATTTCCAATAAAAGGTGGTGGTCTAGTAGTGGGTGCAGGTGTGTTAAATAGTAACGTAGATGACACACTATTACTGGATACAATGGGCGATTTCAACTTTGGTATATTCGTGCTACTGTTGGGAATAGGTTTGGCACTTGTGGCAACCGCTTCAGGATTTGTATTATCGTAATTACTCAAGACTAGTCCAGTAGGTGTTGGAACAAAAAATGCATGAAGTGGTGCGTGGTGTGCACCCTTCAAATTTCCAACATCATTATTGGACATCTATCACTTTCTCTTTTATATTATCTCGTTTTATTAATGAGGTTTTACAAAATAAAAAAAATAAAAAAATAGGGAAAAGAGTAAGAAAAGAGAATAAAAATAAAGGGAACACTCTTTCTTATAGCAGACACATATAAATGCATTTATACTGCATATCACTCTGATTTACTTACCTAACCAAACAAAATGAAGACCTCATTTTGTTAGCCCCCTATCAGCATTTTTTTGTTCAAGCGTATTTATTATGATAGACGGATCTGCATCACAAGATAATAGGCGCGAGTATGTATGTATCACTGATCTTTGATCCATTCCAAGTGCATTCAAACAAAGTGTCACTGAATTCTAATTCCTTGTCTATCAAGCACTAGATCAAACATATAAAACACTTCTACAGGCGTCCATGCATAATAGTAGTATGACCTTTCACTATCTACAAGTTTGTTTATAATAAACACAATCACACTGTCAATAAGCGTGAATCGACGAAATAAGCTTTTATTGTTGCAAAGATCATGGCGTGAAATAGCTACTCGGAGAATTTTTACTTTATGTACAACAAGCTAATAAATTAAAATGTCACTATTCTTTAAGCGAACTTTTTTATACAGTGTAGCGTACATGGGATGAGTCTGGGCTAGAAACTTTTTCTCCCAGACAATAAATTTAAGGGCGAACTCTTTTTTTTGTAAGCAGCCAAGCTTGTTACATCACTAAAAGGCCCTTTTGAATAGTCCTCGTGACCATGACAGCACAACTTTAATATCATCTAGTATACACTTTAATCCGCCTTACTCCCTCTTTTGAAAACTTATAGTTTTGTTTGAAAAAAAAAGAAAAACCGCACTGATTCCTTTTCTCTTTGATGAATGTATGCTTTACCGTTAAAGCAACTATGTCTGTACGACTTTGTTATCGGATTAAAAAAAAAATAGGCTTCCGGCCAATCACATTTGCTTTTGAAGAATGATACGATGCTCTGCATATATTTTTACAAAATTGGTCTGGTTCTTTCTGTTTTGGTTGTATGGGGGGTTCTAAAAGTGCCTCCCTAACGTCATTGTAAATAGTTTAATTTACGTCGGTTAGATTATATGATATCTAAGGGATTAGGACTTTTGACATGAAAATGTGCGGGGACATAATGGTTGGGAAGTACAAAAGTGTTACGCATGTGATTTACCTTGGTTTCAATTTTTTGCGCAGCTGTTCCTTTAGTATAGATATTTAAAGACAAGCCCTCTCTCGATGTGCTTCTAAGCCCCTTAGATTGTATTCATTTATCATTGTTATTGAATTGTACAGTGGACTTCTCTTTTACGCGACCTTGTCGCAAATCACATATATAATATAAACAAGCTATGACGTCAAATAACTGTAAGAAGGTAATCTTCTTTTGTTTAGTTCCCCCCACATGTCTACATTATATCATTTTGTTCTCGAACTACAATTATAGGCTGATGTAACAAGGAGCCAAAAAAAAAAAAAAAAAAAAAAAAAAGTGTTGTGCGACAGGGTATAATTCTTGTAGCATACAAGATTTATGCCAAAAACATCATTCATCCTTTATATCTTATAACAACTGTTTGTTTGATCAACTGTAAAAATAACAACAACAAATAAATGGACAAATAAAGTATATATTAATGGCGAAGTGTTCGTTGACGATAAGTGTTTGTGTTTGTTTGAGGCAGTGGCCAGTGGCAGTGCCATGTCAGAATAAAAAGGAAATTGAAACACGTATCGGAAAACACCATAGAATAACATTTGACCGTATTATTTGCATGACCCTGTATATTAAATCATGACTAATTATGGCAGTAGCCTGATCCAAACCCTAGCCTTTCCCCCCGTTAAACACCCATAAAGTGAGCTCGAATTGTAATGCAGCCAGCTTGTCAAGTTTATTTCATGATAGGAAAAAATGTTCTATGGACGGATAGATGCTTTTTTTTTTCAGCAAAAGAAAAACCTGTTGAAGTAATCATAAAAGAACCATTGTCTTATAAATAGATATAAACTACAAATTAAGGAATAAATAAAACCCGGATGAGGTTCATATTTACTATTTTAAAATAGAATTCTTTATTTAAACCTAGAGTTAACTACATTTGATTGCACTATCTATTTCTTTCAATATGACTTTTGTATGTTCGTGAGATATATAGCGAAATCAGTTTCATTTCCTGTTGTGTTCACTGCAAATTAATTTATTTTGGGGGGAGTAATGCTGAGCCCTTGATATAATAGACGCCTCATCACCCCTAGGCTTAGGAGAAGCAGAGATAAATATCTTTTAATGCATCAATGGCTAAAATTAACTGTTCGTACATCACCTCTACATCCGAATCAATTGTGCTACTCCAAAAAAAGTTCAGGCATTTAAGCAATGTTGATTTTATTAGCACAAAGGACCATATATGTAAAACAATGAGGATCGAACTCTATTTTTACCCTTCATACATGACCCGCGATAAAAAGCTACATGGTTGTTCTTTATAACATCACTGTAAAAAAAAAAAAAAATATGCTGAGAGAGAGAGTGAGCACTGTTAAAACCCAGCTGTGCATGAAAGTTTCAAGGTACCAATTTCATTACGCCTGAGACCACTTTTTTTTTTGTTTTTTTTTCACCTAATTTCTCTCTCTCACCTATACATCTCTATTATAGCAATCTCCTGTAGAAAAATAATTATGACTGTAGAAAGTACTTCCTTGGAAAGTAATACGGCGACAAAAAGCGCAGGATTAGATAAAAACCTGGATGAACACATGGATGAACAGCCGACTGCCTCATTTACAGGATCAAGCTTACATGCGTCAATCATCTCACCCATTCACATGTCCAATCTACCTCTAAACATATTGGAGCATATTCAGCAACATAACGGTAACGTGATTACCTCCTTACCGAATAACACTATCTCGCCTGAGGTGCTTCTTCACCAACAATCGTCGATAAATCATAATAATAGCAGTGGGGCGGATACTAAAAAGAGCGATGAAAAATCAAAGGGACTCACGCCCGACGAAAGAAGACAGCGCAGGTTACTGAGAAACAGACTGGCGGCCAAAGATTGTCGTAAAAAGAAGAAGGAATATATCAAACAGATGGAGGAGAGAATTAGCCAATTGGAGAGTGAAAGGATCGAGCTAAAAGAAAAAGTGGACGAATTAAAAGCAAAAATTGCAAGTGTCCCTTCTGCAGAACAAATGATGATGAACAATGATGACAATTATAAGCTTATGAAGGAGGTGGAAGCGTTAAATGCTAAACTTGGAAATATGCAATAAAAACAAATGTATATAAATATATATCAAAAAGGTTTATACAGAAGGAAATAAGTGTAACGCTCACTAAAAAGGTGATACTTTGTTATTGATAAAGAAGCGTGTGCAAATGGGCTTATTGAAAAAAAAAAAGAAAACAAAAACAAGCGGCACCTTATTTTTGCAACCAGCTGTTCGGTGCACAAACTAAAAAAAAAAAAAATCTATTTTTATAACTTTTTGAACGTTTATAAATATTTTCTCAAATCAATTGACTTAATCCATCATCTTTTCTTCTCTAAACTTTTTTTTAATATACCAATGTTGCGTTCACCAAAATTTGTATGGGCAACATGCTTAGCAGCACTCATATTAACAACGTCGCTTGTATTTTATACATCTACACAGTCTATGAGTATTCAATTACGATTTAGTATTACCCCTACCACTTCAAATGTTGCGACCACAACAGACAAGGAAGAAAAGTTCATCACGTTTTTACCTCATTCTGGCCTTCATAATCAACGTATTGGTCTTATCAATGCAATGATCCTTGCCAAGACACTTGATCGTACATTGATTCTGCCAGCAATCAATGTAGGAAGCGCCATCTCATGGAAGCCTACACCACTGTCTGAGTTCCGTCTTAGTGAATGTCCTTCTATCAAGCAACGTAGTAATCCAAAGTGTAGAGACTTTAAAAAGTATGTTCCTATCTCTGTCGAAACCATCTTTGATCTCTCTGCTGCGCATTCCGTTGGTATCCGCACTGTCCAAAGATTAAACATGTCACCTAGCTATTACAATGACGTTTATGGCTGGAATGAACAAGACATCTACCGCATTGATGATAATGATCGTTATTCGTATCGTATTTACGATACTCCCGATAACCAAGATTCCATCAGAACATTTCGTTATCGTATCAATATGGATGACCTTCAGCAACGTGACGAAAAAATCATTGTCTTTGGTTCGTTACACTACACATTACGTTTGGCGATGCAAGATCCCAAAATGGTTTGGCTGGCAAAATTTCTGCGGGAGGAAACAAGCATCTCGCATCCTACCGTCATTAAACAGGCCTTATCCGTACTTCCTCTTTTAGGTGGTCCTGAGAAGTTCGTGGGTGTTCACTTGCGCCAAGGCGATGGTTTCTTCAAGAAATTAATGGATGAAACTTTAAATACTTTGCGAGCCACTTTGGAACAATCCACATTGAAACCTGAATTATCTACCATGGATCAACAGCAATTGATGGCCGCTTCCGTCATGACCAGACCTCTAAGCTCCGATGAAGAAGATATGATTGATATGTTGAAGGAAGTAGGAGAGTCAAGTCCCGAGACCGTTATCCCATTACTCAACAAGTGCGTGCAGCTACATAGTGAGGATAACCATCCTCGATTACGTCTTATCTTTATGGCAACAGACACTCGTCAGCCTCGTACAACACTAAAAGAACTCTATGACGAATTTCCCTGCATTTTTACACTTTCCGACTTTCCTGGTGTCATTGAAAGCACACTAACAATGGGCCCAATGTTGACTGGTGACAAGGACCTTGACGAGGAAGCTACCCGACTGGGCTCAAGCATCGCTTCTCTCTTAATACCCATGATTGATGCTGAAATCGCTTCTCACGGCTCCAGTTTTATCGGAACAAGAAAGAGTACATTCTCTCAATACATCAATCATAGATTCAACAGATTCCAAACCTTGTACCATACAACCTCATAGAAAAAAAAGACCAAAAAAAAAAAAAAAACCTATTTTTATACATTTCAACTTCCATATATATACCTGTACATTTTTCTCTCTCCCATTTATTTTTATTTTTTTCTTAATCCCCGCTTTAAACCATACATCGCAAGGCATTTTAGTGCGGTATCACCCTTTTTATATAATTGATAGGCCATGTTTCCTATTAAGTCATTCTTTTTATAAATAAAAAACTTTTTGAAACACCAGCCCAAACAACAGCCCCCCTCTATTCAAACTGCCCGTGTACGACAGTGATGTAAGGCCAAGGTCATTGGAAGAAAAAAGTTTATGTCGGGGATTTCGTTAAGCTTGTGTAACTAAAAACAAAGCCTTGTTTTATTTATTTTTATATAAACAAAGCCAATGAGGCTTATGATTCTTGTGGAACAAATATGAATATGCCATAAAATGATGAAATGCTGGAATAGTGTGTGTAGAAGGGGGGTGGGGGATATGTGTTGATATTTAATAAGAGTATTGTTGATCATCTTCAGATGACTGCACAAAAAAAAAAAAAAAAATTAGTATCTGTATAGAACAACATTAAAAAAAAAAAATCTTACGTCTTCTTCATAGTTGCTGTTATGCATGTTTAAATTAAAAAAGAAAAAATGAGTACAGGAACAAATAATTTTAATAATTAACAAATACTTACGTATCACCCAAAGTACCTTGTAGATCTCTTACTTGGTTCTTGAGATCGTTCTTCATTGCTATCAAATGACGAATATGATCCACAGCTATTTTATGTCGAAAAAAAAAAAAAAAAAAAAATTAAAAATCCCCAAACTAGGAAAAATCTTTTTTCTTTCAAATAAAAAGGAAAACTTACATTTTTGTAAAATCAGTGCTTCGCTACGATTTCCATGATTTAATGATGGCACAATATCAATCAATTGATCAAATCCAATTCGAATATTCTGTCTTCTTTTTTGTTCCGAAGCAATATGATTTGCTTTTTTTTGGGACTCGGACAATAACTCATGTGGTTGTTTACGATGTCTGCGTTCTTTGGTTGTGACTTGGTCCGTATTTTCATGCTTCCGAGTCTGATGATGTGGTTGGTATGGGTGACTGGATTCGGGACTCCATCGATGCCGATGACGGCTCACTAGCTGCGGATAGTTTAACGTAGGAGGTAGGGGTGATGGCGAAGGATCATCCCAAGACGCTTGCTGTTGTTGGTAATAATCCTGATGCTGCATAGTAGTTGAAGTAGTGTTAATTGGGTATGTTGGGATCGGATAGTTTGTAAATGAAGACAGGGAGGATGAAGAGGCGCTGGTACTGCTTAATGAGGATGCAGGATGATGGTATCTCTGACTTGGTACTGTCACTGCTATTTTTGTATGGACAAATTGAGATTTTAGTCAAGCTAGTTTATGTTTGTTTCCATGGAAACCTTTTTACCTTCTATATGCTTATTACTTGGCTGTATATATTCATCATCATTTGATGGTGAACGTTGAAAGGCATAAGGGTTGTTAAATTCATTCATATTGATTTTCGAGCAAAAATAAAAGAGCTCTACTTCGAAGAGAGAAATAGGGCATCCTTTTATACACACAAATCTATCAAATCATTTTAAGAATATGTTGCCTGTTTTCATGTGATTCTATATATTTCACGTGAGTGACGTCTAATAAAACAAGATTAGCATGCGATGTGCACAACGATAAAAAAATTGATGGATTTTGTTTACGCACAGAGACGGAGTCACATGTGCTTTGACCAACTAACAAACAAAAATGGAAATTAGGAAGAGGAGCAAAGTAGTAAAAAAAGTCACAATTCATGGCAATGTTAATGACAGCATTAAAACCTTTTTTATTTATATTTCTGCCTTCGTATACCCATCCCATACTACCAAAAGAAATTCTGCATTTGCTCCCTGATCAAGTCTACGTATTATAAAGAATTAGGAAAAAGAAACGTGGCAAGCGTTACACAACAAGCTTGATCCCGTAGATAATCATCAGCGTATGGGAATATCGTTTACTTGTCATAGTTATCGCGTGTCGATTAGTAACTACAAGTGTTTTTTTTATGATAATGGGAAGATTATCGGGATAACATGAGCTTTATTCTGAGTCTTTTTTTTTCGTTTTTTTTTTTGTGATCTTTATGACTGGATATTATTCCCCCGTACCAAATGGCTTTACTAATCAGCTGTAATCAGTTTATCCTAAATAAAATAAAAATAAAGCAACAACAGGTGCTACAAATAATAAGCTTGACAATTTATTGCCATCAAAATCATCAAGATTATTTCCAACTATTGGTACACTTATTAAATTGACGTTATAGCAAATATCCAACGTCAAATACAATATTCCAAGTAGCGGTTCAACTACCACTAACAACAGCCACGTTAAATTACTACGCCTTTCAGGCAGACACCCTTTTTCGAATAGAGTAATAACAAAAATGTAAAAATATCAGCACCCCTTTTGGTACGACATATATATATTATAACTACGTCTATATCTGTGTCCCCAAAGAGATTGTTTTTACAGTCTTTATTTATTTATATGCTATCAATGATCAACAACTGAGCTGAAGTGCTCAATTTAATTAACAGTTACATGTAATGTCTTATTAACACTTCTCTGTCATATTTGAGAATAACAAGACTACCTACTCGAGGCTGATGACCATCTGCTTTGGACAACTCTTAAAACCGGCTTATCTCAACACGACTTGACTACTGTTTAGAGTCTTTATTAAATAAATAGGTTTAGGATTAATAGGTATGACGAAGTAAAATTTAACTTCTTGTGCGTGGTGGCTTTCGACCTACCTACATATATTGAATTTATTTGCCATTTCTGGGCAAGTGTAGCACTAAATGTGGCAGATCAAGCAAAAAATAATACTGTGTCGGAAGCGCTCCCACCATAATCGTGAATAGTTTCCATTGTGTTTAATATTATTATGTGTAATCCTATAAGCCCTATTTATTGCCTTATTGTAACCTTATGATGTGATATGTCTAGTACTAGCTATCTATATTGGGCAGAAGGTTACCAAATAATGCCTGATGTATTCATGTCATAGATATGGATATACTTCTTGTAGCACTAATATGGTAGATCACTACAAGTGAATCCACTCTGCGATTCCACTCAGTGATTCCACAAAAACTGGATGAAAAAAAAAACAGAGTCAAACGACCATGTTAACGCTGGGAAAAACTGTAAGTTAAGGAAGTGAAATTAAGTTATTTTGTCTTGATAAGACAATAAGAAGCTTGTAGTCGATGAAAATCCTTCCCTAGCTTGTAAAAAGGTTTTTGCTTTGACTATATGGCCCATTAATAACCACTGTGACAGGGGATTAATGAAGATCTAATGAGAGGCTACGAAGGAATTATATCTTGTAGTAGTCTGAGAAGTACTATATACATCCCTAATTTTACAAAAAGCTTCATCGTCCTAAAATGCATGAATAGCTGTAGGACAGTTAAAACAGTTTGCTCAAAAAGGGTTTCGTTCAGTCAACAGGTAAATAAGATCCTAATTCACCCTTATCCTCAATACCATTTCGTTTACAAGTAAGAAATTTTCCACAAATCAAAATGCAATACAATACTTATATAACCTAATAGATAAAATAGTGGAATAACTGAGTCTTTGTTATTTACTTTTTTCAATGGAGTGTTTACAGTTAATAAAGAAAGCTCTAATCGTGCATTGATAATTAAATCAACTTCTTTGAGTGAAATGTGGCAAGATCCTTCGTTTCCGAAGAGTGTTAGTCGACAAACGCACATAAATGTATAAAAAAGGTTAGGGACCATTACAAAAAGATGGTGGAGGGGTTTCATACAACAATAACATCGCATACATATCCATGTAGTTCATCTTTTTAGACTCTTCACATGGAATGTAATAGGAAAAGTCGTGCAGAAATAAGCATATAAAAATGTATAACCGTTACAGCAACACATTGGTAACGATCAAATTAGTCAATAACAAGACAGCAATGAAGTATGGGACCATTTTTAGCAGCCAGGAGGTTATTATTTTAATCTCCGAATCATATGGCATACCTTTTTTTTTAAACTGATTTGATAAAAATCAGGATCCTATAATTTTCGTGTCAAAGTAAAGTCGTTGAGCATTAAACTTTTACTAAAATAAAGTTTGCCCAAAATGTCCAAAAAAATTATGCGCATCTTTGGATATATTTTAGAGTGTAGTTTTATATAAAAGATATAAATTTTGTCTAACACAAACTAATTTTTTACGTGGGCGTTAAATACAGTTATTGTTATAGTAAAACTGCTCCACAAATGCTACCAATAGAAAAAGCGTAAAATTTGGGCCTTAGTTATCTATGAACACTTTTTGTTAAACTTACAGGAAGGGTTCCTAAAAGGTACATTTGTAAATTTTGATATTTTCCTCGAGGTATACCCTTTGTGTTTTGGTCAATTTTGGGGTTCTTAAAAAAAATCTTAAAATCAAAACCTAATAATCCAATATGATATTTTAGATGATTTTGAACATTTTTTTGGCTTGAAAGGACGTACGGAAACGACAGTTTACTATATGGAAAATTCGATTGAAAATGACATATCAAGTTAAAAAGGGACAAAACAGAGAAGTTGATATTATACGCACCCTTTTCTTATTATGGGAGTATGTAAACGCTTGAAGTAGTATAGAAAAAGTCCCGAATAATTTTTTTTTTTTACTTTCAATAAACATGATCAGCAATGCATCAATTATAAAAAAAAACGGTCATGTTTAATAAGCTCTGGATATAAATTACTCATTATTCGATAATTGCTGTTTTTTCATTTTCATTTTTATAAAATAAAATTGTTAGAGATCTCCTGCTTGTGCCGACAGCGAGAACTGCTGAAGATACCCGAAGACACCCCCAGAGTCCCACTGACAACCCGCACAGGAGACCTCAAGGTATACCCCCACAAGTGAGAGCAACCCAAAAGCCCCAGACCCAACATGAAGAAAAAAAAAGAAGAAAAAAATGAAAATGGAGTGAAAATTGGTCTGCTTTTATACTTTTCAAAAGCTAAAAATTGTGTGTAGATCATCATTTATGACGTTTTTCCTGTGACTTTTTCTTGAGTTTCCACGACTTTCCATGGCACTTTGTGACAATTAAGGATTCTCGCACCTTTCCTTTTTTGTTATATCTAGCCATGCTCTATGTGAATAATGGTATCACATCTAATTAAAAATTAGGGATGTATCCGGTTCCACGTTCCTTTTTAATTTACTTTTGTAAAAATTATCTGAATTGATCCACACAGCTTTTTGTTTAAATTATCGTCTCGATGGAGCTTTTTAGTGCCCTAAAACTGTGTAATAACGCATGAATTTCTCCATCGTGTAACATCCCAAGCAACATCTCAGTATCTTTTTTTTGGCACTTGTCAAACAATTTTGTCGTGTTTAAGATGTTAGCTATAAACATTTGATATATATAATCTTCTCCATTAAAAAGATATTTACATGGGCTTAAATATCAGTGAAATCATAACTGTACTGATGGCTTCCATTTCGAAATCGTTCAGTAGTCACTAAAATAAGGATCCACAATAACTACAAAGAAACTATCCTTGCCAATTAAGATCCTTTTTCGCTTTTCAACAAATTAAAAACGATTCTTTATTTATGTCACATTGGCTTTATAAGACTTTATTATTAATAAGTGAATAACGCAATTCACCTCAGTTTTTTCGATGAACCCAGCAAATAAAAAAAAATCCCAATAAAATAGCTTAAAATATAATGATATTCACGGATAAATATTTATAAGCTGCTGCCTCATTTCCTTCTTAAATAAGGGTACTTTTTTTTTATTTGCCTTATCTTTTCTATCGAGAAAAATATTAAAACCCTAGAAGGCAGGTTCTCAAAATACGTTCTAAAGTTATAGAAATATGTTGCTCGCAAAAATTATTTAGCCATGTGCATTGATTCTTATAAAAAAAAGCTTTCTTAGAACAGAAGGAAGGATCGATTTAATATTTACGAGAGGTAACTGTTAGATTGAACATCATCTGACACGGTTATACAAAACAAGCAACAAATCGAAAAGGTGTCTGTAGCGAAAACATCTCTGTGCAGCCAAACGCAAAATTAAAGAAATTAGAGCATGTGCTTATAAACTTCTAATTGTTTCTCTTATTGTGTCGATTTTGATTGTATGTATATGACATTCATCCTTCTATCCTTTTTTTAAGATTAAATCTAAAGTACACACGTTAGATGCACATAGTTCTCTAATACATCTTTAAGCAAAGATCATTACAAATAAAGAATTTAGTGTACATCATAACACGTTAAAGTCATCGTTACATGATTTGCTTTTGTGGCGCCAAAGAATTTGTACAGAAGAGGCTATTTGTGGTCAGAAAACCCCAATTTACACTCAAAAACACGTTTTTTTAAACAATTCCAGGACTTGGTCAAGGTGCTTTTACCTTGTCTCAGAATCATTTGATCGCTCGTTTCCCCGGAATTGGGTCACAGTAAAAGTAATCCCCGCAGCTTAAAAAATCATGCGTGGTGATTTTAGAAAAATCCTCCAATCGTGACGTTGCGGGATTTGGAAAAAGTGGCGTGTGTATATATTTTTTTTTTTCTCGCACTTCAATGCAAACAATTATTTCTTCTCTTTTCTTTTTCATAAAATGGATCAAGAAATAAAGGACTCACAGGTAGGACCCATAATTATTTTAAGATACAGTAATTAATTTCATTGACACATAATAGCATCCATTGGACTTAAATTCACCCAACGAGCCATTGATAGGTGACGAGATAGTGAAGAAGAGTGTTAATAGTAGAAGAAGAAGACGCGGTAGCCGTAGACATTCATCAGGTAATTCCGACGTCAATGAAACAACGAGTGATACGGAAAAACATACACAGAGACGTCAAAGCTCACAGATGGAGGAAGACAAAGATTCGCCTGCTTTTCAATCGCTCGTGGATATTATCCATGAAATGAAGCGTCTCCCATCAATTTCTATCAGTCCGGAAAAGCCACCAACACCACCAGAGAGCAGTAATAGCTGGAAAAGAGTACGAAGACATTCTGAGCCACAGCACAAATACAAACAGCAACAACACCATCACCATGACTTCAAAAACCCATTAAGCACTGTCAATGAGCAACAACATTCGAAACATGCAGACATGACTCAAGGGAAACCCGTATTTTCGAATTCTTTCCTGGCATTAGAATTAGATGACGAGGGTGAGAATAACATTGATACTTTGGTGTCACCATTAAACAAACAACAACAAAGAACGCGTAGCAAATCTGGTAAGAGAGAGAAAAAAAATCGCATAGTTAAAAGTACTTGCTGAATATTTCATATAGTTCCCGACGCTATTGTACCTCAACGTCGCGATAGTTTATCATCAACCAGAAAAGTTCTCTATCCTGCTCATTTGCCTATCGAAGAGGCTTCTGTTGAGATACGTGCACATGCTTTGTTTTCTGGTATACTTCGTGTTGACTTGAAAGATAGTTCTGAGGCCAACGTTGAGTGTGAGGAACTGGATGGTGCTTCTATCTATATATTTGGATCCCGTAATAGAAACCGAGCATTTGATGGTGACGAAGTTGCGGTTAGACTAGTCCCCGTGGATGAAATGATGGAGGAAAAAATATCAAAGCGACAACGTCATACCAGAAGATTGTCATTAAACAGTGTGGATACACCTTCTAATGTTGTTTGCAACCCCGGGTTATCCTCGATTCCGGAAAACGACACAAACTTCTTGGATATGAGTAATTTAGCAATAAGCGACACATCCAAACCAAAATATTGCGGAAGAGTTGTTTCTATACTTGAACGACCTAAAAAGATGCTATTCTCAGGGTAATTGAAAGACCGAGCCTAATTCTTTCAAATGCACTAAAAAAACAGTTTTTTTTTATTAGCACTCTTTCATTAAATCGACCTCACGCGAAAACCTTGGATAATGCAAGCCGTGAAAAAAAAGACCATCATGGACCCAAAATTATATGGTTTATCCCTGCTGACAAGAGACTTCCCCTGGTTGCTGTGCCTATCAAGCATGCGCCTACTAACTTTATAAAATATCATGAAGAATACAAGAACAGAATTTTCATTGTAATGTGTTTAGTCTCGGCTTATTAATTTAGCGCTAATAATTAATTTCTTTTAAAAAACAGGGAAGTATTCAGCGCTGGCCGGCGACATCATTGCATCCATTTGGTATAGTTGAAAAGGAGATTGGATGGATGGGAGAGCTTGCCGTTCATTCAGCTGCATTGATAGCAGATAATCATATCAGGGACATGGATTTTTCAGAAACGGTTCAAAAAGCTGCTGCTGCTGTACCATCAGATATATCCAGCGAGGATCGAAAGAACCACAGGGATCTTACAACAGAGGATATAACGATATTTACGATGGGGGAATCTGACTCTGACTTAAATACCGCGTTCTCTGTCACCAAAACAGAAGACGGTATTCTCGAGATCGGAATTCATGTGACGGATGTTTCTAATTACGTTCGAGCTAACACTCCCTTAGATCGAGAAGCAAGAGAAAGATCGTGTTCAGTAAATCTCGTGGATCGTAAAATTGCCATTTTACCTCCTTCATTTACAGAATCTCGATTTAGCCTCGGCATCGATCAAGAAAGACTGGCCTTTTCTGTACTTTGTCGATTTACTGAAAATGGTGTTCTTTTACATGCTTGGATAGGAAAGACTGTAATCAAGTCTAAGGGGCATGTATACTTTCCTTCAAACCAAAAATTAACAGATGATTTATTAAAAGCAGACAGCCAAACTTTGTTAAAGATGTGTCGAAAGTTGCAACAAAACCGTCTACAAAAACTGAATGGTCACAGTCTCGCAAGGTCATTCCCGATATTTAAAATGGCTGATAGTGGATATCCAGAAGAAATTGATCGCTTCGATGGCACAGACCATGATGCTTTAATTGATGAGTTATTAATTGTAGCAAATGTCGAAGTAGCACAAAAAGTCTCAAGCAGATTCCCTGATCAAGCTCTTTTGTACCGACAAAATGCACCGAAATTATCTAAATTGGTTAGTAGCTTTGACACCTCCACCAATGTTTTACTAAAATTTGTTTCCAGGCTGCCATTCAAGATTATTTTGATAACGATCCATTATCTGATTCATATAATGGGTTGTTAAAACTTGTTTCAGAGCGGGAGTTATCACTTGAAAAGCGACAGGCACTCGTTCATATCATCCGTCAAAATACGCCCGGCAGTATATATTTCAGTGCAGGAGCTATAGATATAGTCAAATTTCCACATGCAGGTTATGGCGTATCTCTTTTTACAGTATTTACAGAACCCATTCATAATTATGCATCCATATTTGTCCAGAGACAGCTCAGTGAAGCATTAAAAGGCATTGAACAAGACAATGCTAATTTTGATGCTATTGATAAAATTGCTCGTCATTGCAACTCAACCAATCGTTTCAAAGCAACTGCTGAACAAGATAGTAGAAAACTTTACACAGCAGCATACATTTATCGTCAACATCTGGATACAGATCAAGAGAGTACTCATGTTGAAGCCTATGTGATGTACTTTGGCGTCGATTCAATTATTGTCTATATTCCGGAATTCGATCTAGAGTTACCCATCGAGTTAAATGAAATTTCTATTCCAGGAGGCCAACATGAATATGATTCTAAAATGAACAAAATGAATATTGAATGGTCCAATGGGGATAAGCAAAGCCTTAAGTTCATGTCAAGCATTGAACTTAATATCAGTGTCGATTTAAAGGTCGTTCGACCAATATTCAAGGCCGAGATTATAAAACACACAGAATAAACATCAAAAAAGGCCATTTATTATATATATATATATTTTCAATTCATATTAAAGGGACAGGGAAAGGGGAAAAGGGGCGCATTTAAGCACCGAGAGAAGGGAAAGCAGCGACATCAGCAATGTTGACGGCGGGAGCCTTGGATTCCTTACGGGCGTTGTTACCACCACGGGCACCACGAGCACCACCGCGGGCACCACGACCACCACGAGCACCACCACGACCACCGCGACCACCACGAACATTTTCACGAGGAGCAGACTTCTCTTCGAAACGTTGTTCAATGTCAACAAAAACCTTTTCCTTCTTGACCTTGTCAGTGGCCTTCTTGGGGGCCTTGGTTTCCTTGGAGGTGTAGAATTCCTCGAAGTTTTCCTTGGTAAAGGTAACAGCACCCTTGAAAGCTGAGTCATCGGCATCATTAGCCTTACGAGCTTCAGGGAGAGAGACCTTCAAAGACTTGTTGGCCTTTTCAGCCAAGTATTCATCAAGGGTCTTAACTTGCTCTTCTTCCTCAACGGGAGCAGCAACTTCCTTCTCGGGAGCATCGGGATCAGCAGGGTTAAGAGTGTCCTTGGAACTAAGAATGTACCACAACATTAGTTTACCGGTTTTTTATACAAAAGTTGTTTATACATACGCTTCAGCTTCAGCGGTCTCAGGGTGACCCCAGGCTTGCTTGACCTTCTTCTCAGTATCACTAAACAGTACTTAGAACGACAAGATGTAGTGATATGCTAATGTTACTTACACAATTCCGGTACCGCTTTGACGATCGAATTGACGACGAGGAGCACGTCCTTCACGCTTGGGACGGTCACCACCACGAGCGGCTATACGATAAAGAGTTAATAAATAGGTAACGAAAAAAAAACACAACCGTGCCTTTTTAATTCAACTAATCAAAAAAAAGAAAACGAAAGGAATCAAGGATCTAATCGCTTGACTGACAATCATTTTTTTTTAAAGATCTGTTAAAATTAAAAGTTTCAAGGTAGTACATGGCAGACATAAAAAAAAATATTTTACCACCACCCTTAGGAGTACGCTTGTTTTCGGCCTTGGGTTGCTCAACCTTCTTCTCTTCTTTGGGAGCAGCGACGGGTTCAGGACGGACTTCACCGCCTTCGCTAAGGACAGCAAAAAGATTTGGAGAGTAGGTGGACATGAGTATTGAAGTTAGTTTGGATGGCCTGTTCCAAAGTAAAATTGAATGAACGAGATGTCAGTGAAAATACTTTTTTTTTTTACTTTTTTTACCACCAAAAAAAAAAAGCATAATATTGTGACCGTTCGCTTCAATTCTGAGATTCAACTCACAGCTTGTCTAAGCTTGTAGACTTGCAAACAAGGCACACATCCAAGGTAGATTTCAATCTAACTTTGGTGTCAATCTAGGAACTTACAAAACTGGTTTATTTGATACCAGCTTTTTTTTTTAGTTACTCTTAGTTTCCTTCATATAATTGTCACATTGTACCACTCTGCGCCATGTAATAAAAATCAGGGGAAAAGTCAAAATTGACAGTTTAAAGTATAATAATAACACATGATATGTTTTGTTAAACTTTTTAATTCTCCTGTGGTGTGAATGGTAAGTAGCAACCATAATAAGCTATGTAATTCAAGATAAATAATCACTTGTCTAAGAGGTCAAACCTGAGCACAGCCACATACTCCGAGGACATAAATTTGGATTATTCTAAAAAGACATTCAGTACATGATATAATTATATACAATAGGGGTTTTGAAAAACCAGTTATAATATAAGCTTTTTATTATTCTCTGTTTTTCTGAGGTGACCAGCGCTTGTAAATGACTTGTCTAATGGAATACTCATTAAAATTTTGAATATCATGAGGAATATTTACATGGCACAATATTAATGTCTTCTTCACTTGAGTGCATATGCGATTTAAGCGCAATAACCAATCCCAGTTTTTTCTTGTGGGTATTTTATCTTGAAAAATAGGTAAAACCACTACTGCATAATCCGCATGCTTGTAGGAAGGCCCTGATTGGTATAAGACTGTTTAAGATGTTTAGTACATTTGCCCATAATAGGTTCTTCTAAACTTACCAAAATCAACACCGAATTTTGATCCATTTCTAGGAACCCAACCAAGACTCCTATAGAAATGGTATACTACGTAATTTACATGGAATAAATTGTTTGATTTACAAAATAACGACCAACAATCACCAATCGATAAAGGTTCCTAAATAAGAGAATCAATAAGTCTAAATCCATAAAACAGGGTCCATTTTATTTACCTGATGTGCATTTTTAATCAATAATGAATTTAATGCGTATACTAAAAAAAAGGCTTCATATAAATCTAATTGAAAAGTTTCAACGTCTTTATGTAAAGTCAAGTCCAGCACTTGATCCGCCTTCAATAGGTTTTCGTTATTTGACACTTTTTGATTTCTTCTTCTTCTTCTTCTTTCGACTGTTATTTCTTCTAAGGATTCTTTATTTTGCTGTATATTTCTAATAAGCCATGTAGGTTCACTCCTTGATAAGTCTCCTTTACCAAAAGACCCTGACTGGAAAAGTTCGGTAATGGACAGCTGATCATGGATCCATACAAATCTACCATACTCCACAAATGTGCCCGTCATGGCTGGTTCTGGTTTTATAAAGGAATAATAGCATTTCACTAACCTTTGGAAAATATTGCCATCGCATATTTTCACAGGTAAAGGTGGTAAGTCTTTTCTATTAAGGCGACCTGGTTTACTCATGGGTTCAATGGAGAAGAAAATATATTATGAACGTGTGTGACCATATTTAATTTTTCGCGGCAAAAAAAAAAAAAAAAAAAAAAAAAAAGCTGTGCAGCGAGTGTAAGCCTCCTAGGTTTTTCTTCATTTAACAAGAATAATCAAATTGTTCTCATAGTTTTACCGAAACCAAAACATGGTATTATCGTTTGGTGGTGCTGTTAAGCTGCAGTCCCTTAATCTCCTGTATATGATTGCAGTTTATATGCCTATATTTCTTGTTGCACGAGATGATCCTTTGTATCAGATTTCAGGGAATAAAAATAAATAAATAAATGAATACAAAAAGACGATAGATTGCATTGTATCGCTTAGAATCAATAGAATCTAGAAACATCGTATGCACTAATTGCATGAAGTAAAACTTTTTTTTTTGTGCCTGATCACCAAGAAAATTATGGGAGCAGATTTCGGATTAAACCATGAAAATTAGGTGACAAGATAAAGTTTTGTGCTGCATTTATTTAAGACATACACAAAATAGTGGCAAACCCGGTATGATATTGTATTTTAATTGCTAATATAAAGTGGTCGTTAGGAGAAAACAAGCCACGATGTGAGTACAAATATATACAAATTCATCCCTTATATTGTATTGATGTAAGACATGAAATATGACTAAAGACACTGTTTCTGTCTCCTTGATTTCAACGAATAATACACATCATTTTCTTGTGTTGTTTCTCTTGTTGTTTATAGCACAACAACTTATAGCTAATTTAAACATGTTGTATAATACCTTTGAATTAAACAAGATTTACAATTCTGCTTAGTCGCTTTTTTTTTTCTTTTTTTTTTTAGCTTTTTCGCATTAAAATTTAAATATGCCAGGGTAAATGATATCATTTACAGGCTACATAAAATTGACTTAAAGAGAGAGAGAGAGAGTGAGAGTGAGAAAGGATGCGTGCGCTCGTGCTTCCCCGATATATCCCAGGAATGTGTTGACATAGGGATAAACTGCATGGAAAAACACCAGATCACATCATATTAAAACCATTGGTATAACTAACAGGGTGACAATAAAGGGTAAAAAGGAGGGAGAAATAAAGAAACACTATGACTCGTATTGAGGTGACCCATATGTAAGCAGTCAAAACAATAAGCTTTATTAACAGTAAATGTATCCTCCTTAGGTATGTGATCAAAGAACACAAATAAATATCACGGCAGTTTATCATCCTGTATTATTTTGAGCGGGATATGTATACTTTATGCGCAATATTGACAGTCTACTCAAAAAAAAAAAAAAAAAAAAAAATATATATGAAAGAAGAAATTAGAAAAAAACAGCATTTGTATATTACAAAAATAAAGATCGGTGTAGCACATATATTACATAATAACCTTTTCCATAATCCTTGTCAGCCCCTTTGTCTTTCGGGGCTCCCTATTATAATAAATGATAATCCCTTTTATTTGCTTGTAAAATAAACCTAATGCTAGCGTACCCGACAGTACATATATTTGTTTCTCCCACTCCTTCACACTGTACATAGATGTTTTTCTCACCCCCTCGTTGTCATTGTGCCTTCCAAATCTGTCGTAAAGCTTCTTTTTTGGTTCAGTGTCAGTCCAGAGAAGGTGTACTTGAAAGAAGTAGTAAATTAGAGATCCTCGAGACCTTAAATGAAAGGGCTTATTAATATTAAAACGTGCCATCTGTGTAAGCGTGTTCTGCCAGTTCCCATTCCTTTGTCTCGTGTAAACTTCTCTTTTTTTACAGTCCTATCCCGCCTTATATCAAACACTGCTCCCCTTATTTTCTCCTTTCTGTGGAATTTTCATCCCCTCCTTTTACTTTTTTTTTCTTTACTTTTTTTTTACCTGCATACATGTTTAATACACATAGACCTATATACGTATTTATCTAAATTTATTTATCCCCTTGGAAACTCCTCTATTTTATTAAGACACAAATTAATGAATATAAATACAAGGCTATTTTCAACAAATTGAGAAAAATAATTATCCAATTTACTTTTTACTCTTTACTACTATTATTATGTCACCTGAAATGTTAATGCAGCCTTTTGAACAATCCTTTAACGTTGTCCCAATCAACAACGTATATTATCATCACAATAATACTATGAGCAATAAAATCACCGAAGAAGACGAGAACTCCTACATATTGGGCTATCCTATGATGGAAGGTGCCAGTTCTGGTGATTTTAGACCAACCTTTTACAATCCTTTCGAAATTAAGCACCGCAGACGTACTTCTCGCGCTCAACTGAAAGTCCTTGAAAAATCATTTCTTGAAAACCCCAAACCCAACGCTACAGTTCGTCGTATTCTTGCTCAAAAGTTAGATATGACACCCCGTGGTGTACAAATTTGGTTTCAAAACAGAAGAGCTAAAGCAAAGCTTCAAAGACGCAAGTCTGGAGAAGATCATCAAGAAGACCATCTTCAACAACATCAACAACAGCAAAACGACTCACCAGTTCTTTTTTCTCAATTCTTCAATAATCTTAAAGCTTGGGATAACAGTGCAAGATCAATTGCCAATGTCGCTGCTGCTTCTTGCATGTTTGATTCAAATCCCGATAATATGTTGCTGGATCAACAACATTCATCATCTGTCAAAATCGATGAATGGCTTAAATTACCCATCCATCCTCTTGCTCCTGTCATTGATGGCTCCGATGATTTTGATTTCTCTTCTTCTCCCATCATGAGCTCTGAAGAATGGCGAAGAAAATCTTGTCCTGCTCTCGGTACAAGAATACCACAAGATTCCAATGACGCTTGGGCTGGAATGAATAACTACCATGTAAGTATTCATAATAGTCTACATATAAGAGCAAATATTAACAATATTCTTTAGATTGATAATAGCAATAGACGTATGACTGAAGATTTGTTACTCTCCAACAACCGATTCGTACAACCTTACCCAGTCATGAAATCCACACCAACTAATAGCGATGATGGTACACCCAGATGGAATAATACTCCAATTACTTCTAGCATGGATTTCTATTCTGGTTTGAACTATTCGCCTATGTCTCAACAGTTGACACCAATGCTTTCTACTGGTTCACCTGTTTCTTCTGTTGATGGTAACTATTATGATTCTTGTCTTGACTTGATCATGTCTTCATCATCTGCCTCCTCATTGGTTTAAATTCCCATAAACAAGACCAACCACCATTTTGCATTACCGATCATATTATTACATATTCCATCATTTTACACTGCACAGATTTTACACACACAGAAATTACCTCATTACTCTTTCAGAAAATTGTCACATAGTCCATATACCAAACCCAATTTTTACTGCTCTAATTCATTTCATATGCCTCATTTTCATTTCCTTCATAATATATATACTGCATCCCTCCCTTCCCCACTCCATCACACATCAATTTTTTTTAAAGAAAGATTTTGCTCTTTTTATGCTCAAACTAATCTATAACACATTCTTTTATATCACTTCTCTCTTTCTTTCATTTTGTACAAGTGTCTGTTTGTGTGCATGAACACACACAAGATCTCCCCCTCCCCCTTTCATCCCCCTCGAGTTTTTTAGTGGTTTTTTTTCATTAATAATAAAAAAAAAAAATTGAAAAAAAAAATAATTTCTATTTCACTTTGGATCTAACATAAAATAAGTTGTAAGCCGCTTTTGTCTAAAAAAAAAAAATAAAACTTGAATAAAGGAGATAATTTTGGTTTCTGATTTTTGTATTACCACGACTTTATTCTCATCACATAGAGAGAATTTGCTATCGTCAAAATAGTGCCATTTATCTGTATAACCATCTCTTACACATGCCGTATCTAAAAAAAAAACAATCTGATTAACATAATTCATGCTAGCTAAAAAGTCAATAAATTACAATGTCCACCGGATAATGATCCATAATGATTCTATATTACAATCTCGGGTTAGAAAGAACGTGGTAGATCGGAAGTTCCAATTATCTGAAAACTCGATTTGATACTTACAGATACAGCGTACAGATCGTACACATAGGAAGGGCGATCTTGTGGTGGAGAAGGGGTTACGGTCATTGGGACATATCCTGATAAATCCAGGCTCCTATCATTCGGAAACAAGGAGAATTACTTAAGCATTTTATTCAGACGCAGATCTGAATCTCGCTGCCTTACCTCGTGGGACATTTCACTATTATATCCAATTTGTTTTTGAAAAGTCCGTCCATCGAAAATCTTTTTAAATGAATTAAAAGGATATCAGGTAGCCTGGTCAATGTAAGCTGCTTCAGGGCCTTTCTTTTTTTCTTGCACTGAGGACATTTCCAAGCGTCCTCTTTATCTAAAGTCTCTTCTTTCACAAAATAATCCAAACATTGATACAATGTCACGCTAGATATCCTTAGTTTTTTGGCAGGAATCGGTAATGACAGGGACATAAATACATTATATGTCGTAGAAGTCTGTAGAAAAAGTGTAAGCCATTTTTAGTTAATACGATTTATGAACTCACCTGTTTGCAGGATAAACATGTAAGCCTACTTCTATATTGTCCCTGAAATAAACTGACAATGACACTAGAATTCCGATGCAGATATTTTTCCCATGATAAGGCACTCGCTTGCCAATCCGGTAATTTCTCAAAGGTCATATCGTCGACCAATGACGAGTGACTTCCCAATGCAGTCGAATTCAGGTCTTCATGCAACCCATCCAACAAAAATAGTAAGAACTCCTGTGAATCTTGTTGATCGAAACCCGAGAATCGTGGAGCAAATCGAACAAGAGCTTCCCTAAACGTCATTGGGGATACAAAAGTATAGCTTTCGCTCCACATCGCCCTAAGTAGTTCGACAAAGCTCTCCGTCAATACCCCCTGTGTACCTGTTTTGTTATTCCTATTAATATGTTGCTTAAATAGACCGGCTATAAATAAACAAAAAAAAATTAGATTAAACAATGACGAAATAGCCATAAAAATAAATTACATATAAAGTATCTGGCTAAGGGTATTGTTCCACTTAGACACTGTATAATTGAATTCATGTAACACGTGTTTCCCATATTCTTTAGACCAGTGGTGCCTATAGCGATGACAGTGCCTGATTGAGAATAAGAGCTGGACGTAGGGCTAGAGTGAATGTTGTTGGTAGACACGTGATGAAAGTCAGACATTGCATAGGGTCTGTTGATTGAAACGCTAGGCTCAGCAGATGACGGTCGTTGTGGCTGTGAATTATTAGTGACTACACTACTCGCTTTACTATGCGGAATAGACATGGGTGGAACATCGTAGAGTTTACTCATTGTATTTGTAAATCCGTTAAATGGGTTATCGATAAATGTTTTGCGTCGATGTATCTTGGGATAAGATGGTGGCATGGGTCTCAAATCTTGTTGCTGATGTGAAATTTGAGCTACTGGTTGACGTTGTGGCGAGGTTGCTACTTCACTAGTCGGAGAAAGTAATTCGGGATATCTTGTTGTGAGTGATTCCTTTCTAGGTGCTGTAGGTAAAGAGGGTTGTGGTATGGATATACTTGGATATGAGTGAGCTGGAGATACCTTTTGCTGTTGCTGTTGGTTATAGGACTGTCGGTTAGGTTTCCCAGAAAACTAAAACACAAAGAAAAAAGATCAGTTGTTATTCCATATATAATTAAGTCACCTTACGGAATCGTACAAAGTATGAGGTTCATGATCAGTTCCAATGCTGCTAGTACTACTGTTACCACTTTTGAACCACTGCTTTTTTTCTTTTTGTTCGAGAAAGGTATATACACCTGAAGCACCCACGTACGAATGCCATGCATCAAAACCACCGGCTAACATCATGGGCGGTCGTTTTAGGTGCTGAGTTTCCAAGATTTTCCTGATATTTGTTGTTGACCCATGTGCAGTATCCAATGATTTCGAGTTTTGGTCATAATACACAATTAGATCAAATCTGGCTTTCTCTGCAAACAGTCTTTGCTCCGCCTCTGGATTTCGTTGTATGGACTCTTGCATTTTCATGGCCATATCACTATTAACAAAAGTTAACCTTGATGAAACCCAAGTTAGTTGTAAGGCTTACTCTTTTTGCCATAACACGGGTTCAATCTGAATGATCCATAAATGCTTTATACAACCCCTTCTAAACAGTTCCCTCGGTCGGTTGTCGATCAATAATATGCTTGGCTGATTTTCTTTTACAGTGATCCATTTTACTAATTCGTGAGGTTCAACCAGAAGAGTGTTTGGAAAGATATAGTTCGTCCATGACGGTAATTGATACTGATTAGTATCTGATGTTGTAATGCTTAATTTTGTTGATACTGCTTGTGCTAAAGACGAAGATGGTGAAGGCGGCGGTTGATGAGTAGGTAGATCATTTAAAGAATAATGAGGAAAATTGCGGGGATCATGACTAGGACGATAAGCATATGCAGCTGCAGAGGTTGTTGCTGGACTTACAGGGATTATATTGAAATGTGTATTATTAGTGTAATACTGTTCTTGTCTCATCCTGTACCAATTTTCGATTTTTATAGCTAATTCCTCTAATAATGCAAAAATTTCTTCGTTCGTCCTCTATAATGAATTATATATTTAGCAAATTATTTAAGTTGCATATGCATATCCCATACCTGCTTTAATTGAAGGTAGATGGGGCTGAATCTAATTTCGTTATACTGTGAATGTTTCTTTATTATCTCCACCATGATGCTAGATTAGTAGTTAGTAACCAAGTAAAAAACAATATGTCTTTACTTACCTGCAACCTCTCATGTAAGAAATGTATGCACTCTCTAAGCAATTGTTTACTATTGCAATATCTCCCTAGCTATAATTAGTTCTACTTCAGCCGAAAAATTGTTATAAACTAGTCTTTACTTGTTGATATGACTGGAAAACCAAGTTGACCCATCCTTGAATGCTATGGTTTTCTGTGGTCATTTTATCGACGGAGGCCTTCTGCTTCAGCTCAGTGATAGCAGAGCCAGATATTACTACTTGCAATGGTGGGTTGTTTTTATACCCTACGTGATGTGAAGTGGCTGACATGATTAAATTAATTAATATGAAATGAAAGGCGATCTAAAATAAATATTTGAAATGTAAGAAAGAAATACATGTAATATGTCTTGAGACACTACACTTTTGAACACAAATGTCAATGTAAAATGTAGATCAAATACAATATTATTGTTTCGACCCAAGATGCATTATTACCAATTTTATTATAAATATTGAGCAATTTTTTTTTTGAACAGGGAAATGAATTAACGGCGGATTGCGTTGTTATCATGGTTTTGAGTAGTTGTCCCTTTAGCTTTTTCTATAGGTTTACTTTTAATTACAAATTTGGGTTTCAAATCTACGCTACCAACATTCTTTGGGTTTTGGTTTGATTTCTTGATTCGGTCATCCTTTGCTTTTGTCTTATTTGCGTCATTTATAATCCCGTGTGGATTCTTTCGAAACTTACTCTCATCAGCCCTTTTTACTGCAATCGTCCCGTTTTTTTGCAGTGACTTCTCGTCATCTTCTCTCTCATTTGATGCTTTTTTCCCCGTACCTATTTTAACATTGTCTGTCGTGCTCTTTATACCTTTAACGGGCGGAGACTTAACAGCATTTCTAACTGAAACTGAGGACATATTTTCATATTGCCTGATAGATTGTTCGATAGTTGAAAAAAACTCACGCGTAGCTTCATCAAATACAGGTTCACGTTCAATTAAATCACATTCATCCTAAGATCAATGAGTATAATAATTCTATAAGAGATACTTCTTTTACCTTAAATTTTATAAATTCACCGTCGTCGTCAAATATTAACCAGGAGATGTAGTCCTTCACTGGACTCTTATCATCTTTGGGGCTTTTATTTTTTACATCATCAACTTGATTCTTTACTAGGCTAAGAGAAGTGTTGCTTTCTACTGCTTCTGGTGTTTCCTCTATTGTTTCAAGAACGATTGGATCGAAATCATAGGTACAGTCAAGAATTTCTCTTTCGTTGTAAGTGTCTAAATCTACAAAGTATAAATCCTCGTCATATGATGCTTGATTTAAGAGAGGATGTACATCTTCTTTTGTTGCTTGTGTACTTCTTCTTGATTGTTCAACCCGTTTTTCGTCAAGATCGACTGAATCCTCCTCCTCCAGATGCTTTTGAATTATGCCAGATAGCAATCCAAGAAATGAATCGATATCATCGTTTGGTAGAGGTAAAACCAGTGGTGGAGGATCTTTAGTCGATACTATAAAGTCAACATCTCTCGTATCTTCCTCTTCCAACTTTCTCTTGCTCGGAGACACGTTCTTGCTAACGTATTTTTTTGAAGCAGGAAAAGGAGTTTCTACTTTTTTCCCGCAAGAATCAGTTTTGTAAAAAGAAAAATCATCACACTGGAAGCTTACTATGTTTTGTTCGCTCTGAAGACGTTGCCGGCTTGTTTTGAGACATCTTCAGTGTATCTCGGTTAAGCGAGCCTTTGAATGACTTTTCTGCAGTGGTTTTATTTTTTGACGACATGTTACAATGGCGAAGGAAAAAAAAAAAGAGCTTTTTTTTTATTGTCCGTTAGATCTTATCTCTCTTTTATTTAAAGCATTTTTTTTTACCGACTTCATGGCCCTTATCGTATAGACATTTTGCTTTATTTGCACTCATATAGTTTGGCAACTCAAAATTATGAGAGCTACGCTTTCTACTAACAGAAACAAATGCGTGTTTTCTCTTTGGTACGCGACAGTTAGATTTATAACAAAGCATAATTTATTTCAGCGAGTGACCAAAGATCAGGTAACTTACAGTGACATTCGAAGGGCACATACACAAAAACCTTTTCAGCTTAAAAATTGCTTTATGGCGTTTCTTTTAACTTCTTGTTCCTAAACTAGCCTCCCACAATAATAATAATAAAAGGGGAGGGAGGGGGAGCTCTTCAGCTGCTCAATAAGCATCTTCGTAATTGTTACGTGGAGTGCTCTCAATACCACCGATATCAGGCAAAAATTTGTTCCAGTTTATGTTTATTTGACCACAGCCATTGTTTGATGCATACAACTAGCACATAATATAAGAATTGACAATATGATTATTGTCATGCGATAATCATTATTGAAAAACCGATGATTACTTCGTTTTACCAGCCGCGTAACGAGTTATGAATTTTATGTACAACGATTCACAAACACTATATTTATTATTTTCCAATAAACAAAAACAACGTTAGTTTCCTTTTTTTTCTTCAGCACCTATAATTTTATAAAAAAAAAAAAAAATGGAAGACAGTAATACTCCATACACGCATGTCATTGGGATCGGTATGTCTTCTGATTACATACAAAGATAGATACCTTTATCAACAAACATACACATAGATTTCGGGACAAAGTTTTCTTCTGTTGGTTATTGTTCAAGGGAATCTATATCTGATAAAAAAATCGTAGATATTTATCAATGGTATCAAGTATAACCATCGTTCGTCCAATATTTTCGCTCTATTATTTACTTTTTTTCTTTCAGGGATGCTACAGACACTAAAATGAATAGTTTTCCAAAAGTACCAACTATTATTGCATATCACAAAACCGACCCAAGAAAAATAAAATGGGGCCTATCAGCATTGAATATGACGGATGAGGAAAAATTGGAATATGATGAAGTAATCGAGCTGTTTAAGCTACATTTGGATGAAGAATACATTAATAATCCCGGAGAAATTGTTCCTACCTTACCAGAAGACACGTCTCCGGTGACCGTTATTTCTGATTATTTAAAAGAGCTTCACGAGTTTGTGTGTGTTGAAATGAGGAAAACTCTGGGCGACGATCAGGATTTTAATAGTAAAAAAGAATTATTTCAGTATCGATTAACAGTGCCCGTAGAATGGTCAGAGAAGGCCAAGTATAAAATGATTTCAGCATCAATATCGGCAGGAATTATTACAAGGTATGATCCACCCGAGAAACTGGTTCTGATCAGTGACTTGGAGGCAACAATATTAAATATAGAAATGGCGCCAGACGGGATCGATTTAGAATCAGGTGATAATGTGTTGATATGTGATATTGGTGGTTCTACCGTGGATATTTCTGTATTCACAAAGATCGTGGAAGGAGATAAAAAAATACTAGCCGAGATAACAGAAAGAAATGTAAGTTACAAGCGCATATCCGAGCTTTTGGATGAACGCATGACAGAATTACTATATCGAAAAGCAACGCCCTATGCTTTTGGGCAAGAAAGACAAGACGCAATGTTTTTGGATTTTTTGAATTTTTTTAACGCCGAATTGAAGGTGACATCTAAACTGATGAAAAAAAAAAAGAGTTGTAAGAGTTCTGATGATTATATTCAGGCTTTATTTGGAAGCAACATGACCAGCCTAATCACCGACAGATATAATGATGAAACCGGATGCTTTAAATCTGGTATAGATGAATTTGAAATAGACCCTGAAATGATCAGACAGCAAGTCTTTGATCACACACTGTCAGAAATCCTGGATATTATGGATGATCAAATATATCAACTGGCAGAGCATGATTTAAGTTTGGATTACATAGTATTGACTGGTGGCTTCATCCCAAATTATTATTTATTTAGGAGCATAAAAGAAAGATTTAGTATGCAGGTTAAAGAAGTAATCTCTCCCATAAACGGGGCAGCACTTACATTATCTCGCGGTGCCACCTATTCTGTTCTATTAGACCCTTATGATGAAGCAACACACTCTCCATATCTTCCCGCACACCTCCCCAACAATAAGGTAAAAGTAGTACTATCTGATATACGCACGCATTAGGATGCTTATTAAAAATAATACATCAGGTACTTATAATGAATACCGATGAAGCAAGTCTCTCGAACGATTCCATGCGTAATAAGCGTCGATTTGTTACAATAGGAATAGGTATATAACCTTGAGTATATACATCAGTTATAAAGTATTGACAAGTGACCTACATTTTAGATTTTGGAACGACCTTTTCAACAGCAAGTTATGCATTAACGGGAGAAGATAAACATACGGATGAACCTCTTGATATTATTAAATGGTATTAGAAATTGAGATTTATGACCCAGTTTGTCAGTTTACTTATTTACTTTGCATAATGCTAGGCCGAAAAATTCACTCAATTTAATAGCAAAGGTACCGACAGCCATACGATACCATTTAACGGATCCCACAATCTACAAGTGTGGCTTCGAAGCACTCTACATATCTCCTCACGAAGAGGACGAGTACGGGGATGTGATACGTCGATTTAAGTTACACCTCAAAGAAGACAAAAACGAATATATAGTAGACCCTTTACCACCTGGTCTTACGCCACTAAAAGTTATTTCGGATTATTTAAAATATCTGCATTCAAATATCTGCAGCCAAATCCAGCAAGATTCGAACTACACATCCGAGGGCATAATGCAACGCAAGTTTCAGTACTGTTTAACTGTACCATCTAAATGGACGAATAAAGCAAAGATGATTATGCGAGAAGCATTTACTATAGCTGGTATGATAAGTAGGTATGACCGTGTTGATAGGCTAGTCATTGTGAGTGAACCAGAAGCAACGGCACTATACATAGAAAATAGAAATGGCGAATTTGAATCTGGAGATATTATAATGATCTGCGAAGCTGGTGCGGAAACACTCAACCTAACTACTTTTAAAAAGAACACTTTTGGTGGAGTAACCAAGCCATTCCAAGAGATTGTAACCGGCCATGAAATTCCTTTTGAATCTGAAATGTTTTTGGAATCAAACTTTAAGAGTTATATATGGAATTTGTTGAAAGCGTTCGAGTATAGTATTAACTATCACGAATTGAATAATCTGGCAGAACATTTTCAAGATACAGTCAAGGTAATTTTACATATATTGCAATGTAATTACACATGTATTTTTTTTTTTAAAACAAAAAACTTTTTTAGCCCGTAATATTTGAAGATGATGATGATGATGACGAGGAAGATGTTTTTCAGTTTCCCCTAGATTTACCCGGCGCAGAAATTGAATCAGAAGGGTTTAACTTTAACGGACAAACGTTAGAAATACAGGCTAAGGTTTTGAGAGCTCAAGTGTTTGACCCTTTAATTGAATATATATTATCAATGATTGAATACCAGCTACTGCAGGTCGAGAGCTCAAAATTGGATTATCTTGTGCTTATTGGTATATTTGGGCAAACCAAATATTTATACAGAAAAATCAAGGAAAAGTTCGATGATGTAGTTGGTGAAATTCTTGTGCCTGAACGTGGGGAGCGTGCAATGGTACGAGGAGCAGTTTTTTACGGACTGGCATCACTTTAATTTCAATGTCCACTTCCAATGTAATTATGTAATAAAATTCTATCTCAGGGACTATTTAGTTTATGAAAGTGCTTACTAGTTTTGGATTGGAAATTCAACTTTTGGAACTCTCACCCTGACTACTTGCGAACAGTTTCTTTTGTCAGTAAATTTTTGGTTGCAGAGGTGCAGTGTCTGGACATTCCCTCAAGGTAGAAAGAGTGTTTATACCCGTTTTGGGCTCATATCAAGTGTAAAGGATGGGGCTTGGGTAAACGTGAGCGGATTTTATAAGAAGCAATGATAAACAAGGACGGGATTATTACATCAGAATGAGATAATCGATTAATTATAAAAGGAATAGTTGCGTTTTAGACAATGTGTTTGTAATAGACTTCTCTTGGAATATCTACATGTATGTGATGCCACAACACCTACCAGTGAATTAACAGAATTTACCAATAACTGTGAAAAGGATCATTTAATGAACACAGCACAGGCATTTTGTAGTTCAAGACTTCAAGTGGATGCAGATAAAAAATCAACTCTAGACGTATGAGTAAACTTTATATGATAGTATTAGAAATATCACGTGGTTTATAAAAAACACGCGCGTAGAAAGATTTTAAAAACACGTAGGTGTAAACATCGTCAGGTTTGCAGAAACAAACATTTATTCTTTAGTGGGAATTGTTGACCAGCCCTCTTCGTCTATGGTAATCTTTTGCTTAGGAGGATGATTATTCACATATTCTTCGACAAGGGATGGGGATGCTTCCAGTAGAGAAAGTATTTCATCTATACGCTCCTCTGTACATTCTTCATTGGGACTTGGGTTTAAATAAAGTATTCTGGAGAAGCCTTCAGGATTTTCTGCAGTGGGTGGATGATAAGTGTTGACAAACCTTCTCAAAATACCGATACCTCTATTTCCAGATACACCAGTAGGATGATCTTGGCGTATTTTAATACGATCACCGCATGCTTGTTGATCTGTTGTTAGTACAATACAGTCAACAGGTATTTTGTAGTGTACTGCAAGGTCAACCCAAGTTTTTCTCTGCTCACGATCGAAATTACAACGATCAATAACGACAGATTGTTTTTTATCGAGAAACTTTTTGGTGTACATTTCACACGCCTTCCTTGATTTCATGTCGTCTTGATTGACTCTTTCCCATCCCTAGAATATGGTCAAACTAGTAGAAGAAAGAAAGAAAAAACTCACTACCTTTTTACATTTGACGAGTTGGTTTGAAATAGTACTTTTTCCGGAGCCAGGCAAGCCGACTAACACAAGCATTCGATTTGACATGATTTTAGGTTTAGAAAAAGGAATAGGCTGACTGAAAAAAAAGTTTTTTTAGCAGGTTCTGATGACGTAAAAAATGGCATTTTTTATTGGGTTGGACAACAAAAAGAAGCATTGTTTGTGTAATGTATGCATGCGTCTTCATAAAGAAATGATTATTTACTTTTTGTTTTCAATTCTCATGGTTTATTTTCTAGGTAATATTTAGAGTGTGTCTTTGTGTGTATTTTGTATGTGTGTATGTGTGTGTTTATGCCTAGAATAAAAGGAATTCGTTTCAAATGGGGAAAAAAACATGGTACAAATACAATACTTTTTATTTTAAACCCCTTTTAAACCCCTTCGTTTGTGTGTATTTATAAAGCCTCATTTTATTTTCATTCATCCTATTTTTTTTTTCTCCCTTTTAACATAAAAAAAAAAACAAAAAATGAACTTTGAAGATATTGTAGATATGGATTGGTTAAACTCACATACAACGGATTCATTGCCTTCTCCACCTACTACACTTATAGAAGACGATGAATTAATGTTGCAATATCCCAACTGTGCAAATGAGTTTGATTATTGCTCGCCTACTTCTGTACCCATTATGCCAACTACGGAACAGATTAAACAGCTGATTGAATTAGCAAAAAGACAACTTGCACTTCGAGAACAACTTACGGTGGATAACCTTGTTACATCGGAGCCAACTCCAGAACCCGAATCGCCACCACCCACTATAAAGTTAGAGGAGTTCGCAACCGTATCACCTGAATCGCTTGTGAAAACCGAAGATCGACGCGACTCTTTTGCCTCTATCTCTGATGAAGGTCCAATGTCACTTGAAGCTTATGCTGAAACAGATGGAATAGACATCAAAAAATTGACATCAAAGGAAAGAAGACAGTTAAGAAACAAGATATCAGCACGTAATTTTCGAGTACGAAGAAAGGGTAAGACGGACGTGATTTATTGGATTTTCTTTTGATACTAAACCACATTCATATTTCTCTTAGAATATATCACTACTTTGGAGGGCCAAGTTGATAATCATAAAAAAGCTAATGAGCAATTATTGCATAGATTAAATACTGTAGAAGAAGAAAACAAACAATTAAAAATGCAAATTGATACTCTAAAACGTCAAAATGGATCACTTAAATCACCATCACCGAATAAAGATATCAGCATCTTGGGATCAAGTCCATCTGATACTTACTTTTTACAAGACACATCTATCCTCGTGGAATGTTAACAACCTAAAAAAACACAAGGAAAAATAAATAAATAAAAAAATATATAGCAATATTCCCCTTCACACACACACACACACACACAGTTACAACCCCCTTGCACCCCCTCTTTTTATCCCCCACATCCTTCTTCTTTTTTTCTTTATATCTGTAAATAACATCCTTTCACTACTTTCACTCCATTTTTTCCCTTGTCTGCACACCACTTTCTTTTTGTTTGCGGAAACATTAAATAAAGCGATCCTACCACTTTCATGTGGGATGATTTTTAAATCCCCCATTAATCCAAGCATACCCATTGATTGACTTTAAACTTTATATATTTATAAAAGTTTCAAATTATTTTTATTATACAAATTATTGATAAGATAACGCTAATTCATGGGACAGCTTTCAGATAAATGCTCAGAGCTTCCACAATAACGGCAGTTGGTCTATTACAGAACAAATATTAATAACATAAACTTTTTAAAAATTTCAATTATTTTACCTTGCATTCAGCACTCTCGTGTCCAGTGTCACCACAGTTACCGCAGCGAACAACGGCATGCTTTGGCCATAATTTTCTATTGTTACCGTTATAATTGCTTCTGGATCCATGATGTTGATTATGGCTGGTATTGGGAGGAGAAGTGGTTCTCATTTCTTCTCTGTATCCGGCAAACAAATCTTGGTTTCCAAATCCAGCGGTCACACGATCACTCTTCTCTTCCATTTGTTTCAAGCGCGCCTCCAAAGACAATACATATCTTCTAATATCTTCAAGTTCGGTCTGTTTTCTACTTTCGAACAACTTTAAGTTTTGTGTCTCTCTTTCACGAGCCAAAGACATTATTTCGGTATATCTCGTGGTCATCATCGTCATTTCTTGTTGCATAGAGTAAACGGACTGAAGCAAAGAGCCATTTTCACGATGCAAATTCTTACATACAAGTGCAAGCATTTCAGGTGCCATATCATCAAGGTTGTTAGGAAGTGGATCTTGCAACTGTGGTTGAGTACCGGGTAACACAAAAGATGAAATAGAAGTGACAACCTCGGGAACGGATAAAACAGGAGTTGATGTCAAAGGTGTTGATAATCCAGGTGGCTTACTAGAAACAGGAGTAACAGAGACTGGAATGAGTGTAGCAGGAGTTTGCGTGTTGACACGAGGTGGTGCAACTACTGCAGCTGCAGCCGGCTCTTCTTCATTGTTCCATGGTGTATTATTGCTATTCCATCCATCACCAGATGATTCCTCAGCGTTCCAGTTAGTTTGAGGCGTCTTGGGTGCGGGTGTCTTTGGTGCAGGAGTACTTGTCTTGGTTTTTTTCTCAGCCCAAGTAGAAGATAAGGTGGGTTTACCCCATCCACCAAGTACAACATCAGGACTGGGCTTCGAAGTGGCATCAGAAGACCAACCAGAGGATCTAGAAACACTAGGCTTTTCGGTATCAATGTTACTCGTGAGAGCGGCCCAGCGACCAGTACTCGCTTCAGCAGCCTTTTTAATAGCTGGAGTCTCGGATAAAGGTCCCCAACCAGGAGGTGCAGCGACATCAGGCTTCTTTTCTTCGGTAGCAACAGCAGCACTAGAGTTACCCCAACCAGTAGGGGATGTGGCAGCAGATTTCTTTTCTTCTACAGACGAAACACCCCAACCAGGAGGAGCTGATACAGCAGGCTTCTTTTCTTCAGCACGTGAGTTACCCCAGCCAGGAGGAGCAGAGACAGTAGGCTTCTTTTCATCTACAGGTGAAGCGCCCCAACCAGAAGAAGCTGCAACAACAGGCTGTTCGGTTGCTGATGGAGGACCCCAACCAGGAGGGGCTGAAATCTTCTTTTCGGTAGTAGGAGCTTCGGTAGATGGGCCCCAACCAGGAGGAGGATTAGGCTTTTGTGATACAGGAGCATCGGGTATGGCACTCAAACCAGGTGGAGGAGAAGGCTTTACAGTATCAGATAAAGGACCCCATCCAGGAGGAGCACTGAGAGGTTTTTGTGTAGCAGTAGGAGGAGCACTTAAACCAGGAGGAGCAGATACAGCAGGCGAGGCATTCCAGCTACCACCATCATGTCCAGCAGACCAACCACTTGAGACATTCGAGAAGTCATTACCGACAGTAGCAGTGGTAGACCAAGCACTGGAGACAGTAGAGAGGGCAGGAGAAACAATAGATTTCTTGGGAGTTCCCCAACTACCTAATTCGGTATCTTTCGTGGGGGCGGTCTCTGATGAAGTAGCGGCAGAAGTATTAGACCAATTGGTTTCCACAGTAGGCTTTTTGGCGGCAATAGTAGACCATCCAGTCTCAATAGCAGCAGGCTGAGTCCAAGCAGAAGGGGCAGGTTCCTCAGCTTTCTTTTGGGTTTCTTCCAGTTGAACTTGAGCTCTTAAATCATTCCAATCTTGAACTTCTAATTCTTGGGTAGCAGGTTTACTGTTCCAGCCATTTTGAGAGACAGCTTCACTGTTGGTTTCCATCACTGACGCACGAATTTCATTGAAGTCCAAAAGATCGTCCATCTCCGCCACAACCTGCTTCTCCACAACAACCTGTTTCTTCTCTACTGGGATCTCCTTCTTCTCTACTGGAGCTTCCTTCTTCTCTACTAGAACTTCCTCCTTCTCTACTGGAACTTCCTTCTTTTCTACTGGAACTTCCTTCTTTTCAACTGTAACATCCTTTTCGGCAGATACTTCCTTCTTTTTGGGAGTAGCGCTGGTCTTCTTCTTCTTTTCAGAAGATTTGTATTCGACCTTGGGTTCAACTTTGGGCTCAATGATAGGTGCAGGTGCAGGAATCTTACTACTCTTTACCTTAGTAGGGAAATCAGAAGCTAAAGGTTTTTTGTTATCAAACTTCTTGTACTCAGGAACGACAGCCTTTTTGACTTCAGGCACAACTGGCTTCTTGACTTCAGACACAACAGGTTTCTTAGGTGCTGCTGCTGTAACGACAGTCTTCTTTTCTTCGACTGGCTTATCCTCTGCAACAGTTGACTTCTTTTCTTCAACTGGCCTCTTCTCTGCGACAGTTGACTTCTTCTCTTCTACCACGGGTTTCTTCTGCTCAACAGAGATAGGAAGAGTTTTTTTAGGTGGTGCAGGAGATGCTGGAAGAGACTTCACAGAAGCAGTTTTTGGGGTGACAGGCTGGACGGGAGAAGCTGTTTTAGATGGCCCAGGTGAAACAGGAAGGGATTTCACTGAGACAGTAGGCTTTTCGGGAGAAGCCTTCTTAGCAACGACTTCTGGGGCCTTCTTGATAGGTTCAGATGGAGGTGTGACAGGAGCTACTTTCTTTAAAGGCGATTTTTTTGCAGGGGACGAGACACTAGGCAAAGGCTCTTGCTGTTGGTCAGGGGTTGAAGCACCACTAGAAGACTTCTTCTTGTTCTTGGACTTCTTCTTTGGTTCTTCGGTAACTTCCATACCCATTGACTTGAGCAAAGAATTTTGACGCTTCAATGCCAAATTATCGCCTTGAATTCTCATGCCCTCCTTCAAGAATAACTTACCTAGTACACCAGCCAATTCACGACGACCTGTTTGAACACCTTGTTCGAACTTGAGTAATAAGTCATCTCTTTGTTGCCATAAATCCTTGTATGCCACAGCAAAACGCTTAACCTCCGTTTCAATTGTGAGAGCCTCTACCATCTCACCTTCTTGTAAAAGGGGTTCTAAACAAACCAAAGCGAATTTACAAAAGAGCGATTCAGGGAAGATCTTTTCTGTTACCTCATAACGGAAGGTTTGGCGAATAGAATAATACATGCTTTCGACCTTCTTAATTTTTTTCTTAAAATCCTTATTATTCAACTTTTCCAGACGACCGCTCAAGTTGGGACGAGCTGTATCTTTATAAAGCTTGAATAATCCATCGATTTCAACCATGTATTCATCTACCTTTGCATTTAAAGAAGCTGTAATTCTCTTTTTAGCAGAATCCACTTCCTTTGTAGACTCCATTTTTTTCAAATAATCCACATCTAAAGATTTAAGTGATTCGTCGATCTTGACAGCATTCTCAGATCCTTTACTAGCTTCACGGTCCGCCATACGTTCGCCTAACTCGTAAATTGTTGGTACCACCATCTTCCAAAGATCGTTTGTCAATGTATGGATTTCTTCCAAAACATCAGGTACAAAAATTGAGATGAAATCCTTTACATTTGACTTGAGTTTATCCAAATGCTGTTCGAACATGGTATCGACTTTCTTGATTTCCTCTTCTGTTGATTTTTTGTTCTTGTATTGGGCTTGTACAGCACTCCAGGCATCGACAAAAGAGATGTAATTTTGACCGGCAAAGTAAGCATCAATATTTGCTTGACATCCTTTACCCATCAAATGAGCACGCTTCTTTTCAAGATCACCTAAATTCTGCAAAAAGCGATTCAAGGGATACCAGGAATTATCGAGGGCGATATTTAATTCCTTTAACGCTTGAGTTACAGCCTTTGATCCATGTTCGTTGACAATAGTACGATCAATCTCAAGATCAGCAGGGGTCTTTGCTGTAGGCTTTGAGTGTTGACAAGTAGGAGTAGTGTGCGACAACAAAATATCGCCTGTCAAGTTTTTCAACAAGTGGAAGCAATCGGAAGGCAAACAAAGTGCTTGTCGTTCAATAATGAGAGGGTCCAATAACTGCGAAGGATCTTTAGAATCGTCAACCAAAGGAATGGCATCAGGATAAGGGTTGAATTCGGCAGGTTCGAATGCGTCGGGTAACCCAGTATATCCACTAGGCAAAGTCATCCAAACTTGACAGCCTGTCATGATTTGCTGTAATAAACTTTCGGCATTATTGGCATCGGCTGAAGTCCAAGAAGCGGCCAATTCTTCAAACTTTTTACCAAGTAAAGAAGAACGCTCCTTCTTAAAGACATTGTCTTGATGTCCATGATCGTGTTCGTTTTCAGAAACACAATCACAATGGTGGTGATGTTGAGTTACTGTAGCAAGAAAGTTGATCTGATATTTTCCTGCTGTCAAAGTTGTAGTAGACGATATTCTGTCCTCAGGCACAAATTCTTCTTGTGTCTTTGCATTCCAGACAAAGTGTTTCTTGTAGATATATTGAGCCCATTCACGACAGAAAAGACTACGCGTTTCAGTATCACAAGCCCTAAACCTTGACAACTCTTTCGATATCGCACTTTGCTCGACTCGTAAAACTTCAATTGTTGTCTCCATTATATTATTTAAAAGTGAAAAAAAAGAAAAAGAAAAAAAAAATATTCCTCAGTTTGAAAACTTTTTATTTCCATATTTAGATAAACATTTATCAACAGACAGCAAAGAATCTTAAATATTCAATATCCATGTTCAAAATTACTGGCATTAAGCCAAATTGTTGATCGATTGGAGACGATCCATTTGATTTAACTTGTCACCAATTCTTTTATTATCAAAAGGACAAAATTCCTGGACATAAAATACAAGCATATTTGGCTTAATGCCATAACGAAGTGACGTTTGTTTTTTGAATAAACAAACTCGAATTTCCGAGTGTTAAAATTTACCGTTTTCAATATCAAAATGCTCAAGAGGAATTTCGCCACTTTAAACGAGCAAGACGATCAAGAAGACGAATGGGAATTAGAAGCTTCCGCTAGGTATACATGACACATCAACTGAACAACATTTACGATAACACCTTACGAAATAGTGCGATGCAAAGACATTCTCCGCCTGATTGCTACACGACCAAAATTGATACTCTGGACCAGCAATATGAAGTGCTATGGTATTATTATAATCATTGAGACCATTTTCATGTACAAAATGAACCAACATGCAATTAGTGATACTACTAAGGATTTGGAAGCTGAACTTGAAGCGCTTCAGACAACCCTACAACGACTTGAAGAGGAAAAACATCATATCTCAACAGCAACAGAACAAAGCGAACAAAAGGTAAAAGCCTAAAGGATTTGGGTTTATTGAGTAACGTTGTTTAGTACCTAGAATCAGTCGAAAAGACAGTAGCTCTTCTTCCGCATCGAGAGGTAGTTGAAATGGAAAAAACGCCTGAATACTTAACGGCAGATATAAAGCTTACAGAAGGATTAGAGGCCCTACTTTCGAAATGGAAGGATGCAGAGAAAGAGAGGATAGTTAATCGAGAGAGCCTTGCTAAAGAGATAAAATCTTTGGCACATCAATACAGATATAATGAATATGCGATTATGGATTTGAATGCTCAGATAGAAGGATCTCAAGCCCAAATACAGATGTTAAATCGTGACATAACGAAATTAAATTCATTACCTGTGGTCCTTCCTGTGATAAAGTAAATCTATAAAAAAAAAGAGAGAACAAACAGGAAGTGGTTTAACAAGTCATATGTAGGTCGGACATAGAGAAATATCGCTCAGACATACAAAATAGCATGGAATCTCTGGATAAAATAGAAAAAGAATCGATCAAACCTTATTTGATAGAACTCTCTAAATTAAAAATATCTATTCCGCTGCACCGAGATCAAATAAACAGTGTTTCTGAGAGGACGAAAAGTTTCTTGAAGGACCTGATAAGAATATCAGACTTGATCATCAAACAGAGAAGCTATCTAACATTAATTAGCTTCATATATCAAACAATCGAATATAAATCAAAGCTGAATGCTGATGTGCGGCAATCGGTCACACAAAAACTAGAAGAACAAGTATGTCGCATCACATTGCAGGACGAAAGACCCAATAAGAAGGATGATAGTGATGTAACACATTTAAAACGAATTAAAAAACTATTATGCGATTTCTTCAAGACAAAAAAGGACTTGAAATTAAGTGAGGACATGACACTTGTTGATCAAATCTGCCAGTTAAAAAATACGAAGGTGAACTGAAGGGACAGTGGAATCAAGACATGCAATCTTGCTTGGATGTAATAGCTGAACTGTAAGTAGATATTGACCATAATAACTATGTCTATTAACGAGAATCGCAATTAGGGATACATTGAAGTCAAAGTTATCAGAAACTATACACGGATGTCTGGGTGAAAAGGATGATGTGGTAGGTGTACAGCCAGCATCCTACGCTTCTTTACAGGATGAAATCGAATCTCGAACGAACCAACTTAAATCGAGAATTTCGGGTTTAGCGCAGGTAGACTTTGACTTTAATTACATGTGTTTCGCCCTTATTAATCTTTCTATTATTAAAAAATTCATTAAGGAAATGTTGGATTCAGAAGAAAATATGAGGTTTAAAAAGCGTAGAGAGCTGTTTTCAGCATTCTATACAGACCCTGACGATTTTTTTGAACTGATCAAGAAGTAATATTATAGCAAATCGTTTAATAAATTTATTGTAAAAAATATGATAATGAGAATAATGCAAGTACGAGGTGATTTGAAGAGAGAGAGAAAAAGAAGAATTATGCTTCGTTTTGGGCATAGTGAGCTGCACTTTGACCAGCTGTTCTACCGAATACAACGCACTCTAAAAGCGAATTACCTGCTAAACGGTTGTGGCCGTGAACACCGCCAGTAACTTCACCTGCGCCATATAAACCAGGGATAACGTCGGAGGTATCTTCTGCTAAGATGGCTGCATCCTGATTCATTTCAAGGCCCCCCATGGTATAGTGAACAACGGGAGTGATCAAAGCCACCCAGTAGGTAGTGTCAGTTTCAGGTAAGAGGCGTCCAGGGAAGTTTGTTTTTCCAAAGCTGTCTGGCTTTTTATTCGAAAGATGTTCATCGTAATCTTCAAATTCTTGTTTCAAATCTTTAGCATCAATGTCTAAGACTTCGGCCAGACCTTCGACTCCTTTCACTTGAGTAAAGAATCCTTTCGATGCATAAAAACCCAAAGTACTCTTTCCAAACCCCTCGACTGTTTCCTCGGTCAAAACCATATATGCGGCGGCGTAGTTTTCTGGCAATGTTTTACTCATAAGACTTTGAGCATGGCTATGAGTAGATCCTGTCTGACGATATACAGCAGCAGTGACAATATCGCGCAGAGTAAGCTCATCTGTAAAACGTTTGCCTTGACCATTTAAAAGGATACCGCCATACGCACGAAGTGCTTCTGGGGCCAAAAATTTAGTGGGAGCAGTAGGGGCACTAGGATCAATAAACCCAGTAGGATGTACTTGAACTTGGTCCTATAAATGAATATTTATGAGGATTTGGATGTTTCCGTGAATGTTATGCAATATTACCATATCTCTAATTCCGGCTCCCACAGCTAACCCGAGACGAACGCCATCGCCATTGGCCCAAGGACCATTTGTGGTGGCAGTATCAATCAATTGAGGTGCAAATTCATTCAAAAGAGAACTTTTACCATCAGGAAGATGTTTGCCTGTTTGCCCTCCGAAACCACCACTTGTTAAAATAACAGCAGCTGCGTTGATCTTTTCTTTTGTTTCTTCTTCAGTCTCAACATTCTTCTTGGAAATTTCGACGCCTGTAACTTTGTTTTGGTTGTTGGGGCCGAGCTCAGTCAATAAACTCAAGACACGCGCATTCGTGATGATTTCGACATCAGATAAAGTCGTAAGCTTCTTTTTTAAAGTATCTACTAGCTTCCAACCTACTGGGACAGGACGGCCATTTTGAGAAGGACAACGATGTGTACGCCCATGAGAATGTCCACCACAACGGGAAACAGCAGTCAGGTCCAGAGTGGGGTTTCCTGTTTCCAACTCACTTTGTTTAATCAACCAATCAAGAGCGGGCCTACTCTCATCTACCAACTTTACCACGAGATCCTCGCGACAGATGCCTGCACCCGACTTTAAAGTGTCCTGAATAAAAGAATCGCGAGTATCATCGTTGAGAGGTTCAATAGCATTGATACCTGACGTTGCCTTCATGGAGTTTCCACCGATATTCTTTTCCTTTTCAATCAAAATCACCTTGGTATGGCCATGACTGTGTGCTTCAATAGCTGCTGTGAGACCTGCTAAACCTCCACCCACGACAATGATAGTTTTTTGTTGTTCGCTCATTTTTGAAAAGTATCTAGTGTAAAGACAATAAAGAATAAATACGAAAAGTAAACGATGAAATAACTTCATTTTTAAAAAAGGATAAAAGAAGTTATAAAAATTTGGGGACTGGGAATTATTTTTAAGGTTTGGCTGCTTTAAGACATTTTCGTCATTGCATGGCATGATTTTTTTTTTTTTTTAGCTAGTTTTTACCTTGAAAGTATTGTGTCTTTTCGTGTTTCAGTCATCATCGCTTGTAATATTGGTCTACGCTGAATTACCAAGGACGATTTCAGCAAATATTTTGATACTATTGACGTAAAAAGCATATGTATCGTCAAGTGGAAGGAAAAAGAAAGTTAAGAAAGAAATATATTTCCTAATAAAAAGAAAACTAAAGAAAAGCCGATTTGACTAATGATGTACAAAAAATCACATCATAAATATTTGCTACTAGATTGGTAGTTGCTACTCTTCTCATCATTTAAACATATTAACGAGATGGATGATTTACAAAAGCCTGACACTTGCCAAAGACATGTGATTTCTTTGACATAATAAGAGGTGGGGTTATAATACCCAGTTGTTCATTTAATTCCTTGATTCAATGACAAATAAAAAAAAAATGGACGGATATCACAGACATATCATCAGCTATTTAACTAAAATGATCCTCACCAGGAGGACTCCTTCCATATGGATTTCTTATCTAAACCATCAGTCCAACTCTCACGCAAGATAGACAAGATCTTATCCTTTTCGGCCCAACGAGCTCTTAACCAATTACCCAACTCTTCTTCGTCCTGTGGTAAGTCCTTGATGGCAAATCTTCTACAGTGAACATGGAAATCATATTCCGGCCATAAAGAGTGAACATGGATACGCACCATACTGGGTGCTTGATTAAACATCTTTTTATGTTGTCGGTGTCTATAAGCAATTGTAAAATCGTACACGTAATTCACATGCGACCCTCTAAATTCGTTGACACATGAAACAAAACCTTTGGTTCTCGGTAACAGTACGTTGTCCATAACAGGGTATCCTCTTTGTCGGGAGAAGTTTTGAGCGTCGTAGAGCTTCTTTAGTGTAACCCGAGATCCTTCAACATAGTTTATAATCCAAACTGGTGTCTCTAGTCGTTTCATGCTACTAAATGTTGACTGGATTTTCTTTTGATCCTCGGTCCAATTACGACGCACATAAATGAATCCTGCCAACTAGGAGTTTCGCATTAATATTTTTATGACAATTATGTGATACCACATGATCGCATTCAACATACCCACATACCCCAACCAAAAAATGGTAACTAAAACATAAACGTCAGCTTAAAAGTTAGAAAGAAAATTATTTTGTACGTCAACTTACATATTTGATGGAATCCTTGACAAAGTACTGAAACAGAAAGTATGAACAAAAATAAATGCATTTATAACTGGAACGTGATCACGAAACTTACTTTGCAGTTGTCTAACATGCCTCTTCTAGTGGCAATGGAATTGATCAAGTAAATGTCAATGGAAGATTGATGATTGCAAACAACAAGTGCGTTTTCTTTTTGAGGAATATTGTCACCGGAAAAGGTAATGTGTGCTTTTTTACGGCGCTATGTTTTCAGAAAGTTAGCAACCCGAATTCAGCAAGCTTTTTATAAAAGTATTTACCTCAAAGACATATTGCATAACTCTCCAAACAGTTCCAACTAATTTCGAGTTAATTCGAACCATTAGACGTTCAGAGAATGGCCTCAAAATGAACGATGAGATTTGAATCATATTCATAGTGCCTGCTACACTATTAATAAACTTGGCTGTCAAAAAAAAAAAAAAATGTATAGTGAAACATTGATCGGTCATGCTTTACCCAAATAATGTTACACTGTAGAATACAGCATTGACAGTATCGGATACTCCTCGTATAACAACACTCATGTTTTTGTAAAAAGATTTTCGACAAGGGCCAAAGAAAGAAAGTAAAAAATAAAAAGGCAATGCGCGAGGGGATTGACTGATCTTTAAATAATAAAAACTGAAAACCAAAAAAAAAGTCCGAGATTTGTTTTACTTTTGACATTTCATAGTTTAAATGTATAAAAAAAAATGTGTTATTAATGTTTATTAAATAAATATGTATGTAGTAAAAAGATTATGTTTAAATTAGGTATAAAAAGTAGATTTTAAGATTTTTCGGTATAGATTCTGCTATTGATGGTAGTAGTTTCATTCAAGTTGCCTCCGGTGACATTGATACCTTCACGAGAAGAGTTCATCTTTTCATGATGACTTTCGTCATCTTCATCGACAATAATTTGCTTAGGCTCATCATCGTCAAACTCGTATTCATCAGCATGTCTATCGAAAGCTTCGCCCTTGGATTTGGCAATCAAGAAACGGATCCATGTAGGCAACAAGGGACGACTAAGAGCTGCAGTCCACCAATCTTCACGTTGAGAATAATCGGGACGAATGTAACCACGAGAAGCCTTATCAACAATATAGACGAAACCGTTAATGATAATATAAGAAACAATACCACCAATAACACCATAAGCAATAGAATAAGTGAAGGGCATGACAGTCAAAGTAATAAAAGCAGGGATAGCATCTCCGGGATAATCCCAGTTAATACTACGAACACCTGAAAGCATCATAGAACCAACAACAATCAATGCGGGACCAGTGGACCAAGGAGGGAAACTAGCGAAAATTGGAGAGAAGAAGATAGAGACAAAGAAACCGAAACCAACAGCAATGGCAGTGATACCAGTACGACCACCTTCAGCAATACCAGCACCGGATTCAACAAAAGCGGTACAAGGGGAGCTACCGAAACAAGCACCGATGGAAATAGAGGCAGCATCAGTCATGAAGGCATAAGTAGAATGCTCAAAGTCACCAGCCTTATCAGTGAAACCACCATAATTGGCCATGGAATACATGGTACCAGTGGTATCCATAATATCAACATAAAGGAAAGTAATCAAAGCAATCCAGATATCTTTACCGGACAAGTCAAAGTTCAGCTTTCCGAGTACATGATCCATCTTGTGGAGGGAAACAACGTTCTTGAAGAAATTGAACATAAGATCACCTTGAGAAGTATAAGGGAAATAAGTAACAGCGTTATCACGAGGCCATGAAGTGATGGCAATGAAAACAATGGCAATAAGAATAGCACCACGGACGCGGTACAAAAGCAAGATAGCCATAATAATTAAACCGAGAAGACCCATGTAGGTGGTACCATTAGTCATACGGCCACCTTTACAAACACCATCGACAAGATTGGCAGCAGGACAAGCACCTAAAGTAACTAAAGTAGATGCATCAAGGCTAACAAGTCCGATACCAGCAGATGCTTGAAGACCAATGAAACAAAGATATAAACCAATACCACAACCCATTGCAATCTTAATACTCATGGGAATGATACGAGCAAGCCATTGACGAATACCGAAAATGGAGAGAGCCAAGAAAATGAGACCTTCAATAAAGACGGCAGCTAAAGCGGTTTCATAACTGACTTTTCCAGATCCATGGAAACCAACAACGGTGTAAGTGAAATAAGCGTTAAGACCCATACCAGGGGCCATACCAATAGGAAGATTAGCAAAGATACCGAGCAAGATACTGGAGATCATTGCAATAATGGTAGTAGCCATAATCATATCTAACTTGACTTGATAAACGCAAGTTAAATAATCCTCATCGACTAAACAAATAGGATCGGCTTCAACACCGGGGCAAACACAAGTTCCACCACTATCACTGATAATCGAAGCATTTACTGAAATAATATAAGCCTATTTATTAAATAACTTCAAAGTTAGTAGCTGCCAAATTTCGATTTTGATAGGATATTACCATTGCGAAAAAGGTGGTTAAACCAGCACGGATTTCGGTTAAAAACTTTGTGCCTTTTCTTTCACGTCTAGCTCCAGAATGTTCCAATTGAAAGTATTTGCCCACTTTTGACTGGGCAACATAATCGTTTACTCTATCGGACCAAACCATGATAAAGCTCTAGTTTTTTATTAATCAATAATAAAAAAAAAATGGGAAAGAGAAAGTAAAAGTATGAAGTTTCGAAAAAGAGACAGGAGATTATTTATTGAAGGGAATTCGATCTGCCTTTTATACAATCCAAGTGAATTGGGATTAGGGCAGGATGGGTGTGAGCACAAACTCCGAATCCCACATTACTACAGATTAGATGGTGGGATGAGTCTTTGCATTTTGGTTAGGGTTTTTTTGATCTTTTTGTGTTCTGTGTAACAATAAGGCATTCTGAGTTTAATTGATACGAGTGCATCCGGACCATAAAATCATGGATTGCCGTTTCTTAAGCAATGGATAATAAGATGCTTGTCTATCTTTATTCGACAATGACAACTTGACCAAGTATCAATTGACTTGGGGCAATAATTTAAAATATATAATAAAGATTAAAAGTTATAAATATAAAAAAAAAAAAATTAGAGATAGTGTTATCTTTCTAAAGGGGTTATCCTCACATGTCTCTGTCTTAGATTATAAAACGAGTTACAGTGATATGGCAAAACTAATCGCATTTTTTTTCTCACACGACGAAAGGAAAGGTAGCATTTCTTTCATAGTACAAATACACTATCTATTATGATTATAGTCTATATCCCTCTCTCTTTATCTATTCGATATGCCTATTTAATCCAATGATAGATAAAAACATGAACTTATCATAAGGTTATACTAACATTTGCATGGTATATTTTTGTTTATATCTTAATGAATTCTTATATAAATTGTAGTAAGTGTTTAATCACCAAACTAAATAACGTTCCGAATATTCTGCTTGTAATATCATCTTTATTATTTTGCTCTGGAATGATTGAGAAATTTCCTTTCTCGATAACTTGATTTTGCGTTAACGACTATTCAAGAGTGGTTAGATTTCGAACCTAATATACCAAAAAGATGTCTTTTTGTAGTTAGAAAGAAAAATTGAATCGCCTTTTGACTCTTGCAGGGTCTTTCAATTATGTCCCTGAAACTTTATATACAATATGAAAGACGATCAGCAAATCAAGAATAGTATAGCTTCAAAGCAATAGCCATGTTGCAGTTGTGCTCCCAGTGCTTGATAGTAGCTTGTACCATTGTTTTTTCTAAAATTGTATTTAAACAATTTAATTAATTATATGGCAAGTTGCTCAAACTTTTTTTTTTTTTTAAATAAATAAAAATTTATATTATGATGAGTCAGACTTTTACGATCTTCTGGATGCGAATTTTTTTTTTTCTTTCTTTTTTTTCATAGACAATAGACATTTTCATATCCGTTGAAAACATTTTAAAGTATATGCTAATAGATTATGTGCACCGAGATCCATATTTGTAGTTTAATATTGGTAATCTTAAAAGCCGTTATCAAGAAAAGAGGTGTACATGTTAATTGAGTCTCTGTATTACAATTTTTTTTTTTTAAAAAAAAAAAGATTGATAAATGTGGAACAAACAGCTTTCTCTTTGGTGGGATTTCAGGGATAAAATATCTAAAAATATCCCTTCCCTTCACAGATAGTTAGGTGCATCACCACCTTTTCTGTGCCCCATTATGGGCGTCAATATCAAATTAAAATTAAAAGCTTGCATATCTACCCTGCACTAGTAACCTATTGAGCATTGATACGTTTGCTTAATTAAGATGTTTTCTTCTATCAATAATGGTGAGACAAAGTTTTATCAAAACTTTATTAAATAGATTGAAAGATCGAAGAATAAAAATATCATGCGTCTTCTTTAAACTTTAAACTAAACTTTCTTGCGATGTGGTTTTGCGCAGGCAACTCACGTTTTTGGCAAGTCTAATATATCATTATACTATAAAGACTAACGGTGTGGTTCCATGCCGAGGCTTAGGTTTTGCTCACCAAATAAGGCTACAAGTGTGACTATGACTGTCCTTAACAGAGGAATAAAATTATCTGCATCCTTTTTAAAAAACATGAGGTACCTATGTTTCACCAGTGTTGGGCTAAACTAACGTTTAGTTAGAGCTTCTGAGTATTCCGTGTGTAAAACATTCCATTTACAATGAGTGGTTGAGATTAAAGCCAATAAGTGTATGGCGAACGCCATCAACTGTATGTCTTCTACTGCTTGTATCAAAATAAAGACCAACCAGAAATTTATTTGAGATTTCTGCAGGGTAGTTGTACCGAGAAGCGTATACAATCAATCCCACTTAATCACTTTGATCAATTTAATAATATGCATGTTCTTAGATGTAGCGAAATATGTTGGCTGGATTGAGACATGTGCACGTATCTTAGTTTTTAAACTCAAGGCCTTCGAAAAACGCCCTGTGTATCTTTGACGAACTATGTACATTTTTCATTGTTATTACTAATTTTACCGTTTATTGTACGTCCGTTTTCGCATATATATATATATACTGTGATTATATACAACAACTTTCAAAGGAAGTTGTCTAGATATAAAGCCGAAGAGATATAGCATTTATTGTATCCTGTGTATTATTCTGTTTAGCGGATAAAAAAAAATACGATATATCGTCAGCCCACAGTAACACCTTGTCTTACTTATTGTACTTGTGTATAAATAAGAAGCAAAAAGAAGGGATATGGCTCATGTACTGCAAAAACAATTACTAGAATTAAATCAAAGCAAACCTTGGATTACAAACTATGTTTTATATTTAACAATTAAGGATACAAAGCTATTGCTTCGATTCTCTATAGTGAGTTTTATATGGAATTAATATTAGCAATTGCTTGAATATGGTACGATTCGTATCGCCCAAAACATTACACTCCTTGAAATTAAAAGTATGAGACCTACCATGTAAAGATTAGAATCAGACTGGGATAAGTATATGGCTAACAAAAACTAAATAAAAAAATTGTATTGGTCGATATCATCATCTGTCTAGTTTAACATTTATAGAATGGATAATAACTAATTGTTCCCATCATGAAACAAGATTTGATATTAAGCGTAGTATCCATTTAGCTATGCTATTACAGTATAGACGATAAACAGTGGTACCTTTAAAAAATCAGTTGTTCCTATTATGTTTAGGATTATGGTATCTAAAATATATTTAGAAGCAATAAGATGCTCATTCCATTTGGTCTTTCCTGATTGTAATCACTTACCAGCAGACCGACGTCACGAAAAGTGTATCGGCAGATGAAAAAACATTTTTTTCAAATTTTTTATTCCCAATTCAAGTTCCAAAGGTGGGGACCCCTAGGCAGTTTTTTTTACTTTTTCTAGTTACATTCTTACTTATACAATGGCTTCTAGAGCTTTATTCAAGGCAGTCGCCTCTTCTAGAGGCATGGCTGTTCGCCAAAGTAATATAAAAAAATTACAGAAAAAATGGACGAACAGCAATAACTGACCCAATATATCTAGACTGCTTTAGACCTTTGTCAACTGTCAACTCTTTAAGACAATCCATCTCCACCGAATCGAACACTGCTGAAGCCGTTACTCCTGAATCACTTGGTAAAGCAAACATACCTGATTGTGCTTATGTGAAACAGACAGAGAAAATAAAGACTAATCGCTGTTTATTTCTAGTTCCTACCACACCTTTAAAAAAAACTATCCGTCAATCAGTTGCCTCAGCTGTCGAGCCTGTTACACCCTATAATTTATCCATTTCCAGACTTATGGCAGCTGGACTTCACCTTGGACATTCAACCAGTTTATGGGAACCTGCAACTCTTCCTTTTATTTTTGGTACGCGTGAAGGTATTAGTATTATCAATTTGGAACACACCCTGGTCTATTTAAGAAGAGCATGTAATGTTGCTCGCGAAGTAGCACTTCGTGGTGGTTCTATTTTATTCGTGGGTACACGTCCTGGATTCCAGGATTTGACTATTGAAGCAGCTCGTTATTGTGATGGATTCCATGTTTCATCAAAGTGGATTCCTGGTACCTTGACAAATAGACACCAAGTACTTGGTCGTCATGCAGCACCTGACCCAGAGGATCCTGGACGTCCACCAAAGACATATAAGCCTGATCTTATCGTCTTATTGAACCCTCTTGAACATAAAATTGCTATTTCAGAAGCTCAACTCAACAACATTCCAATCATCGCTATCACAGATACAGATTATGATCCTCGTCTCGTATCATATCCTATTCCCGCCAACGATGATTCAATTCGAGGTGTGGAATTAGTTGCAAAGGTCTTATCAACTGCCGCAAGGGATGGTTTACATAGAAGAAAGCAAATGCTTGACCAAAGAGAAAAGGAGAAGAAATTGCTTAGAAAACAACATTCTAGCAAGTATTAAGCAACAAATAAAGTGTGTAAATTTAATTGTATAGAAAAAGCGAATAAAACATTAGAAAAAGTTTACTGGACTGGAGTCGCTCTTTTAAATATATATATCATACACAATCAAAATAATAGCGTCTCGTTTCATTAGTTATAATAATGTTCGAGACCAGAGTTAATGGTATAAAAAAAAGCGGTTTTATTTTCAATTTTTAAAATAATAATACAGGTACGAAAGAAAAAAAAATTATATATATATATAGTGTGTGTGTGTGTGCATGATTGAAAAACCAAGGGGGAGTGTGATAAACTGTAAATAAAAACTTGATTAGTATATCTGTATACTATTAATATATAGGATTTACATACCTTAGAAGCACCAGAGTTTCTTTAAAGAAAAGGAAACCTTACGCAAGGAGGGCTGTAGAGTAACTCTACGTAATAGTTTTCCTTTTGAGGCCTGGTTGATCAGATATTCCGCCGCCCAACTATTTTCGCACAAGCCCAGTGGAATACCGAAATAAGCCTCACACGCTCTTTCAAGATCATCCATCTCCCTGATTTGGTTCACGTTCTTCTTTTCGTCGTAATAATTACCTTCTTCTTCAATAAAGTAGCGGTATTGGCTATTATTGCTGCTTTGTGAGTTTTGATATTGTTGTTGAGATAACCATTTGAGACCATCTTCAAACCATACGATTTCTTCTTGTTTGGTTATTTTGCAATGTTGTTTTAAAACAAGTGACCTTATAACATCCATTGTTATAGGGATATAATATACATCACCTGTGGACTCAACATAGTAAGTAGGTCTTTTGATACGGCCCTTCTCGGTGTATTCCAGTGTGTAATTGTAATGCGTATTATTACATTTCAAATCTGCACTACTCTTATTCACAATCATGTTCTTGCATTTATCTAGCTGCTTTGTGAGAGACTCCTTTGATAATTTTCTTGTTCTTCTTGGGGGAGGTTCCTCGTAGTCAACCAGAAAGTCTGGGTCGAATTCTGGTTGGTTTTTGGTTTTACCAGAGAATCTGTTGTATAACTTGTTTAATTTGTTTTGCATGTTTTAAAAGTGAGGGAAGAGAAAGAGAGAGAGAGAGAGAGAGAGAGAGAAAGAAGAAAAAGATACAAAAATGAAATCAGCCCAATTATACATAAAAATAACAAAGCCTCATTCCTTTCTGTAAATCTGTCAATCTTTTTCTTGTGATACCTAACATTATTTCCTTTTTTGCAGTAAATTTATTTCAATTTGAGCAAAAATATGGATTTCGAGATATGAGTAAACAAATAAAGTATTCATAAATCGGTCTCTCCCCCTTCTATTTAATATTTAAATTAATAGCATGCATTAATAAAAAATAAAATAAAATAAAAAGGTAAAGAAAAGTCAATTTTCTCTGAATTTAAGCGTGTATGCGGTTATATTACACGTAAATATGCATGAATTGGTAATTTTATACAGATTAAAAAGCACCCACCAAAAAAAGGCTCCCAATTATAGCATTTTGTGATCTGTCATCGATCAGTTTTGTAGGCGAATGAAAAAAAAAACATAGCGGCAATGACCTCATCATTGTTATTGTTATTTTCACAGAGTGTTTCATCTTGTTTTCTTTGTAATATATCCTTGTTTCTTTTCTATTATTTAGAGAGTGACTGTATTCCAATTAGTCTCAATCCACAAGGGCGTATTTTGTTTCATTGTTCTTCTTTTTTCTTTCTTATTAATTAGGACATGTTTGGTTTTGACATTGCTTCATAATGGAAAACAAACACAAGTCCACTCTCATAACCTTCAACTTCCAAACACCTGACGATAATACAAACGAAGAAGGTGTTTTATCAAAAATATTTGATAAAGTCATACACGCTGTATCTGGACAACACCCACAAGATAACACTTGTGTTCGCACAACTAACGACAGAAATGAGCTCAAGCATCAACGCGCTGAATCTGTCAATTCTGTTGCAACTCACTTAGAGCAACAACATTCGCAAATCAGCTCAACCCTAAGTCGACATTTAACAACGGCTTCTACTTCCTCCAACAAAGACTCGGCTCTAATTAATTTCCCGGCTTCAATGCACCTTGATGCAGTTCCACGTTCTTCTACTTCAACAACTGCTACAACCACTACCACTGTTACAGTTGGAAATCAAAAATCTGAACAACAAAAAATCTTGGATGATGAACATAATACGCACGCCACTGTTCAATTCGTTACACCTGTGATTGAGAAATCTCACGATGACAGCCATGCCTCTTTAGATTTCTTGATAACATCTCCGCTTACCAAACGAAGATCGATGGATAGTGACACTCAATCAGTAGCCACCAATTTTTCGATATCCAATTCAAACTCACTTTCCAAGATACTAGCTCGCTTGCGAGGTCAGAAAAGCGACAAAGAATTTTGGATGCCAGATGAACAATGTAAGGAGTGCTACAAGTGTCGAAAACCGTTTACCTTGTTAAGAAGAAAACATCATTGTCGCACATGTGGTAATTATTCCCTACACACACACACACATTTAATCACACATTTATGAATATACTTATGAATATACTTATAATACTATTTAAAGGCCAAATTTTTTGTGGAAGATGCGCTTCCCATGTCCTGAGTGGAAAAAATAAACAAAAAGGTCAATTTCGAGTTTGTAACTTTTGTTATGCAGAGCAATTACAACAATTGAAAGAGAGCCAGACAGATCCTTCGGATGCCCATGAATATTCCTTATCATTGCAACAACCTGGTAGTATAGCATCTATAAATAATGGAAAAATCATAGATTTGAATACACAGCAGCAGCAGCAGCAACAGCTACAAAACCAACCTTCAAATACATACAACTCGACCATTATACCATCTCAAAAGCCACCTTTAGCAGTTCCCAAAATGCAAATACCAGCAACGGCTCTACGCCACACGAGAAGCAATTATGGGAATGATGATACGACAATGTTTGCATTAGAAATACCTACTCATGGATCTGATAATTATATGGGCGGATCACCACAAACCTCATTTTTGCTGGAAAGACCCCAATCGTCAAATGCATTTCATGCGACAGATCAATGGAATTATACAACGGACTCTCCAGCATTACCCTATAGTAACGTCACATCAACTACTAGTGGCATTCCTACCATAACAACTACCGGTGCTCCATCCAACGAGTCTTCAGCTGGTGGGGGCTTGAAACGTTTATTAGACGTGGGTACTTCCTTACTCAAATCAACAACATCCTCCCGACCGAGATCCAACACGTCATCATCTGCACCGTTAGAAGATACACGATATTCAGGTATGACACAATATGGGTCATCTTCAAACTTTAAAGGTATCGGGCCACCTTATTTATTAGACCGCGGTGGAGGTACAGTATTAGCCGAGTCTGAACTAAGTCCATTCCCCGGTAACAATGATCATAAGACGGAATTCTACCACGACCCTCTTCATCACCATGTTCATTATGACAGCAGACTTTCTCATATACCAACAACAACAACAGCACCACCACCACCACCCATATTACCGCATCAAAGTAATTCTAGCAGTACTGTACCCAAAATATCAAGCGGTGACCATTTATATGCTTCGAGTCAACTCGGGGTTATAGGAAGCGATGACGAGGCATATGATCATCGTCTTCGCGTGAAGCGAACTGAAGAGCTCCGAGGTAATAATTTGCCTTCTCTATCATCATTCAATTCGCTAAGAAGACTAAGTTTTACAGGTAGTAGTGGCAGTAGTGGAGGGAATAGTACTCATAAACGAGTATTCAGGAACAGTATGATTCGTGTGACTACATCAGGTTTACCTAAATCTGAATATACTACTCCACAGCTATTTAACGAAAACTGGTCCCCGAATCAACCTTCTACGCCGTATGATGTTTTCCAACAAAATCAACTTCAGGTACAACAACTGCAACAACAACAAGACTCACCCATATCTCCCAACATGTCGATGAGTAGACGTCGTTTACCTCCCCGACCACGCAAGAACTCTGTGCCACCACAATCTGTTGAATTAAGCCTGAGTGCGAGAAACCATGCACGAAAGATATTGAGACAATTGATGGAAGATATTACGCTAGCAGAGACAAGTAAAAATGAATGGGAGGAAGTGATTATGACGATTTTGCTCAAGGTGGCTAATACAGTGCAACCCGATATACGTTCTGGTGATGATATGGATGTACGACACTATGTTAAGATTAAAAAAATTCCGGGCGGTGCACCTTCAGATAGTTTTTACGTCAAAGGCGTGGTGTGTACAAAAAATGTAGCACATAAACGTATGATGAAGAATATCTCAAAGCCTCGGATCCTAATTTTGTTGTTCTCTTTGGATTATTCTCGTGTTGAGATGGAGAACCAATTAGCACCTATTGCCCCTGTCATTTCTCAAGAACGTGAACATGTGCGTCAATTAATAGGTCGTATTGTTGCTTTAAAACCCTCTCTACTGGTGGTAAAATCTACGGTATCTCGCTTAGCGTTAGAGTTTTTATTAGCTGCCAACATTCCTGTGGTTCATAATGTCAAGGATAGCGTGATTGAAGCAGTTGCCAGGTGTACACAAGCGTCTATCGTTACATCAGTAGACAAACTCAAACACGGATTATCGTTTGGCCATTGTGGATCCTTTGAGATTAGAACTTACATGCACGAATGGATACCCAATCGGCGCAAGAGTTTCTTGTTTTTTGACGATTGTGCCCCTGAATTAGGTGGCACCATTGTGCTACGTGGTGAAAAAGATGAAACATTGTGTGTCATCAAACGTCTAATTGATTTTATGGTATTTGTTGTGAATAATTTGAAACTGGAGACTTCCTTATTATTAGATTCGTTCGCTAAAAGTCCAGGCTCAATTGATACACCCCCCTTGACATCACAACTGTCTGAGAGACATCGATCTCCGTTAATCTCGTCTCATTTGCAATCAAAGTCAATATCCCAAAGTGGAGAGAGTATCCATAGTACCGTCAATGTGGATTATGAGGAGGAAGATATACATACCATCAATAGTCATTATACATCTGATCTGCTGAAACTGTACCAAAACACAGTACTCTCGGTATCTCAATTTGTGGTATTTCCTCCCCCTTATCTTTTGGTCACCCTCAAGGAAACTGAAGACAAGCTGGCTTTAATCAATGAACAAAAACGTCGTAAGTCTGTATCTGGATCCTCTATTTTTACGAACGCTACAACTACCAGAGAATCTATCGCTCCTTTATCGGTGTCGCCAACTCGATCGACGTTTGAAAAACAATCAATCCACAGTGTCGATCATAGCACAGCGACGAAAACTGATAATTTGGAGCACCGTCAGCAAAACTGGCATGCCGAAGATGTTGTATTAGAAGCAGAAAATGATTTAATTACAAAATATCGACAGGTTTCTAGGGCGTGGGATGCTTATATTGGCGAAAACCCCGAATTTATCAGTCCATTCTATCACCAAAATATTGTTGTCCTGTATTCCACCGTGTGCAGCGTTACTACGGTTCCTTGCCAAGGACCTGAAATTCGGATATTTAGCTTCTACCGTTATCCTTCGGATAAAGCGTTAGGACAATATGTCATGGATTTCTGTAACGATGCGCGTCAGCCTTGTTCATCCATGATGTGCGATCATCCAATGATACAACATTATCGTTCATACGCTCATGGTAATGCACGTGTAAACATTATGATCGAACCATTTCCCTGTCCCCTACCCGGGATGGAAAACAAGTTACTAATGTGGAGCTATTGTAAAGAATGTGATAAACCTACACCCGCTTTACCTGTATCGGACAACACATGGAATTATTCTTTTGGTAAGTTCTTGGAAATCTTCTTTTATCAACAAGGGGTTTATTGCAGAGCGGATATCTGTCCGCACGATATGGCTCGTAATCATGTTCGATACTTCGGCTATATGAACTTAACTGTTCGATTTCAATATGACCCCATCGAATTGCTCGAGGTGATTGTGCCACCGATGAAACTCTTCATTTTCAGTCAGGTTCAGATGGATATTAAGGATGCAGAACTGGCTTTATTACGGTCCAAGATCAACAGATTTTACCAATCCATTGTTGAGCGTAACAAGGCGTTTCCTTTTGATTTGGTTGACCCGCACAAATTGGATCAATGCAAGGCTGAACTACAAGAGATATCGTTGGAAGCGCAAGGAGAAAGAAAGGATGCATTACAACTAGTTCAAACCGTGTATGCTCATTCCGATCCTTACGATACATTATCTATCAACAGTGTTCGACGAAATCTTTTTCAAGTGGTTCATCATTGGTATGCTGTCTACACAGACTTTGTTCGATATTATCTGCAGCCAGAACGTGAATTAAAAAAGATTACCACCAACCAGCTGCGTAAAATGTTTCCTGGCGAGGTTTCGGAAGCGACCATCTTCAAAATGGACAATGAACGTACGAAACGGGCAACAGAAGTGACAGATTTACCGTTATTAGGAATAGGTCTTGATGGAGAGCAAGATGATGCCTTGATCGGTCACGTATTGAGACGAAAGTCAGGTGGTATAAAACTGGATGAAGAGTATCATCAGGTGATTTTCCCAACATTGTCTTCTTCACCATCTCAAGAGAAACAGGAAGAAAATAGCACAGAATCAGATACTTCTGTGGATGATGAGAGTATCGTGCAATTAGACCCGGATCACAAAAATTCTTTCTTACGACCTGAGGTTCGAAGACGTTTGTCACTTGATTTATTACATGAACTACAAGCAAAATTTAAAATAGAAGAAGGGAAAGCAACAGGTATCGATTCATTAAACCGAATTGCTTCCAACAAATTTTTACGGATCAAAAGCCCCGGTACCTTATCTGCTGCTTTCACACCATCCCGTATTCCCATTCCTTTGTACAGTAACGGAAGAAATAGTATATCGTCAACACCACCTATGTACGAGCCGTTTAATCGACGTCAACGAAGTAAACTCAGTTCATTTTTGGGATCGACTTTGACATTATCTCATTTGGATCGGGACTATATTGACCGCAGACATAGTACAAGGAAAGGAAAACATAGTGATAGGATGGATTCATCTACCACAACCAATGAAGGGAAAATACCTCGATCCTCTACTTCAGCAACTTTACACCCCAAAAGTCTTCATCAACGACACCATTCAATTGGCCATAGCCAGCATCTCAACCATCAATCTGTGTTTGAACAACTCAGAATGCGATATAATGAAAACCAAGAAGAGATTGAAGATGAAGAGGATGATCATTTAACTCCCAGTAGTTTCCTTCGGAAAAGTGCAACTACACGTAGATTCAGGTCGCGATTGCCAAGAAAGAAGACGCATATTCAAGTTTACACGCAAGCAAATGATCTTGTGCGCGAGGACATTGACGATGAATTCTATGCTAGCGGCGACCAACCAGATGATACGTATTCTATTGAATCTTCAAGGAAAACAAAACAAAACCAACACAGACAGAAAAAGAATAACATGCATTCCACCACCAGTCGGAAACAACACATGTTCAATGCAAATAGAAGCTTTCATGATAATGGTGAAGAAGCAGATAATGACGATAATGATGTATCTGATGATGCTGGTGATGATTCGGATAAAGAAAATATTGATTACTTCTCTTCATTGGCACCTTATACACACGATGTAATTGAAGGAGCGGCTGCCGTTCTGGCAGCCAACAATGAAAAAGATTATACAGAAAATCAATCATTACCCAGCAACATGGGAAGTAATCTACATCAGCAACAGTATTCTTTCGCCAAGAACTATTTTCCTTTCAGTGATGGACAGATGGATATGTCGTCGGGTATGTCTGGAGAAGAGGAAAATGATCGCGACTTACCTTCAGCATCGGAACTTCTGATGGATCAACAAACAAATGTGGATGGTATGAGATTAGATGATTTACGTAATATTCATCCTGGCATTTTGGTAGACAATTCGCAAACCAGTAGTGCTTATCATGCTCGTGTCGCTATAGCAGAGGCAATTGAAGAAGGCCGCCACTCACCTGAAAAGACTTCGTTCATGAAGACATTGACAAATTTTCTGACAGATAGTGGGCTTGGTAATTTGTTGCCTTTGGAATCACCACTGTAAGTGCATGCAGTACATATTTTTAGTCCATCTGACTAATCTTTTAAAAAAGGCAACCTACAGAATACCTATTTCCTGATTCATATGTTGTCGTAAGAGAAGATGAGCCAAGCACAATTATCGCATACACGTTAGATTCTAAGGATTACATTGAAAAGTTGCACGATATACGAGAATGCAGTAGTGGTGATGGGTCCAACGAAGGCACTATTAGGCCTGGGGATGCATCATTGATGGATGCTAAAGCGCCCTCTGAAGCTACAACAGTAGATAATGGTGGGCCACCTCAACTATCCGCTGAGGATATTCAAGAAACGCTTTTACGAGAATCTGGCACACATATGCGATATAGTATGTATACAATATATATGATGTATTGTTACAAATAATTACTTTCTAATTCCTTCGCAGACTTCTCTACAGGTAATACGAAATTCTTTTGCAAAATTTTCTTCTCGGAACAATTTGATGCGCTTCGAAAAAACTGTGGGTTTGATGAGAGTTATATCATGTCGTTGGCAAGCTGTATCAAGTGGGATTCTTCGGGTGGTAAATCAGGCTCAGCTTTTCTGAAAACAAAAGATGATCGTTTGTTGATGAAGCAAATGTCCAAGTATGAATTAGACGCATTCCTCGGATTTGCACCTGCCTACTTTCAATACATGTCAGAGGCTTTTTTCAGTGAGCTCCCGACGGTACTTGCAAAGATTTTTGGATTTTACAGTATCGGATACAAAAATTCTGCTACTGGAAAGTCAATGCGCATGGATGTACTTGTCATGGAGAATCTATTCTATCAACGCAATGTCAAAAAGGTAAGTTTGTACGTTTTTTGTTGGGCCGGACTTAATATTGAATTGTCTTTTCAAGATTTTCGATTTAAAAGGATCTATGAGAAATCGTCATGTTCAGTCCACCGGAAAGCAAGATGAAGTATTACTAGATGAAAATCTTGTTGAGCGTAAATTTAACAAAAAGACACCATTTAACATGTTGATGTGCTAATTTTTTTTTACTTAGTCATTTATCAATCACCATTGTTCATTCGAACGCATTCTAAGGAGATACTTCGCAGCTCACTTCACAACGATACTTTATTTTTATCCAACCGTGATGTGATGGATTATTCTTTGCTGGTCGGCATTGATGAGGAGCGACAAGAGTTGGTGGTTGGTATCGTGGATTTCATTCGTACTTTCACGTGGGATAAAAAATTAGAAAGTTGGGTCAAAGAATCTGGCATCCTAGGCGGTGGAGGCAAAGGACCAACAATTGTTTCGCCGCGCCAGTATAGAATTCGGTTCAGAGAGGCGATGGAAAGATACTTTTTAATGGTGCCTGATTATTGGGCCTTGACTAGACAAAGTCAATCAAGTTATGTCGCCCTACATCATCATCATGCTACTCAATCAGACTCTGACGGGGAATAATATATCTTGCATATGTATAAAATGTAACATATTGTAAATATCTGACTTAAATAAAGCGTTTTTTTATTTATTCTTTGTATGAAGAATAATCTGTATATCCTTTAGCTTCATGGGTGTAAAATGTGCTATAATCAGCCCGGACTAATGGATGATCATGACGAATACGTTCAGGCAAATCAGGATTTGAAATAAATAAACGGCCGAATGCCACCAAATCACCAGTATTCTCCACATGTTTTTCAGCGTCCACAGTAGTGTCACTTGAAAATCCACTTGAAATAACGAGGCCCTCCCATTGAGAGCGATAGATTTTAGCTAAATCGTCCTTAATGTTTTCCGGGGTACGAGTCTGCATGAAATGCACATACGCCATGGTGGGGTGGAGTTGCTGCAACTGAGACAATATGTAAGCACAGGTTACTTCAGGAAAATCCTCTGTAGCGCTGTGAAATCCACCTCCACCTGGAGACAAACGAATACCTGTACGTTCAGCGCCAATAGTATTCACAATAGCCTCGACGACTTCCAGAGTAAATCTACATCTGTTCTCCATAGATCCTCCATATTCGTCAGTTCTGGTGTTGCTCGAGGTATTAATAAATTGATCCAGAAGATAGCCAAAAGCAGAATGAATTTCAACACCATCAAAACCAGCTTCCATTGCATTCGATGCGGCTTGACAGAATTCTCTTGTGATTTCCTTGATCTCCGAAATTTCTAGAGCACGGGGAACTTCAAATGGTGTATTAAGAATGCCTTGTCCAGTAGCGGCGATAGCCGATGCTGATACAATCTGGTCCCCGTTTGGCAGGCTTTTACCCGTACGACCGCTATGCCAAAGTTGTAAGAACATAAATCCACCTTTCTTGTGAACTGCATCGGTAATTTTCTTCCATCCATCAATTTGTGCTTGATTGAAAATTCCAGGTCCCTGAGGGTAACCTCTAGCAATTGGGCTAATTCCAGCACATTCTGACAATAGCAGACCTCCCTTTGAAGCTCTTTGTTGGTAATACTCCAATTGTAAGTCGGTAGGAACTCCTTCTACAGTTGCTCTCAATCTTGTTAAGGGTGCAAGAACAACCCTATGTTCCAATTGGATGTTTCCCAACTTAATAGGGCATAAAATGGCTTTTACTGTCATGGGGGGAAGGGTTGAGTGTAGAAGAAGAGAAAAAAAAGAAATTACTAGCTTCCCCTTTCATTTTCTTTTTTTTTTCTTTTTAGTGTCTGTCATTTAAAAAATAAAAATTGTATCACAGCTTCCTTGAATAAAAAAATAATTTAGAAGCCAATAAAAAAAAATAGAGGATCAAAATTGTCAAAGTCAAAAGGGTACGTTTGCATATCTTGTATCATGTATGCTATAAACAAAAATGCATCATTGTGTACATTCACCTTTTTTGTTCGGATTAATTCAGCGCAGACTTGTTTCACCCTAATTTAAACTGCGTTCCTACCATTTGTTTGTTTGACAACCTCAAAGTGGTCCCTACTGAAGAAAAAAACATCAGAGCAAATCTACGTACATACTGATCGGCTGCTAATGCACCCACCTTTGAAATGCTTATTTATCTATTAATTACATTTTATCGCAAGTGAATTGACAAGGAAGGTGACGATAGTAACAGCTCAGACCAAGAAATGGGCGCCGATCATTGTTCATTGGGTAATATCGCACACGGACTTGTTTAACCTTGAAATAGGTTGTGTTCCTGTCAGTAGTAAATTGAGGAGGCGTTGGATCGAAAAGAAACGGTACTACTGCAAACGAGCATGAGGTCCAGTGCGTCTGATTGGCTGTCAAGATATTGACGAATCCAGCATAAAATAAAAACGTGGGATGTCACGAAGAGAGAATTGATGTGCAAACCTTAAGTGATTTGTGTAACGAAATCATGAAATTCACTTTTTAGAACAGTGAAAAATCAAATCGCAACACAGTCATTATGACAAGTAAAATGTTTATGAAACATCATAAAATTATACCTTTTACATGGTAAATTAAATATGAGAAAAAAACTGATAACCATAATTATCTAACGGGTTATTATCCCTTGTTTTCTTTACCCTACAATCACATGCTATCATGAGTAAGAATTGAGGGTCGAAAAAGGAGACAACTTAACACTAGTTTGTTTTTCTTAAAACTTGAAATTGACCCTAATAATGACATATCATTCAGACATCCACATACACTATTTTAAAAGCCATGTCAACATATACATTAAAATAAATCTATAAATTTAACCTCTCTCAACATTTATACGAATATGCTAATTAATAGTTGAAATAGAACTCTCTCTCAGTCTTTAATTTACCTTTGCTCTTAATAAGCTGCATAAAAAAAGTCAAAGTATCATACTTGTTTTTTTTTTTTTACATTCTATTCCAAATTATCAACATACGCGCTATGGAAAACAAGCGATAAATTGTAATTAATAGCCGAAAGCCCCTTTGACTATCTTTAAACAGAAAGACGCTTCCAGACGTACGTAAAAAAATTTCGTTTCTGAAAACAAAAAATCTACTAAAGCGTCAACAGGAGGCGAGCTGATCGTGCTGACCTTTGGTTATCTTTTTCTTTTATACTGCTACATTTTTTCTTATGAAAGGTTTTTTAAATTGAGGCAAACAATTTTTACTGATGCCAATACATCATTTATATATCCAAGGAAGAAGGCATTCTAGGGTTTAGTCTCTGTTACAAATAGTGCTTTAAACTCATAAAGTTAAGATAGGTTTACATATGTTCTATGTAACCTATTCACAAAAATAAGTCCAATTTCCTATTACCCTTACTCTCTTGTAGCATTACATCATGATGTTTTGTTCATTGAGGGTGTTCCTCCAACCTCCAATAGGTGTTATCTTTGATTAATAAGTAGGAGATACAACTTTTTTATCATATCTGTATATATTCATACTAATGTGAAATTTTTATTGCAAATGCTACCAGGTGCAAGCCATGTTTTTCTTGGGGAATTCATGGTTAAAGGTAACAACTACAATCAAGAATTGCTGGGGGTATAACAGTATTTTGGGATTTAAAGAAAATCCTAGGGGTGTAGGGTTTGCCACGTACACTCCCCTTACCTGTGGCGAAAGACAGGATGGAGTTTTAGAAATTTTTAGCAGCCCTTAAATCGAGCCGTCACTATGTAAAGAGATTTCACAACCGTATATATGTGTATTGTAAAACAACTTTTTTTTCTGTAAAGCAACTTTTTTTTCTGTAAAAAATGCCTAACAAACATGTTCCTTACAGTAGCATCTCTTTACATATCGATAGATCACATGTCTTCAGCAGACATTTAAGATCAATGTACTTTGAGGCTGACTACCAGACAGAATTTTGGGGGTATATATTTGAGTCTTTTTTTCATGGCCAAAAGTATATACTGCTTTGGTACATATAAATACACACAAGAATGGATTTTTAGATTAACGTAATTTAACTTTTTTGTATAGGAGCTATACACCTTCAGCTCCATGAAAAGGCCGGCCTTTGCGGTTCAAGGCTGACCTTCGAATCACGGTAATGTCGGAAAATGGAGATATCGTAGATGGCACCACTGCATAACTTGACAAAAAGAATAGATACCTCAAAGAAGCTGTTTATGGATAAGCTAAAGTCTGTACTTGGCACCAAGTGCCATCTTAACAAATTCCTATACTTGATTCCTTTTATACCCGGGATTGAAATTAAGAACGTAATTGTCCCCATCGTACAAATAATGGCTTTCGATGTTTATGTATACACTCTTCGATTGGGCAACCGGGGACTATGTACGTCACAAGATCATACTTCATTTTCCTTTGCGACCAACTACCAATTAATACTGCTCGACATTCTGTCTATAATTTCGAAAATATTTTGAAATCCCACGAACTGTGATGTGTATGCATCTATTCATGAAAACACAGATTTCATATTGATTAAAGCGAGCTTTGCTAAATGCAAAAGCGAACTTTGACTGATGCAAAAACGAACTTTGATTGATGCAAATAACGTATTCGAAAAGTTTGCAAAGGCGAATTTGGTCGGAGTGTAAGCGAATTTGACTTTTTTTTAAAAGGTGGACATTAGGCCTGAAAAGGATGATTATAAAGTATGCATTTATTATTAGTATATTAAGAGATACAGGGAAAGAAAGAGAAAACAATAAGTTAAACACCGGCATGGTCGAAAGCAAACCACCAAATCAAGATAGCAGCGACAATTAAAATAATGATGAAAATGATGAAACACCACCATTTTTTCTACAAATAGAAAGATACATTTATTTCCTATAATTTACAAAATCTAAGGAGACAATACTTACAGTTCGTGTACTTTTCGCACTGACAATGGCTCTGTCAACATCCTTGACACCTTGTTCCAAATCTACCATTGTATGTTCTGCATGTGTCTCTATTTGGGTCAAGGTTTCCGCTTGCTGTTCCACCATCATTTGCATGTCTACAAACAATTGATGAAGTTCCTAAATATAGGTTTTAATGAATTCATGTCTACTTTTGTAATAATCCTTTTTTTTATTTACCAAAATAGTCTTTTCGATTTTTTTAATATCATCGTGACGAGATTGGACCTCCGATAATACTTGTCTTGCTTGCCCAGACCTACTTGATTGCATCAACTAAGAAATAAAAGGAACGAGGACAGAACATTATTCAGTCATGAGAGGAAGAGAGAAATTATACTATACTTACGGACTGTGCAAAGATTTGTGTTGGCTCATCCGAGTCTAAAACCTGATCAATTTCATCCTGTGTAGCGTTAGGTTGAACAATTTTAATTTGCCTTTCAACTCTTTGTCTATATTTTTGTTGGTATGTTCTTTCGATATCCTGATATCTTTGGATTGTCTCAATAAATTTCTTTTTTAATGCAGAGTGTTGCGTTTTACGCATGGGCAAATCGCCAGAATTTGCAGGCATACGAGCATTACTTAACTCAATAGCTACGTCGAGACATTAGGCCAAGTTTTTTTTTATATATATAGTTGATGAGAAAACTTACCTTTAATTTTATTTTTACATTGATTGTTTAACTTGGTTGTGGATTTGATAACTTTCTCAAGACGATACGCATTTTCATCTGACTGTTCATCATTAATGTTTGTTAGAGCTGAACCATGTAGTTCCTCAATCAATGCGATGTTATTAATAATTTTTTTGTTCAAGTCTTTTGCTTCTTCAACCTCTTGAAAAAATTGATCGGTAGTGGTGATACCTTCTTGGGTAGGTATGCGTTGACTCATTTCATAAGTCTCTTTATTGTCTGCATGTCGATCTCCACGTGAGTCGCTTTGATATGTAGGTGAAGGTGGTACGGGGGGACGATAACCGGTATCGTTTCTACCTGTGGGCATTGGAGGAGGTACATTATCATAATCGTCACTAGAAAATTAAAGGAGTTAAAAAAAATTACCTAAAAAAAAAAAGTATATTGTGTACCTGAGACGACTATAATAAGAATAAAGTTAGTTATTTTTATCATTCCGGATCAAGAAATATAACATACTCATAACGTTTTTCGTTGTTATTTGCGCCCTAAACAACAGCAAAGGTTAAAAATAAAACTACAAAAGTGTCTAATGTACATACACGAAGTTCGGCCAAACGATCTCGGCTCATTGTGAATCTGGAAGCAGACATTGTGTAGTGGAATGATGTAAGGAAGGGAAAGGGTAAGATTAAGTGGAAAAAAAAAGGAAAGAAAAAAGAGAGAGAGAGAAGGATAATATAATTATAATTTATTTTATAAATATAGTTTAAAAAGGTTGCACAACTGCTAATTACTGTTTTTCACCTCATTTCCAGCCCACAAAGTCTATAATTTGGCGCCTGGATTGGCCAAGACCAGGTATGAAAAAGAGTTAAAAATAGTCGCCGTTTTAAATGGGTGGCCATGTCAAACCTATGTCAAAGTGTGTAAGCGCTTTTCCTTGCTCCACTCTCCTTTTACCAAGCTTTTATAGTTGTAAACAGCTGCTAAATAATTAGACTCACCACTGTTTACAGACAGAATTACAATATTTACTATAAGACTTCCTTAATGAAGCAATTGAAAGAATGTTAGCTCATAGACATGAAATGCTGTAATTGTTCAGGGACATCTTCAGTAAGAGTTTTGACTTCTTGTACCTGGGTTCTTCTGATATTTAATATTTTTTAGAAGCATGTTGTGAAGATATCCCAATGTATTGCCTCAGCAACGAATTTCTATATACATAAGTACGCTCATATCGAACTAAAGTAGCTAGATCACCTCGTACAAATATTATCTTTAAAACAGAACATTCACGAACTACTAATATTAATCCATAATGAGAGATGCGATTCAAACTTCTTGCCTCTGTGAGTGAGCTCATGTTTTTCATTCGATAATTTAATGTTACTGGCATCGTGATGATAGGGCTGACCATAAAATTCCATTGCCAAATAGTCTTTTAAACTAGCGGTAAGTCTAATTTATGCTTATGCATAGACTATGAGTCAATTTCCTTCCAGAGTCCCTCATCAAAGTGCTGACTTACATTGGGTCCTTCAGAGTTTTTATCTTGTATAAATACATAATAATGCCTTGGAATAGGATGATATCAAATGCTCTAGTAGGAAAACTCAAAGTAGGCACAGGATCACTAAAATTAGATGTTTAAATTCATTTACTTCACTGCTTGATATCTGTTACAGAATCAAGTAGGCGTAGTTCAAATACTTTATTTTTTATCCCATTGCGAAACAGCTGTAATTCTTTATACAATGGTAACTTTATAAGAATTCTTTCAACGACGGCTAACACCCTTAGACGGATATGGGAGGATAAAATGAATTTCAAATGAAGTTTAGCTGATAGTTGATAATTGGGGAGCTTCAAGCATCAAAATAGAAGAGCGTTTGTGCTTTAACACACATCAAGCTTCGCTGCATTATACCAATTGTCTTCTTCTTTGCTATTTCATTCTTTTTTTTTACGGTAACTCATCTTTACTACATTTGGAAAAAAAAATCTGGCACTGGCTTTTTCTTTTATTACACAAAATCGGAAACAATAATTTAGACTTGTCCTTCAGTCTTCTTCTTCTTCTTTTCTTCGATTTTATCAATATTCTCTTCAGGAACCTATGAGCATGTACTTATTAATAAAAAATCAAGATAATCGTAAATAAATAACCATACGTTTGTCCAGTTGCTCAAGATCATTTTAAGTAACTCATCACTGAAATCACCTTGAACAACGATTTCGTCTTGCCCTTGGTTATTCTTTGCGACAGAAGAACCACATGCAAATCTGTTGGCAAACATCTTTGCTGCCTTTTTCAAATCAACTCCAAAAATATCTAAACCGTAAATAGTTGTAACACACTTTCTCTTTGTTCTTTCGATACGCTTGATAAGGACGCGAGATGCCTAATAAACTTTCTATGTCAATATTAATGCAAGCAAACAGCCTTTTCCCTAGTTACCATTTTCTTTTTATTTTCACGCTCTAATTTAGCCTCGAGTTTGGCTGATTTATCCTTTACAAGGCTTCTATCCTTTTTATCCAACGTCTCGTCCTCAATAGTTGCCTTTTCGACACCTTCTGTAACGGCTGTAGTTTAAAAAAAAGCAAAATGTCAAAACTATGTTTTATAATGCTGCCTGTTTGTGATGTTACCTTGGACACCGCCATAAAGTTCTTCATACAAATCCTCATTGTGTTCTCTTAACCACAATTTACACTTCTCTTGCGTTCCACTGAATTCACAGTACTATAGGACAAGAGTAATGTTAATCGTTAATGCAGCCTTTTAGTGTAGTTTAAAGCTTACTTCTAAAGGCATGGTGCAAACTAGAAAAGCGAGAGGGAGGTTAATTTTCGAGCAAGAGAATGTTTAGTTAGTACTTACTGCCACATAAAAAGACTTTACGCGGTTCGATTGACATTTTTAATAGATTGTTATTGAAAAAGAGGAGACGGGGGGATTTGCAGTTTTTTTTTTTATTATTTTTTGATTAGCAGTCCTCAGCAGGACACAGTTAGTGTCATAGTGAGTGAAGAAGCGTTGAAATGACTCTTTAGCGGACCCCATAATAATTGGAAACCCTTTTTTTTTATTATTAAATTTTTATTGAGTACTTCTATTAACAATGTCTATAGCAAAGGTATGGGACGTAGAGGGTGGGGGTGGATATATATTAAGTGGAATTAATGGTGGACATATCAGGAACACCCCCATGATCCACTAGGATTTGAAACATTTCCCATAAATTCTTTTGTACACAGGCTTTCAGTGTATCGCTATCTGGCTTTACTTTCAAATCGTCCAGGAAATAAAGAACCATCTCTTTATTGTTCCTTGCCGCGCATACACGTAGAGCCATATTGTTTCGTATCGTCGGGTCTGCTCCAAATTGAATCAGTAGCTTAACCCGATCAAGTCGGCCTAACTGCGCTGATTTTATTAGCGGAAACCCTTTTGGTCTATTGGCACAAGCGCCTCTCTCTAACAGCTCTAATACGATCGCATCTCTTTCTCTCAAACTCTCGCTGGGTTCCTCTAAAAATAGTCGTGCTGGGATCTTCTTGCCCTTAAACGATAATTTTTCATTATGCAGTTTATCAAGTCGTTTAAGAAGTTCAAGACTGAAAAAAGGGTACTTGACTGCTTCTTCAAATACATTCTCTGGCGTATATTTGTGCTCCAAGAACCGGATTTTTATGCTGTCTGAGCAATAATAGAGTTGACGGTATAAAAATTGGTTGACAATGGGCAAATTGGGGTTTGACGAAAGTATGAATATATGCGAGACTATTTCAAAGGGTAATTTAAACAACCCGCAAGGTTTGAACTCTCCCTCATCGTCGCTACTATCTGAAGAGGAGGAGGAAGAGGAGGAAGAATGAAGGCCCCAATCCTGATCCATGACTCGTTGTCGTTTTGGCATGTTTTATGTAGAATAGAAAAAGGCTTTTTTTTACAAAGCGAACTTTAGTATTAAAAAGGCGCATCACTAAGCCACTTTTGAACATTTGCATTAGCGATGTTTTCTACTGCAAAATACGATCCCGAACATAGAATGTCGTATGAAGATTTGTATATCTAGTTGTAGAAAGTGTGTATCCATTAATTCATACACTCTATGGGTAGCTAATTCATCAAGAGAACGCTTAATATTTGATTTCTCTTTCTTATATTCTTGATTATTGATAGGAGAGGGTTTTCTTTCTTCCAATCAAGATATAAATTCAGCAGTCTGATATGCAACATCAAAGGCTTTTTAATTTCATAATTTATTTTTTGAACCAATTTGCTTATTTGTTCTGAAGTGAAGCGTACCCAAATGCCACAGAAAATTATGCATAAATTTGAAGATAATAAAAATAGCTATTGTGGTAAGAGGCATATACTTTGGAGGTTGGCGCCCCCATTTGAAAAAAGATCACGTGACATTTTACACTGATTAGAAATTTCCACAGTGTATTTTGCCTGGGTTACCGTGTATTCAACTTGGCGACAGTGTATTAAGCGTGCGCTTTTATAAAAAAAAAGGTTCACGTGACACTTCTCACTGATTGATGGTCTCCACAGTGTATTAAGCTGAGCATACAGCCTATAAGCACTGATTTTATAAGCTCAAGCGTAGGCCTGAGGCTGCTTTGACGTTGGTCTATATTGTTTTAACAAAAAACATGTTTTTTGGGGAAAATGTGCGCGCGAAGGCCAGCTTCAAGACCGTCTATTTGTTTTTGCTCTTCGGCGTCTGTGGCGTCTATAATCTGTGAAAACGAAACAGCTTTTCTCGAAACGATTTGATCAAAAATGAGATTTTATAACTTTCCTGTCAATGAAAAGTCCCTGGGTGTTAATTTTTTACTAAGGTGATCCTATGCTCAAAATGCGCAGAAAAATTAGGCGCATCTTTTGGTGTATTTGGCAATTTAATTCACTATGTAGAAAAAATACTTTGTCTAACAAAAACTGTTTTTTTAATTATGCGCTGAATATACTTTTTCTAATAATAAAATTGCTCTAAAAACAATACCAGTGTAAAAAGCATTAAATTTAGGCCATAGTTATCTAAGAACACTTTTCATCAAACCTGCAGGAAGGGCACCCAAAGGGTGCATTTGTAAAATTTGGGATTTTCCTCGAGGTATACCCTTTGGGTTTTAGCCAATTTTAGGCCTTTTGAAAAAAACTTAAAAATCAAAATCTAATAATTCAATATGATATTTTAGATAATTCTGAGCATTTTTTTGGCTTGGAAGGACGTACGGAGACGACGGTTTACTGTATGAAAAATTCAATTTAAAACAGCGTGTTAAGCGAAAAAAAGGACCAAGAAAGAATTGAAGGTCAATACTAAGAATAGCATGTGCTGTATTTTTAAAACCAGGAACATGAAATCATGTTGGGCACATCTTTTCCATTATAATATAGCATAGTAAAAGTCTTGAATCTGAGGATTTATCTTGGATAAACGTGGTTATCATTAATTTGGTGTATGGTCTTTTTTACGATAGAAAATAATCTTATTTATCAAAAAATTTGTTATGAATCATTTATAAGCAGAGCTTTTGATAATGTAAGTAATGCAGTTAAAAAAAGTAGAAATCCCACATTTTATTTTTACTTGAGGTTGAGACACATTCAATTTTTTTAAGTTAGCAGAGCTCATATTTTTTTTTTATGATCATTCGCACGTCCCCATCTTTTATATTTTAGTGCTTGAAATACCAACGACCGATTTACGTATAAGCGGTCAATCGTTTAGAGTAGACTAGAAGAATGACAGTAAATATATCTGCTGGATTTGATAAGGATTGGCTAGTATAAATCAGCTTACATGTATGAATATAACTATTTTAATGACTTGATATTTAGGCACATGTTGTTGCCTTACAAGAGACATTTTTTGTCACCATTCTGGTAGCTAACTCATTTTAGGTCATGTTGGAAATTTGCTCAGTCCATTTAGCAACGGATAAAACATAACTATATGGGAACATAATGGATGATTAAACTTTGATGATTTATTGACTGTTCTACAGTACTCATTAGTAGTCTATATTAGGTGTCAGATCATAAGGACAAGATTTTCTTCTCCTGAACTATCTATACACACCTGAATTTGACATTTATTTTATTGCCTCATCAAGAGATGAGAGGCATGTGCCTCTTATCGATCTTATTTAACCACTGACGGCGCTATGCCGCTCCATTTAACGGTATAAGCTTATGTTCTACCCATTGTGCGCTATATCTAGCACATATTTCCCTATCTCTGTTTTTAATGTTTTATCTTGACTAAAATATAGTAATTGATTATCTCTCGTCTTTTTTTTTTATCACTGTTTATATTAATTTTTACCCCTTCTTTTACTTGTTGCCTCTCTGTGCTGAAACGAGTATATTTCATATACATCATTACTGAAACGTTTTGGTGGTTCATTGTGTGATTGCTATTTGATTGTAATTGCTGATAACTTCCGAACTTTTTTACTCCCTGCATTTACTATCTTATCGTTGATTTAAATCTTTTTTAAAACAAATGTATATAAATCCAACATTCTTTTCTCCTCCCCCCCCCCCTAAATAATCCAGGCCAATGAGATAAAGTGTTGAATAACAGATTGAATAAATGATGTAAAGTTTACATTCAGATAAATGACATAGTACATGCAGCCCAGAGAAAGAAAACTTGCATACATATATATAGGAGCGCCTTGTGATCTATACAAAAAATATAGTCTCCATGGCACCATTTACAAACAACAAATATTTGTGATCGCGTGACAACCCATTGGAGGTGGAGTGTATGTTTTCTTTTCTTTTTTTTTCAAATTTGCACGCGATGTCACATTTAACCCCGTGAGAATGTTACTTGTTCCAAACGGAGAAAAAAAAAAATTTAAAGTTATATATTTGTTAAAAAATTTATTGTATGTAAAAGGAAAAATGAGGTTGGAAATGGTATATATATATGTTTGTGTCAAAGGATGTTTAGGAAGTAAGCACGGTCCAGCCGAGGACCAAGAAATTTAGAGTCCTCCACCACTACGACCAACATCGTTAAGACTGAGACCGTTGTTGAACTTTCTCCACTTCATGTGGTGGGTTTGATTAAGACCTTCATTCTTCATGTATTGACCATAAGCTTGAGTGGGTTCAGCAGTGGAGCGAACATAAGTAGCGTAACCGGCAAGAGATGTAACGGGAACGAGGACAATAGAGGCAGTGCGAGAAGTAATAGCGAGCATTTTTAAGAGTGATAGATTGTTGTTTGTATTGGATTGTTGTTGTAATATTTCAATTAAGGATTTCCCGAATGCTGCCCTATATATATACTTTTTTTTTTATTGATCTGTTTGTAATTAAGGTGAGACCCCGCCAAAGCCCTATGACGTTTTTTAGGAAAAGTCTGTCTCTTTTTGTCGGAATGAAATTTCTTATCTGAGATCCTAATCAGGTTAAAAGCTAATCATCATTTTAAAAAATGAGGGTCTGAAAAAGAGCGCAAAGAGTGTGAGGGGTTGGAGTTCAAGCAGAGCCTCAAACATAACCCCCCCTAATGATGAAGACCCGCTTCTAAATTACTTGTTTTGTCTCACTGGTACAACAACACCTTACAGAATCCAATACTCTTAAATTTTCTATCATTCAAGTCGTATCTTGAAAAAAAAAAATCATTTCATTTATTTGTACGATTAAAGGTCCTATATGTTTAAATCTTTAAATTAGTCTGGCGTTCCTTTTTTTTTTTTTATCGCTCGTCATTTTCAAACAAATCTGTTTAAAGCCTAGTGGCATAAAAATTTCCCTCTTTTTTTTATTTTATCAGGGTCATATTTCCACAAATGATCTTTTTTTTTTTTGGTTATCGATAGAATTACGTACATTTTTCTTCAAGTTGGGATGCTTGCACTTTCTCTCTCTCTTGTATAGACTTTTTATTTGTTTCTTTTTTTGTCATTGGACATGATTATTGATTTCAGAAACTCTGCTCTCCATTACAAAGATGCAGGTGTGTAACATTTGACCTTCTTTTTTTTTTAGTAAAGTGTCCGACTCGAAACAAAGTTTTTCTTTAATATTATCCGGGTCAAGAGTCGACGCCCGTTCCTAATTCAGATGCCGTTTGTTTCGCGGGCGCATATAATATATATATTAGAAAAAAAAACGAGATTTTCCGCACTATACCATATATCGCCAAATCTTATTTATCACTTTATATGATAACGAGTTTTCTTATAAGGAATGCTTAGAATGATTTTTTTTATTAAACGTACATGCTCTTATGAAAGTATTATCCTAATCGGATCTGATCTGATAATAAAAGGGCAAGTGATGTGAAAAGAGTAAATGCATGAAAAACTAAAATTTTCATTGTATTGTACAAATGACGTTCCTTTATCTCTCCCCAGCCTCTATCATGGAACTCGAGATCAAACTTTAAAATTGGGGGGAGGGGGATGGCACCCACATAATCGATATGCTAATAAAAAAAAAAGATTTCAAGAGCCTACCTCTTTTGACAAGCCATGATCGGATTAAGGTAACATGTGAGAAACATTTGCTTTTTGTACAAAATAACCGATACAAAGGTATCAAAAATCAATTCATATTTTCCCGCTACGATCAAAATTTATATTCAACAAATGTTCAAATAAACAATTTGATTTTTTTTTAAAAGTATATAGTCGGTTATATTTTTTTTTTTTAAAAAAAAAATCATTATAATTATATTTCCTTCATTCTTTTTATTTTATTTTTATAAATCCTTTCATAATGATGGTCTTAAAAAGTGTCCTATTGAGTGCTTTCGTAGTATGTGCCTATGCAGAATTAGCACCCAATTATCCTGAACCAGGCACTGTTTGGAAAGCCGGGCAAAATTACGAGATTACTTGGTGTAACGTCCTTTTTTTTAAAAAAAAAAATTATATCTGTGCAGTAACATTATGATTTAACCATGTCTATTTTTTTTTCTTGTTGTTGCAGTGGATGACAACCAAGAACCTCCTATGGATGAAGCATGGTCAAATTTCAAGATTGGTAAAATAATAAAAATATATGTAAATTTTATGCGTGTAACAAACACCTCCCATTTTTAGATTTTATGACAGGCGACAACAATCACCAAAAATTCCTCAAGAGTGTTGCTAAAGTAAGATGACAAGGAGCATCAAGTCTCACACCCCATAAAAAAAAAAAAAAAAAAAAAGATTGCCTGTGTCTAACCTAATTATTATCATCGCATAGAATTTAGATGCTTCCCAATTGACTTCATATAATTGGACTGCACCTAAAGTGGAACCCCATTCAGCAATTTATTTTTTCATGTTTACAAATGGTTCGGAACTTTTTTTTTTTTTGTGTGTTTGTTACAGGAGGAGGAGGAGGAGGTCATTAATGATGATGGGTTTTATTTTAGATAAGGGAGAAAATGCATGGACGACTCGGTTTGCCATCACAGGTGATGATGAAAAGGTAGTGGAACCTGAAAAGAGCGTACAATCTGATGGTAACAATAAAAAGAGTGAAAAAGGGGGAACATCTGAACTAAAAAATGAACATTTTTTTATCATTCTAGGCTCAAAAATTCCTTGGGGAGTAGGTCGTATTGTTACCAACGCATCCTCCTTTCCTTTATCCAATGTTGCTTATTCCATGACACCGGCCATGGCTTCAGCAGCGGAAAAAAATGCAGCTGTTGTGATTGCAGTTTCCAATGATAGTGATAAAATCAAGATGATTTCTTCTGTAGTTATATTATTTACATCTATTCTCTTAAGCTTAATTCTCTTATAAACACGTAAATTTTTTATTTTATTTTTTACAATTCCATGGCAGTATCAACAGCCATCTTATCATTATGGTCATTGTACATGTATTGATCTTGGAAATCCTTCAAGTATTGAACAGATCTCTTTTCATCCAAAAAGAGAGAATAGACTCGCTTGATATCTTGAACGTCAACAGCGGTAGCCTTTCTCTTCCTTGCGACCAAATTAGCAGCTGTGATCAAATGAATAGAGTAACGAAGTGAGGTTTCAACACCAATACGTGTCAATACATCCTTGGCATCCTCTGTCATTTCCACATCCTCTTCTTGGCATCTAATTTTTAAAATCTCCTTGATTTCCTTTTCTTCATAAGGGTTTGTAGAAATAATCAACATACGGTCGAGTAAATCAACGGGAATACCATGAGGAGATTTATATTTGGTACCACGGATATTTGTAATACCACGGTTGGAGGCCATAATAACCACAGGTGCCATATCATCTTCCAGTGCTCTGTTCAAGAATGAGAAACATTCAATATCAAGCATATGTACTTCGTCAATAAAGAGTACACCGGGAACAATATCAGCTTTTCCTTCCTCTCTCCATTCAGCTACCTTTGTGTTGATCTGATCTCTGACTTCGGATTTAATCTCACCAGTATCACCAGAGAAAAGAGCTAAAAAGCCTTGTGTTCTACTGTTAATCACATCAATTTCGTGCAAAGAAACTGTGTGAACTACTTCCTTTCTCTTTTGTAACTCTCCTTCGGGACATTGTACGAATTTAGTCTAATAAACCCATCTTTTTTCGTTAATAACCCATTTACGTCCTCTATTATATAACAATGCTTACGTCGGAACCCATAGCATCGTAATCTCTAGCTCTGGCATAAGAACGACCCAACTTGGAAATACGACCGGAAGCCTTGTCAATGGCAATGACATCACCTGCCATGACTTTTTCCTTGTTTAAAGAATCAATCATTTTATTTCCAAGATCGTAGATAGTCTCCATGTCGGTTGTCTTGAGTGTTAATTTACCAGTCTTGGAACCCTAAAGTAATTCAACACGTCTCAGTATACACATTCCCCAATAAAATAACAAAAAAAAAAAACTTACACCTGTCATGGAACGATCAATTTGAATTTCAACCACTTCACCTTCAATCAATTCAGACTCTTCCTTAATTCTGACACCAATGGAACGACGGAATGCTTGTGTTAAGGCTTCAGTCTTACTCATTTCAAGTGAAAAGATTTCAGAAGCAGCCAATGAAGTGAATGGCACATCGGAACCAAGAGCTTTTTTTTTTGTTAGTTTCAACAGGAAATCGTGGGGAGTATGCAACAACAAAAAAAAAATTTTTTTTCTTACCTTGAGCCATACCCATGGCGATGGCGGTTTTACCGGTAGAGGGAGGACCTGCAATCAAGACAGCACGACCTGCAATCTTTCCTGCTTCAATCATTCGCAAGATAACACCGGCAGCTTTACGTGCTTTTAATTGTCCCACCATACCTTGAGAAGAGGCACGAGGTTCCAATGCATCGTCCAAACCCAAACCACGAATGTGAGAGTGAGTTCCTAAAAATAATCAGATGTTTTTAGCACTCAAAGGCTGAATAGCGTCTTTCCCCCCAAAAAAAAGTAGATACGTTACCGACGCGCTCCATTCTCAAGAGATCTTTGGACTCGCCAGAAGAAGTAGAAATAGGTAAAGACTACATGTGAAGGAACTTTTTGTCAATTTTTTACTCTTGAAATTTACACTGTAGCAACTCGATTGTTAACTCTCATGTACCATATTATTTTTAATCTATAACAGTGTTTGGAATATGACAAAAAAAAAAAGCTTTTTTTTTTTATTTTAGTCAGTAAAGGATTTTACAATTTTAAGAGGAGAGACAAAAAATAATTAGCGAGTCATACAAATGAAAATATTTGTCTACCATTATCTTATGGTAGTCAACATTTAATAATGGGTACTCGTTCTTTAACCGGGTCGAGTACATTGGCATACAACATGGGTTCTGTAAACCTTTTTATTTTTTTTTACTTCTATTATGTTCAAATTATATATTGGGCAGGATAATATGAATTCGACCCTTACTTGCTTCGACCTTATGCTTGCGTGAATCATGTTTTGAGTCCCTTTTTTTTTTAGCAAGTTGGTACGTTTCTTGTATGCTTATGTATCTTTGTAGATTATAAGGTACTTATTAATCACTACAGTGGCAAAAAAAAAAGCAAGTCCCACTACCACTCTATTTAAATAACTTTTTGTCAAAGCACCTCGCTATTTATGACGATGCTGCTTAAACAAGTATATATTTTATATCATTTAAAAATGAGAGAGGATGATCACCGTCTTTAGTATGATTTGAATTTAACAGGTATAACCATTTATAAATGAAGCTATATGAAAAGAATATACCTTTTTTTTTTTTGTAACGACGGCTTCTTCTCTTCGTGTCTCACTTAAAAAAAAATACGTCAGTCTAACAGAATCAACCACGAGAAAAGATGGGAGAGCTAGTCAACTCTAAGTGGCTCAAACTTGTTTTCTTTTTTTTTTTAAAAAAAAAAAAGAAGCTGCAGCTTTGAACATGTGTAGCCCTTGGGCCGGTTCTAGTTGCTCATTTTTTTTTTTTTTTTTTTTTTTGTCTCCGTAGATCAAAAGGCGTTCGAAAGTTCATAGCTGTTAACAGTAATTGCTAACAGTAGACTCGTTGTCATAACAACCCCTCCTCCAAGTTGGTTACAATGGCTAGTAAGACTCTTAAATTAGTTAGCTATCAACATGTTTCTATAGAGAGGTGATATAAAAAATCACTATGGACACTAGGGGTGGTTTATCGGCTGAAGTTGAAATATTCACTCATAAAAGTATCCGCTTCCCCCGGAAAGCTAATAACTAACAAATGACCATTGGAAGGACTGTCTACATGAATGTTGATGAAGAAAAGGGTGGTAAAAAAAAAGCACTTCTTTGACCAAGGTGATTTTTAAAAAGTCGATACTTAAATGGGCATAGTAGAGATGGGGGAATCGGTACAGGGGATGTCACACACTGATTTTAATAAAAGGAGCCAATAAGCCATTGTATCCCATTGAGATTGTTTATTTTCAGAAGAAAAAAAGCTACTGTGTTTTTTTTTTCCTTTTAAAGCAACATCGTTCTTTTATTCATAGTTGATCTCACACTAATAAAAAGGCTCACTTTTGTTAACCCCGCCTTAGATGTGTGTGTAAAAAAAAATTTTATATTGATGTAGTAACCAGGGAAAGAAAAAGCTGTTGCAGTATCACTTAATTTAATTCCAACAAGGATAAGAGCTTCGGGTAAAGAATACTTTTATGGGTAAAAAATTGGTTTTATTTTATAAAAAGGCAAATCAATGTTCCTTGAGGGATTTTTTTTTTTTAAAAAAATTAAGTTTGGGCTTTGTGTAATATGAGCTATAAAAAAAAATGATGATAGGTGTGTTTGTGGGGGAAATAATATTAAAAAAAAGTTGAAATAAATGTGTGTGTGTGTGTGTGTGTGTAAAAGTTTTTTTTTCTCTATGATAATCTTTCTTTATCCTCATCTTCTTTAAAGATCTTGGCTCCTACAACATAAGCATCTTCACCAGAAAACAAACGTTTAACACAATTCACGGAAGAAGGCCATGTCAGGAATAACCAAGCGGCGATAGGTAAAGAAGCATAGTCCGCACAATTTTTCCAGGTACGCGTAGCGGGCTTATGATAAAATTCGCGGTCAATGTAACGATGCAAATGTTCATAGATAGCTAATGTACCAAACAAGGGGAAAGGTAAAAAGATTGTAATCATCTTGACAACCGTCCATAATTTGAAAAAGAAATCGCTGGCCAATAAAGGGTTGTTCGCTGGGTTGGTCAAAGCCATCCAAGGAAAGGGTGGGAACAGGATCAATTGGATTAAAGGAACGGCTGCAAACATTAACCAACCGGAGGAAGCAGGAATCAAATGGGCTTCCAAAATCACTGCACAGGCAGATAATTTATCATAGAAGCTGGAAGTAGCCATGTGGCTATCCAATAACCCCTTTTGGTTCTTACGGTTCTTGTAAGAGAGAATCATGTGGCGTAAAGTGTAACCTAAATCGGCTACACCTTGGAAATGACGTTTGGCTTGCACATAACGAGCATTGACATTAGCCAAGTAACCTTCACATTGGACATTGGTCAGATTGATGGGAACATAGATGGGAGCAGTACGAGCATGACCGTCTGTTTTAAAGAAACACTTGAGCCACATGTGCATATCCTCACCAATGGCATCAGCGTCGACATCCCAATAACCGACTCTTTCAGCCAAGATGAAGGAAAGAGTGTAGTTGGAGCAAGGAACACAAAGACCATTTGAGTTACTCAAGTTGGACATCACCATGGCAGCCCAAGTGATATCTGCCATACGTACACAAGCAGGGACCTGAGCACAGTTACGAGAAAAGAAGATGGGAGGAGCACAGATAGTATAATAAGGATCATCAGATTTCATCAAAGCTTCTTCTACTTCGAGGATATACATTTCAGGAATAGCGGCATCAGAATCCATGACGGTCAAGATAATTTGTCGACGATCATAACCTCTGTTTAACATTTCAGCACATCCATTACGGACAGCATAATTGACATTCGATCCTTTACCACGATACTCTCCGGGGATACCCACTGGATGACCTGTCATGATAAATCCATGAAATCTGCCTTCGAAATATTCTTTTAAACGTTCTCCCTTGTCTTCCCAACCTTCTTCTGAAGCCTCCATGCCTAAAATAATCACATAATTTGTGCTAGCATTTCTATTTTAAATTTGTGAGTCTAGTGTATTCTACATGGCAAAACAAATCTCTCTACCTGTGAGCTGCTAACTTGCCAATGGTATCCTTTAACAAAGCCTCGGGTTCACTGTAGTTGGGAATCACAAAGGTATGAATATACTTTGTTTCTTGGATCACTAAAGGTTCTTCCACCTCGACAAATGTATTTGAGCGGTTATGCAGAGGCGTTTCCGAGGCAATTTTAGCCTTGTCCTCTTCTGTCTTGTCATTACGATTAAGAGCATTCCATTTATCTACATTGGCCTTAATTTTCACAGATGATAAATAAAACTTGCAGACATGGTTTACTTGTTGATATAAAAATCCAGTAAAATACACAAACAGAATAGCCACATAGGCTTTAGGAAAGAAGAGAGGTCCCAAAGGTAAAAGTAACACTGAGATAATCGGTGTCAAAGGTGCCACCCATTCTGCGGGAGAGCTTAATCGAGACATGTCTTTTTTGACTTTCTTCTTTTGAGGTATTGGGAAGGGGGGGAAAAAGAAAAAAGAAAGAAAAAGAGAGAGAGAGAGAGAGAAAAAGAGGGAGGAACCAGTCCGCCCTTTTTTGTTTCCCCCCCTCATTTTTATAAAAAAAAAAAAAGAAACTTAGGCCCGTTTCACAGTTAAAAAAACTTTTATCCAATGACATTTATTTAATTTTTTTTTTTTTGCTCAATCAATCAATCAATCCAGTTTGGTGGTGGGTTTAGCCGTGGGCTTATTACCCCAATAGGCAATGACTTGCAAAACCAAAATGGCATTGAAAGTGGTAGCCAAGGCATTACCAAATAACATGAGTGTATCATCCAACTCAGTCATGGTAGTAAAGACACGAGCAGCACTTCCAGCAAAATAATTCACCACAGTAAACACAGACAATTGACCCGTGGACTTGTTTCTAAAGTTGGTATAGATTTGAGGTACTTTACTTGCCAACGACAAAGGAATGGTGGCAGCATACAGAGAACTCATCAAGACCTGAGGTACCCATTCCTCATTGTTTAATGAATAAAATAAGCTTACCAAACCTACCAACGTACCCACCAAGAGGGATCCTTTACCACCGTAATAAAAGATAAGAGACAAGATCACGATATTTTGAATGCAAATAAACAAAATCTCTCCAAATGTGGAGAAAGGGTTCCCCTGTCGCAAGTTGTAAGAAAGCGTAATAAAATAAGAGAGTGTCTCTAATAGGTAAGAGGTGGTCGATAACCCTTGGGCTGAACCGTTTTTGACAATCGTAAGGATTTGAGGAATCTTGACAATCGAACCACCCAAGACAATACCCAGTCCCAAGCCCTTGGAGACAGAGTACTTGATACACTCTACATCATGAAAATTAAAGTTTTCTAACAAGGAAGAAACACACGTTTCACCAATCACTGCAACCGCTGGTTCGCGTAATAGTGTAGGAAGTTGCATTTTATTTTTCTAAACGTGAAAATAAAAGAGAGAGAGAGAGAGAGAGAGCGAAAAGATGACACGTGTTTTTTTTAAATTGCTATTGTGTATGCAACAAAAGTATGACAAATAAAAGTCACAAAAAAGGAAAAAAAGGGGAGGAATAGCGTGTGTATTTCTCTCTCTCTCTCTCTCTCTTTTGCCCTTCCTTCTTTCATCATGTCTCAATTAGTGTACAGCAAGTTGCCACAGACTACAGCCTCCTTGGAACATATTCTTAAGCATTTTAAAGCTTATTCAGGAAAAGGTCCCATGATGGTAGGTGTCTCGGGTTGTCAAGGAAGTGGCAAGACAACTTTATGCGAGACCCTCACCGGGTTACTAAAGACCGCAGGCTACAATGTGGTTCACTTTTCGATGGATGATCTCTATCTTACTCGTCAGGACCAAATACGATTATCCAATCAATACCCCCATAACCCATTATACCAACAACGAGGACAGGCAGGATCCCATGATCTTTTGTTGGCACAAGAGACATTGGAAGGGTTAAAGAAAAAGGAAAAGGGTATCACCCTCTTACCTGTGTATGACAAGTCAAAATACGGTGGTATGGGAGATCGATTAGATAAAAGTGTTTGGAAGGAGGCACAAGCGCCTTTACAGATGGTTCTGTTTGAAGGTTGGATGCTTGGATTTAAACCGTTATTAGCTTTACCACAAGAAGAAAAATTGAGTTGTTCAAGAGAGGATGCGGAGGTCATGAATGAACATTTGAAGGCATATGAAGATCTATTGTATCCCTATCTTGATATTTTCATTCATTTATCACCCAAGGAACGGGAACAAGTGTATCAATGGAGATTAGAGCAGGAACATCATATGAAGGTATCTCGTGGTGTAGAAGGATTATCGGATGCTCAAGTGAAAGCCTTTGTGGATACTTACATGCCTGCCTATCAATTGTATTTACCTCGATTGGATAAAGTGGGATTCTTTGGTCTGGGTGAGCAAGGTGAACCCAAGAAGGATTATGAGGGACCTAATAGAAAAGATGGTGGTTATAATGGATCTAATAAGCATCTAAGAATCGTATTGGATTCTCATCGTCAAGTTATACAATCCTTGACCATTCCACCCTAACCAATTAAACAACAACAAAAAAAAAAGTATTCACAGTCCGCCCCACTCTCCAATGGAGAGAGACACCCACCCATACACACACACACACACAGACAAAAAAAAAAAAAAAGAATAAAATTTTTTCCTTTTCCACCTCTGTATTTTTTTTTTTTTTTTTTTTTTTATTATAGAAGAAAGCCCCCCCAAAAAAAAGGAAAGAAAAGAAAGGAAGCCATGTCACCCAAAGAATATATACCAGGAGATACAGTATTTGCCAAACTAAAAGGGTATCCTTGGTGGCCTGCTAGAGTAAGTGCTATATATATAATAAAAAAAGAGAGAATAATGGGTTGACGGTTTAATGTAGGTTGAAAATGACAAAGACATCCCTGCAAAGATATTAAAACAGAAGGGTAAATCTAAAGGATTATTATACACTGTCTTTTTTTATGGCTCCAGAGATTAGTAAGTTTTTGTTTTCTTAAAACGCGTATCCATGTTAATCTCTTTTTTTTCCATTTGAAGTGGTTTTTTTGGTCCTGATTGCGTTCGTCCATTTGATCGTGCAACGGTTGAACGTGATTTAAAGGCAAAGAAGTTCAAGACAAAGGATTTAGAAACGGCTATTCATCAAGCACTAGACCCTTCCATATTAAAAGCACAAGAAGAAGAGGAAGACGACGAGGAAGAAGAGGAGGAAGAAGAGGAAGAAGAGGAGGAAGAGGAAGAAGAGGAAAAACCAAAGCGAAAGGAACGAAAGAAACCTGTTGACAAAAAGAAGAAAGCAACGAGTACCACCAACACAAAAAAGTCTAAGCAGGCAGCGGCCTCTCTATCAAATACACCACCACCACCACCACCACCAGCATCAGCATCAAAAAAGGCAATAGATAAAAACAAGAGACGTTTAGCTGAGGAAGAGAATGAAGAGCATGAGACAAAGAAGCGAGTAACGTGTATTTCACTACTACTTTTTTTCTTATTAAACTAACCCCTTAACGACCATTTTTGTTATTAGCGTAAGTCACTGTCGACGGAACAAGAGGAGGATCGCCATAATAGAGAGTCATCAGCAATCTCACGTAAGAGTGAGGAACCTGTTCATCCTCCTGCCATCGAATTAGAATTGTTTAAAAAGACACCTGAATACAAGAGAATCTATCACATTAGACATAAACTTCAGAAACTGGTGTATGAAAAGAAACCTGGTGAGATCTTAAAGGATGATTTTTATAAGGTATCACAGGTGGTGAAGGAGATTGAGGATTCGCATATGAGTTACGACTTATTAAGGGTAAAAAAAGAAAAGAACAATAATGATTATAATACAATGGGGCTAAAGAAACACGCATCTACTAGTATACCAAGATTGGAAAGGTGGTAAAGTTTGCTTGCTCCTATGATTACGATAGCGACGAATACAAAATTAACCAACGTTGCCAACAATTAATGAAGAACTGGAAATCATTAATCATTCCAGAGGCTACTCGTGGTGCATCTGCTGAGCAGACTGAACAACATCAATCATAAATTATAAAGAGAGAGAGAGAGAGACAAAAGAAAAGAAGACTTTCTTTTTTTTTTATTCTTATTTCTTTATTTTTCTATACATATTTCTTTTTTATTATTATTCTTTTTTTTTTAAACAACACTTTTTTCATATTAAAAAAAAGAAAAAAAAAAAAAAATCAAAAAAAAATCAGAGCCTATTTAAAATATTGAATCGCATAATATCTTTACCGAGCCTTCCTGTTTCTCCCTCCCTTCCCCCTCCTTACACTCCCGCATTTTCTCCATGTGTATGTGTGTGTGTGGAGGGAGGACGATGACTGATTTGCACAAGACAAGCACCTATCAGCAGCTATCACTTTTAGACACAGTAGGACAGTTTCATTCGGAATCCTCCTCCAAGGCTATTTGTGCTACATTCGGGAACAAAAATTATACCTTCTAGCCTGTCTCCCCAATCGTAATCAACCCGATGACGGATAACCGTTTATACACTTTCTTCGGGAGGAAGATCATATAAATACCGAAACCCAAGCTCTCGTTTTTTTTTATTGTTTTTTATTTTTTATTTAAAAATAACTATCTTTACATACAATGGGTTTCATGAAACGTTTCTTCGGTCCTCACATCAAGGAGGATTCACCTTCTTCTACACCTAGTCACTCTAATGTCACTTCTCCTGCTGGTTCCATTGTAGATGTTGATATTCACAAAACTGATAAATACCACAATGATCCTATGCGAACTGGTAAAAAACCTGATACCATGGGTAACTTTCTTGATCCTATGGGTGGTCATGGCTCTTATGCTGTCAGTAGAGATGTTACCAACACAGGTGCTTAAAATAATCGTTGCTTAACCACCACAAAACTCCCCATCATATATCCCCTTCGCACTTTCATTTTTACTACTACTACTACTACTACTATTACTATTACTACTATTAATTATTACTAGCATCTTCTTCAACCACAATAAAAAAATAAATAATTCCTATTTGTCTTATTTTGCCCTATTTGGGGAGGTTAATTATATACAATCTCGTTTCTAGGTAACACAATTACTTACTCTTTTTATATATTCTACATTGAACTGATTGTACCACAAAAAATGTCTGATGGTGGGAGGAAACATCACCTTTGGCATGCTCCGGGTTCAACCGGGAGGGAAAAGAAAAGTCTTTTCTAGCCACACTTTTTAACTTTCGCCACACATGTAAATGTCTATTTTATATACACTGAATAAAGCGTTCTCTTTTCTCTCTCCCTATTTTTTTTGCAGCAAGCAGACTATACTACTTGTTTATATCTCGAACAAAAACATGTGATAAATAAACTGTGGAATAGTCCAGACATTTGACCATTTTTATCAGTCATTAGAGGCCCTTAGTATAGTCTATGTTGGCTTGTACTTACCATTTGTAAGGGCTTACTATATCACTTTAGTCTATTGCCTTCATCCATGATTCATCATAGATTATCACAACTATTTCAGCTACTAGTTTACTTCCCACACAAGTTATTAATTAATTCAACATGATTATGTCATTTGGCGCACTTGTTTATCATCAATATAAAATGGACCACTTTTTTTTTTCTTTCTTGTAAAAATATCGAGTCTTTCGCAAGTGTTTGCTTTAGTCAACTGTCTCCGTGTATGGCGTCTACTGGAGACGCCAAATGTAAGTAAATCATCATCAAAATAATGAACAAGTAAGCTTATGTAATAACAAAAAAACTTTTTTTTTTTATATAAATAGAGACGGGATCGTCTTAACGGAAAGCCGGCTTTACTTTATTCTGGGTCTGGCCGACTTGAAATCGAGTCGGCTTTCCTTCATTGATTATTGAAGGAAGGCCCCCTTGAAGGGTGTCTAAGACTTTGCGGTCTTAGACAGACATACAGGTACTAATAAAATCATCGCAAAAAAAAAAAAAAAAAAAAAAAAGAATTAACACCTAGAAAGTCGTTCTTTGGCTCCCGGGTTTGTACCTGGTGAGGAAGAGCTTGGCAGTATGAAAACTCAACTTAAGTCAACTAGAAAATCCGAAGATCAGCGCAAGATCTATAAGGCTGACGATGTTGTGAGAACAACTGGTACTCTCGAGATCCTTCTCTTGGAGACAGCTGGGCCGTTCAATCACATCGACCTGCCCAAACCCTCTTTCGATAATAGTAAAGGAATGTTTGGGCTATTATTCATGCTTAAAACATTGGCAGATAAATATCACAATTGTTCCAAGACTGTATTCAGGGAGTTGAAACTTTATTTCTTGCAAGCTAGTCGTAAGTAAATTTTACACTCTTGAGTACTCAACCATATGATGTTACTAATCAGTGATACTTATACTCTTTTAAGATGATACCTAAAAAGGAGATATTGTCTAAATAGAGACCTAATCAATAAACAATTATATACATATTTATATGATATAACTTCATATTTAAATAAATTACAGTAGTTAAATACATCAAAAGAACATTTAATAAAACGAAAAATAATAATGGACTTTTTTTTTCCCAACTACAGACATGGTCACAGAGCCGAAAATACGACAATTCAATACCCTTTATGTTATAACTGCTTCAACAATAACAGCCTCGAAAAGAAAATCACATTTTTTATATCGATTGATAAAAACCCCTTACTTATTTTTTAAAATATCCACAATTTATTAATCATTTCTGGTTGATTCCAATTCTTCTTGATAAAACCCTTTTGAGTGGGTACCGAAACTTATTTTGAAATTCTAGGACAAATAATGTCCGAAAGACTTACTATAGGTGTGTTGAAGTCACTATCGTAAGCGTTCATGTGGTCTTCTTGAATAGTGATTATGGTGTCCATAGCCTCTCGAAGACAGTTCTAGATGTATCAAATAGGTAAGCCACGCGCGCCAATCATATAAGTTTATTTTTTTAATATAAGGTACTTACTTTCATAAGAATGGCAAAAAAGGCCAATTCAGCCAGACAAGTGTTTCGGTCTTCGTAATTCTCGCTGATTTTGGCCTTTGCGACACGTTCAAAGGTATAAGTACCTTTTTTGCTTTTATATTTTAAAGACCACAGACGCAAGGTATCATCTTAAAAGAGTATAAGTATTACCGATTAGTAACATCATATGGTTGAGTACTCAAGAGTGTAAAATTTACTTACGACTAGCTTGCAAGAAATAAAGTTTCAACTCCCTGAATACAGTCTTGGAACAATTGTGATATTTATCTGCCAATGTTTTAAGCATGAATAATAGCCCAAACATTCCTTTACTATTATCGAAAGAGAGTTTGGGCAGGTCGATGTGATTATACGGCCCAGCTGTCTCCAAAAGAAGAATTTCGATGTCGCCAGCTGTTCGAACAACACCGTCCGTCTTGATGATAATGCGTTGATCTTCGTGTTTGTTCATTGCTTCGAGCTGGGTTGTCATACTGACAAGCTCTTTCTCAGGTACAAACTCTGGTGCTAAGATATGACTTTCTAAGCTATCCAAGACAGCATACATCAATGGAAATAGTAATTTGACATTGTATACTTTCTCTGAGAGGCTTATACTTGGCCTTTTCTTATAAACGCCAGCCCTATTTTTTTTTGTTGTTGTTACAAAAACCAATTAACTTTATATAACAATTTACTTACATGACATTCATTACGCTCATAATAATTCTATTATCGTCATCATTTCTGAGAGGGATTGTGCCGTCTAATCTGATTTTAAAATTTTCGGCAGTGTCCTGAAATAATAAAAAAAGATACATAAATTTTAAAGCCTTTTCTAATTAAGACGTGATTTAACTTACTTCCTCGGCTAATGTTCTGATAAATTGGACCAAGTCCTCCCCAAACAGGCTAGCATTGCTCTCCAATGCTGGCGCAATTTTTTTAATGCCGTTTTTTTCCGGGCTAGCATATACAAAAACGCAGAGGTGTTAGACTCGTGTTTTTTTTTTGTCATTTGGGTTAGTAATTACCTATATCTATGTAAACTTCGTTCATTCTCAAGGTCGAATATAAAGTCTGACAAATCCTGTTCGGATTGTGCTGTCTATTTAAAAGGAAAAAAAATTAGAATATCATTTAGATTCTTATCGAAATCAATCTTACTTTTCGTCTTTTACTAGGATTTTCATCATCTCTCTGTAAATCCCAAAAGTTATAATGTAAATTGTATCAATTTAAATTAAATAGTCAAAAGCCTTTTTACCTGCTGTTCACCGGTTTGATCGAGTCTGACAGATGAGATCAATATCGAAATATACCCCGGCAAAGCTTGTGGTATGTCCCCAAGGTCCTTGATAGTATTAAGGCAAGACAGATAAATGTTCGCCAACTTAGACGAGTTTTCGTTTGGGAAATTCGCCTTGAAGTGATCAAGTTCCCATTCACTCGCGGGATGATCACAAAAGTATTTGAAGTACCTGTTGTTCGTTTCGAAAGTCACACGATAATTATTAACAGATGAGGAAGAAGACATAGCTGATGATGAGAATAACAGATAAGAAAGGAACAAAAGAATTAAGTTTACGAATACAGCACTGCAAAATTTCTATCGCGGTCAATTTATATAAACTCCTGTTTTATCAGCTAGATGATTTTGATAGTCTTTAGCGTCTTTGTGACTTGGGTCTCTTTGTTATTTCATTGAGGTTGACAACTACTGTACTATTAGCTGTATCACTTTTTCACTGGATGATTTTGATAGTCTTTAGCGTCTTTGTGACTTGGGTCTCTTTGTTGTTTCATTGAGGTCAATAACTACTGTTCTGTACCCTTTTTTAAAGCAAGATAGGTGCTTGCGTCTTTCTGTAGCGTCTTTGTTCTAATGAGGCCGATATTTACTCAATTATTGTGCTTGGTAGGTGTGATCTACATAACTAAAACTTCCCGTCTAACATTTTATCTTATTAAACCTCGCCAGATCATTCCGATAATTGTTGGACGAAGGAAAAGCATTGTGTTAGGAATTTTAAAGAATTTCAAGACGTGCAGCGATATCCAATTATATGCAAAGAGTGATCATGAGAAGCTTTGGTGTCGCAGGAAATACACAAAAAGAATTTAGACGGTAGCTGATACTTTATTTCTTGCAAGCTAGTCGTGAGTAGATTTTACACTCTTGAGTACAGCCATATGATGTTACTAATCAGTGATTCCCATTTACTCTTTAGATGATACCTTGCGTCCGTGGTCTCTTAAACATGCACACAAGGGTACTTCTACCTTTGAACGTATTGCAAAGGCCGAAATCAGTGAGAATTACGAAGAACGCAACACTTGTCTGGCTGAATTGGCCTTTTTTGCCATTCTTATGAAAGTAAGTACCTTATATTAAAAAAATAAACTTATATGATTGGCACGCATGGCTTACCTATTTGATACATCTAGAACTGCCTTCGAGAGATTATGGACGCTATAAACGTCATTCAAGAAGACCATAATACCATCATGAACGATTAAGATAGTGACTTCAACAGTTTTGTCCAAAGATTTTTAAGATTAAGTTTCAGCAGCCATTCCAAAGGCTCTTGTCACCAAGAGCTGCTATAATCACTTTTAAATCTCAATAAACTATGAATACTGTTAAGCTGTTATCAAGCGAAAAAAAAAAGTTTTAATACTGCTTTCAAAAGAAAACAATAAATCTTTATATAATTTAAGCATATTGTAAAGTTGCTTCATCTTTGCAGTAACAAGTAAACTCGGCCCATCACATTGTCCTGCAGCTAGTTGTATACAGCCTTCAGCGGTAGAATGAGAGCCTACTTTGATATGATACGGTAAATTATTATATCATTAGAAGTCTTATCTCTATGCCTGTTTAAAATGTTGCCCATCGATTTTCATACACAAAAGGGTTAAGCTGTTCAAAGAGTGAATAAACATATTCTTTTTAGTTCAGACGGAGACCAAACAGAATCAACGTTTGACAAAGCAAATTTTTCTGGGGGGCTGGGGGTGGGCAGCTCGCTGTATGAGGAAGCAAATTAAATGTTGTTTCTGTTGATCCATTTACAATTGCATGGACGTGTCAAAACGTATACAAGCTCCCTATGAGGCAAAGCTTATGTTTGGGTAGGGGATGATCGAGATAATTAAAAGCCAATGGAATCAAGCCCAGTTATCGGAGTGCCTTTTTTATTTTCTCCCCGAGACTTGTCAGTCACAAAGAAGAGAAAATTTTTTTTTCAAGCGTTTCCTATAAAAATCGTTAAATTTGTGGATACATTTATTAATTTTTTTTTCTTTACAATTGTGAACATTAAAAAGGTAAATATCTAGCTTCAATTAAAGAGGGTAATGAGGGAGAAAGTAATGGGTAGTTGTGATCCATTACAATGATGAATTTTAGCTGGCACCAGTCCGAGCTTCATGATGGAAAACCATAAAGTGGGGTGACAATTACGCTCGTCATCCCTGATATATTTTGGATTACATTATTCATTATTTTCTCTCTTTTTATCTTATACAAAAAAGTTTTATTTTTTTCATATATTAATCCTTTTTATTTTATTACAGATACTCTCTATTTAATGATTTGTAATGAACTTATTTTTAATAAACTCCTTTTAAAAAAAATATATATATATAATAATGTGCGTCTTTGCCAAATGTATACACATGAGTTTTTTTATTTTTATTTTTCGTATTTGACACAACGTCTTATTTGTCATACCTTTGTCTTTCCCCTCCCCCCTCCTATTTTTTTTTTTATAATTTATCTTTCTCATTTTCGTTGTTCACCCTTTCTCTCTCGTATATTATTTTTGAAGGGTGGGCTAGAATATGGTTTCGTTGATACAGACAGAGACAGTAATAGCAGCAGCAGCAGCGCCTAACGAGAAAAGTTATAAAGCAACGAGTCGAGCCAACGATCTCTTTGAACGTCATCTCTATACCGATGCCATGACCGAATATACCAAAGTGTTACAAACGTCAACGGCAGAACCCGACTATCTTGCCCTGATCTATGCTAACCGAAGTGCTACCTATCTTAAGCTCAACCAATATCAGCAAGCATATACAGATGCTGTCCAAGTCATTGACCTGGCTCCTCATTGGTCCAAGGTAAATAGATTACATCATTGCCCCCCTCTCTCTCTCTCTCTCTCTGTCTCGCTAAAAAAAAAATGGGATGTTTTTAAATCAGGGCTATTTTCGTAAGGCAGAGGCATTATTACAGTTATCTCAGTTTGATGAAGCGATCGGATTATTAAAGACAGCGATTCAGAAAGAAAATAAACAGGAAAATAGAGAACAGATATCTCGTACACTGACAAAGACCTTGATCGAAAAGGACAATGACGGTATGGGTATTGCCATTCTTCAACTGGTATGTGGCAAAGACATTGCGATTGAAAAGAGTATGAATCCTATCCAGAATAAATTGTATGAATTTGCGTCACACATGAAGAATATTATCCATTTACTCGTGGATAAACAGACCAAACGATGCGTGATTGTGGATGCGGTAGATATAAAAAAAAACATTTTTTTAAAATGGGGGTTACAAAAAAAACTAATTTTCGAACGGGGTTGGACTTAGTGCTGGGATATTGACAGTATTCTCAAGTATGTGACGGAGAGAGGTTATACGATTGTTGCCTCGGTGGTGACGCATTATCATTTCGACCATGTGGGCGGTACACCTCCCTCCCCTTATGACACTTTACCCATCAAAATCTCGGGTCTGGCCAGTTTATTAAAAAAGTTACCCCACATCAAAGCCTATGTGCATCCACTCGATATACCCTTTATTCAACAAGCCAATCCCACCATCCCATCCAACCGTATGGTACCTACCTGTACTGAAAACATTACAGCGGAACTCATCATTGGTCAATTACATATCCGATTTATACACACACCGGGACATACACCCGGTTCCCAATCTTTACTGATCAATCACTCGAGATTAATTGCAGGTGATACTTTACTCTGTGGTGGTCACTGCGGTCGAACGGATTTGCCTGGTGGGGATCGAAAATCCATGCAACATACATTGCGTCATGTGCTGGGCGATCTGGATAACCGCATCATTGTTTATCCTGGTCATGATTATGGTGTCTCTTGGTCTACCATCGGTATGGAAAGAGAAAATGGTTGTCTAGGTGATGAATTAGTTGGTTTTGGTATGAAAAATTAGAAACAAGCCACCTTAAATTTTTTTTATTTTTGAGTCTAAAAAAAAAAAAAAGGGAATAAAAATAAAAAAATAGAATATGGGTAAGACCCATCTTTTTTTTTTTTTTTTAAATTAATTATAAACATTAAAATAAGATGTCCTCTGCAACAGCTCCCACAGACACTACCGATGAAAATGTCGAGATTTGGAAGATGAAGAAGTTGATTAAAAATCTTCAAGCTGCCAGAGGGTAATATCCATTGATGTTTCTAGTCTATTTTTTTTTCTAGTAACTCACTAGCGTACTTTTTTTTTTTAGTAACGGTACTTCCATGATTTCCCTTGTTATTCGTAAGTTCCTTTTCTTTTCATGTAAACACAATGGGAGACTAAAATTAATGTATTGTAGCTCCTAAGGATCAAGTGTCTCGTGTTGTTAAAATGTTGGCCGATGAATACGGTACTGCCTCCAACATTAAGTCTCGTGTCAATCGTTTGTCTGTCTTGTCCGCCATTACTTCCACCCAACAACGTTTGAAATTATACAACAGAGGTAAACTAGAGAAAAGAGAAAGCGAAAGAGAGAGAGAGAGGGCGCATGATTTTTTTTTTTTTACAAGCGAGCCTAAAATTCATGCATGACAAACTAATTGAAGGGGTTATTCTGTGTAGTGCCTGAGAATGGTTTAGTTGTTTATTGTGGTACCATTATCACAGACGAAGGTAAAGAAAAGAAGGTGAATATCGATTTCGAACCTCACAAGCCCATCAACACCTCACTTTACTTGTGTGATAACAAATTCCATGTGGAACCTTTGGCCGAACTTTTGGATAACGATGCCAAGTTTGGTTTTATTGTTATGGATGGTAATGGTTCACTCTTTGGTACAGTGTGTGGTAATGTACGTGATGTCATTCATAAGTTGTCTGTGGATTTACCAAAGAAGCATGGTCGTGGTGGTCAGTCCGCTCTTCGTTTCTCTCGTCTCCGTGAAGAAAAGAGACATAATTACGTGCGTAAGATTGCTGAACTTGCTGTTCAACTCTTTATCACCAACGATAAGGTCAACTGTGTTGGTCTCGTCTTGGCTGGTTCTGCTGATTTCAAGACCGAATTGTCTCAATCCGACTTGTTCGATCCTCGTCTTCGTGCCAAGATTGTCAAGATTGTGGATGTCTCTTATGGTGGTGAGAACGGTTTCAACCAAGCTATTGAATTATCTGCTGAAGCTTTATCCAACGTCAAGTTCATTCAAGAGAAGCGTTTGATTGGTGACTACTTTAGTGAGATCTCTCAAGATACTGGAAAGTACTGTTTCGGTATTGAAGATACCTTAAAGGCTCTTGAGATGGGTGCTGTTGAGACTTTGATTGTTTGGGAGAATTTAGCTTCCAACCGTTACATTTTGCGTGATGCTTCTGGTACTGAGTCTGTTGTTTACCCCAATGCCGAAGAAGAAAAGACCAAATCCTTCTTGGTCGATACCAGTGCTGATGCTACCACCAACTCTGAGATGGAAGTCATTGAATGCATGCCTCTTTTAGAATGGTTCACTCACAAGTACAAGGAATTTGGTGCTGCTCTTGAAATCGTCACCGATCGTTCTCAAGAAGGTTCTCAATTCGTTAGAGGTTTTGGTGGTATTGGTGGTATCCTCAGATACCGTGTCAATTTTGAACAACTTAATTATGACGATGATGAGTTTATTTCTGATGATGATGAAGAGTACATTTAAAAAAAAAAAAATTACAATGCCTCTCTCTCTCTTTCTCTTTTTTTTTTCTTTTTTTTTTAATGTCTGAATAAATATAAAATAATATGAATGTTTCTAATAGTAATATCTAAATTGTGTCTTTAAAAAGATAATAGTAATAATATTTTTAGTCTATATGCGAATGCAGCTATTTAATATATATCTAACCTGCTGCTGATGCTGCCCCTCCTCCTCCTGTCCATTGTCTCTTCCCGTCTCACTTCCGAATTCTTGGTACTGACGGTCCATCTTCTTGTTCTCTCGGTAGAGTAAGTAACTTGTTAAACCGGACCATAGTGCACCAATCACACCACAGACTAAATTAAAAATATTTCCAAAGTCTAAACATTAAAAAAATTAGTATACAATTCATTCATGTATATATATATATAAAAAAAAAAATTGACTTACAGTAGTGAGGGCCGTCGGAAAGCGGATAGAGGTAGGAGGAAACAATACCCCCTGAATTACCCACCATCACTACAATTGCAACTGCAATCACACGTATCTCCAAGTCAGGGAAATTAATCGAGGACCACCCAACATTAGCAGGAGCTAGTATCCGAAAGAAGGTTAAGGTTTATATATTTGATTCTTTTTTTTTTTTTTTTTTAATTTCTGCAAACCTTGTAAGCCTATTCCCGATGCTATCACAAATAAAGAGGCATATCGAGCTAAAAAAGATTACATTATGCAAAGTTATAACAAATGCTAGCCAAAAATAAAAGATGATAACTTACACCATCGACTTTCCAACACAATCAACAACATGTAACCTACAGCAGCAATAAAGAACCCGGTAGCCATCAAGACACCCCGTTTATTAGTATACTTATCCGCCATATAGCCACCTGCAATAATCATGACGGTCTGCATCACATACGGAGGTGCTGATAACAATTGTGATGTCAATACAGGAAACCCAAAGCCATCAATAATGGTAGGGATAAACACTTGACAACTCACAACCGTGATTGCATTCAAGAAATACACCACGGAAAACATGGTGGTTTTCCAATCCTTTAATGATTTTACAAAGCACACCCATGTACTGCTTCCTTGGCCTTTGGGTGTCTGTGTGTATTGTTGATGCAGTGCCTTTTGTCGGACACTCAACCAAGGCACCTTTTGCACATCATCAAACAAGTAAAAAAAGGAGATGACGCTAAGAATGACGGTAGGAATACCTTCAATGATAAATAAGTATTGCCACCCGTGTAGTCCGCCTTTGCCTTCCAAAAAAGAAGTACCATAGGCAATAGGACCAGATACAATGCCTGCAATCGACGACATACAGATCAATAAAGCAACACGCAGTCCAAATTCGCGTGGTCGATAAACTTTGGACATCATGTAAAGGATACCAGGTACATAACCGCTTTCCGCCGCACTAAAAAAGAGAAAAAAAAATGATGAGCATGATTGTGCGGATAGATATATATATAGATTGGAAATTTTACCCGAGTAATAGACGGCAGACGAGAAGGCCAGCAAAGTTGTGAGCAAACGCCATAATGACAGTCATGAACCCCCACAAGAGCATAATAGATGAGAGCCACATGACGGCGTTCGTTCGCTTTAAAACCATATTAGATGGCACCTCAAAGATAATCTACGAATAAAAAAAAAGAAAGTGTTATGATGTTATAAATCAAAAATAGAGCGGGACACGTACGTAGGTAATGTAAAAAGCAGAGATAGCAGTACTTAATTGAGCAGGCGTCAGCTACACACACACATATATATATATAAAAAAAGGTAGATGCATTAATTACACATCCCTCTCCCCCCAATCCCCTTTTCTGTGTGTTATAGTGTTTCCCTTACATGTAAATCATCTTGAATGCCCGCCAAACTATATTAGAGTGTTCAGTGATTTTCTATCTAATGAAAAATAAAAAGGTAAACTTACGTTGCGTTACCGATATTGGCACGGTCGAGAAAATCTACAAAATAAAAAATACAGAACAATGGCATCATATGAATATCCAAGGATTTGAGGATCTTTTTTTCTTCCAAGCTAGTGTCTTCTGGTGTTATGGAATGGTTGTTGGTTTTATCGGAAAAGCCATGATATTCATCGACCAGCGTATGAGAGCCAGTATGAATTAAATCCATATCTGTCCCTGTGTATGTCGTATCTATCTTTTCAAGCATCTAATTGGAAAATATGAAATAAAGAAAGAGAGAGAGAGAGAGAGAGAAATAAAAAAGAGAGAAAGGCCTTGGACTTTAAATGATTTTACCTGCAACCAAGAAAAAAGGAGGTGTGCTATAATAATGGTGAAAAAAAAAAGATCATGAGTTGGCACATTAGCTTTTTGACAGGCCTAATTTTTTCTTCTCTTATAAAAATGCAACAAATTAAAGTTACACATCAATTGTTGTATGTTTATCAGAATCGTCACAAGGTCATCATTTTTTTTTTTTTCTCTTTCTTTTATTTATATAATTTTAAAACGCATCAGTTCTTTTTCTTTTTTTTTATTTCCCCTTTTCCCTCTCTTTCTGATAAAAAAAAAAAGATTATATGTTTGAAACAGAGGAATCATCCGTAGCTAGTTCGTTTGGAGAGGATGATATGGACCTGTTTTTGGATAGATGCTCCATCTGTTTTGACGCTCAACTGGATATGTGTTTAGAGTTTTGTCGAGATCAATACTGTGTCGATTGCTTTCAAAGGTATCTCTCTCTGTGTATATCTTTAAAAAATTGAATACTTGCAAAAAAAAAAAAATGTTGTTCGCTAACACTCGTAGAAAATAAAGATATATCACCGAAGTTGTAAAATCATCATGGGGCCTCAGTGTGACTCCCATCAGCTGTCCCGTCTGTAATGAATCAATACCTAAGCGTGAATGGAGTCAATACGTACCTCAACATATCGTCGATACCTATGATAAATTCAACAAACCTTATCGAAGCTATATTCGTACCTGTCCTCACTGCGAAACTGATATCATCCCTTGTCTCCATTCGTCCGAGAAACCCAGCAACTACAGGTATACCAAAATAAAAAAAAATAAAAAAAAAATAACGCGTGAGCGAAAATAAGAGCGACAGTGAGCACGCGTGCGCGCGTGTGTGTGTGTATGCAACTAAAATCCTTTTAATGCGTGTTATTGATTAGATTGTTCTGCGAATTGATGGAAAACATGTTGCAAGCTTGCCCTAAAGGAGAAAGACATAAGAATCATACAGAACATATTGCAGTCAAACGTTGGATTACGATTTATAAGAGACAAGACTGGTCAGACTCAAAATTATTAAGTCTTTATAAACGCATCATGCAAGATGTCATTGTATTTGAAAAGAGTCACATAAAGGAACGTTTTGCTCATCAAATCTCGCTTGCGTATATGGATTTGTGTGAAAATCCCGAGATATGGAAACAGGTTCAGTTTGCTCATATCGCCTTGTTTCCTGACATGAAGTGGTATTACATCTGGGACGCCAGTAGATTGTATGATTTTTTTAATGATTTTTTATCTTTAAACTAGTTCAAATTGTAAAGTGTCTGTATGCTTGCATTGTGGCTATGACTCTCATTTCAATATGGAGTGTAAGGAAAGTATGTCAAGGATTGTTGGTACTTTAACCGATAAAGACATGATGACTACGGTAGAGTGGAAGTTACAACATAGTCGACAATGTCCCAACTGTTCTATCATGATCAACAGAGACGAGGGTTGCAACAAAGTGGATTGTTCTTATTGTGGATTCTGCTTTTGTTGGGCTTGTCGTTCTTCTTGGTCAGAGGTATTGTACGAGATCCTATGTGGATGTGTCTATGTATTAACTGTCTCTCTCTCTCTATCTATTTTTTTTTAAGGGATGTGGCTTCTACCGATGCTCAAATACCGCAGAGAATACGGATGAGCAAGAAAACTCTTCCCAAGACAAGGTACTTGCTAACCATAATTTCATTCTATCTCTTTTTTTTCTTTACTGACTTTGTTCACCTTAGACAGAACTGGGTGTACCAAATATTAAACGTATTCAAGCAAGACTTGTTGTTAACATGGATCTTGACTGAACAATAAGAAAAAAAAAGACCTTAATCATCATTGCAAATCACACTGTAGATATCAACCTCCTCTCCCATATACTTTTTACTATTAAAAAAAAAATTAACTTTTTCCTACCCCCCTTTTTCTCCCCTTCAATTGCATAAAAAAAATAAAACTCCCTCCTTTCTGATTGGAAGGAGTAATCAAGAAGAAAATATATGAGGTATCGTATAAATAGATTTCCCGAAAGGAAATCACTTGGGACAACCTTTTTTCCCCTCCCTTTTAACTAATTTTTTTTTTTTAAATGGTGACAAACAAAGCACTTGTGATTGCAAAGGATATTGATATCGCTCGATGTAAAGGCAATTGGCAAGCTTTACCTGAACTTGCTAGAAGATATAAAAAGCATAATCCCCCTGGCATCGGTAATGAATAAATACACGCACATGAACTCTTTTCATACTCAATGGGGGGTTAATTTTTTTTTTCTCTTTTAGTGCTGGAGCAATCCATTCTAGCAGAAGTGGCACTCAATCAAATCCTGGTTTCTCATCGACTCGAGCCTAAACACGCCTTCCTCAGGGATTCGCCTCACCACGTCACTTTGCCAAAACGTCTGGATCTCGCACTTATGAAACAGGTACAGCATCAATTGGCCATTGCTTTGGGGGATAAGGATACATCGTCCGATACGGTTCAAATGAAGCAAGTAAGTAAGCTCATGCGTATTGCTGTAAGTTTATATGTTTAATGAAACTTACCCGATTTTTTTTTAGATTGCAAGAGTCATTTTGGCTCAAACTTGGTTTGAATGTGGAGAATATAGAAATACACTAGATACTTTACAAGAGGTCGAATTAAACACGAATTACAGCTTTATTGTTCAAATACAAGCATTGGCCATGAAAGGTATTCCTTTTTTTTTTTTTTCTATCTGCCTATGAACATGCCAACTTACCCACTTTGTTGTTATTAAAAAAAAAAAAAAGCCATGTCGTTCGAGTTATTAGAGATGAAGGATAAAGCGTTGGATGCATATGCAGATATGGTCTCGTTCATCAATAGTCCATTGGATCGTAACTTGATGAACGAGCGTCTATTGGTAGAATGGGCTGAGGATGGGCTTTATAGAGGAACTCTTTATGCATTAAATGAAGGGTTTGTGTAACACCATATTTCCTATAGTAACAAAGAAGAAAGTCTAACCTTTTCTTTCTTTTAAATAGTCATCTCACTACATCGCATACCATGGATTTAATTAGAGCGTATCAAAAGACATGTAGTTCTCAATTGAACAATTGGCGTGTTTATAAACGTTTGGTTGTCACACGGAATTCTTTAACCTTTTTATCGAGTATTTACAGAGGAGGGGATTACTTGCCACCAGTGGATTATCGCTTGACCGAAGAAGGAAAGCAAATGAGCGAGTAAAGTAAAACCGGGATGTGGTGGTGGTGGGGGAGAAATAAAGAGAATGGTAAAGGAGTGTGATTTAGAACTAAACATGTTATTGTAGAGCTGATTTCCCAGAAGCATGTCAAGCATATCATCATCAGTTATTCAGTATCGAGATTATGCAGTTACATACAGTCTATGAAAAATTAGTGTATTCTATTGCTCATTTTCCAAAATCAGGACAAATGAACGCATTGGTTCTTGATTTTGTAGACCAATTGGCAGCTGATTTTGCTTTGGTAGGAGGTACCGAGACCGAGAAACGTGGCTATGTGGAAGCCTTGAATAGAGCTTCGTTAAGGACGTTCAATTCTCCTTGTGTGACACGACATTTATTTCATGCATTGGTGAATTTAGGTGATTATGAAGAAGCAGAACATGCATTACGTATCTACCTTTATTTGATCGGTCTCGAATCTCCCGCTTTGTTGGATTCGAGAATAGCTCCTTTAGCCTCCGATGTCTTTGGAGCTCCCTTAGTGCCGGATGAAATTGAAGAATTAGCAGTAGCCGAAGCAAGTGTCAAAATAGATGACCCGCAACAACGTGAGGAAATTGTGGCGGACAAGATCAATGTTTTATCGGTTGCTGTGCAAATGTATTGTAACGAGCTGGGAAGAGGTGTAGATGCAGTAACGGTGGCCGAGTTGGCTTATGGTGTGTATAAGCTTGATCATGGGGCGGTTTTGGGAGCTCAAGTGCAGCGTATCTTGGGTATCGCTTACGGGTTTTTGGCTAGTCAAAGTAAAAAAAGAAGAAGTATACTTTTATACATGTGGGATATTTTAATCATACCTTTTTTTTTTTTCGCTTAAGCGTTCGATCCAAAGCGTCGACCTTTGTTGCATGAAAAAGCACTCGCTGCGTTACGTCAATCGCTCGAATTGGATGATAGTCGATGGGAAACTCACTATCAGTTAGCACTTCAATTAGCGGAAATGAGAGATATTTCAAATGCTATCCCGATGGTCTCAAAATCATTACAAATGAACTCGAATCATTTACCTTCATGGCATCTGTTGGCATTATTATGTACCTGTCCTGTTAAAGAAAGTGATAGTCAAGCACTCAAAACATGCGAATTAGCACTGAACGAAAGTCAGTTATACGAAAACTGGGTAGATTACAGCGAAGATATTGCACAACATGTACTTTTACAAATGACCCAAACGTTACTGGTGGAACGTGTACATGGTGCAGAGGAGGCGTTGGTAGCACAATCTTCGCTGTTCCAAACATTTGGTAAGATTGTTGTGCCCGAGTTAATTCCGGATGTGAGCTCCAATATGTTGCATGAGTCGATATCACAAGGGAATGCAAGGTATGGTATGGTCTTGTCCGGTTCTCTGGGTCATATCGAACCCTCGTATTCTTCTTCCTCTACAGAGAAACAACAAGGGACACGCGGAAGAAGTGCGAGTAATGCAAGTACATTTACTACACGATCGGCATCTTCCTTTACAGGACGTAAACTTCATTTGGCCGATATGTTTAATCCAGAAACATCCAGTGTTAAATCAGTCAACAAGAACAAATATTTGGATCCTAAAGGTCTCATGCGTTTAAAAAACACAGAAGAACGTAAGTAGTATATATGTATAAAAGAGTACATTTTTTTTTCTTTGTCTAACTCAGTTTTATAGTTGGTACAACAACAACGGGATCTCTAACTTCGCTTCATAGTACAACATCAAGCACACAAACTTTATTGGCCAATATGTCATCCTTAACACGCCCAACAACGCTAGCAAAGTTACAACACCAGCGATCGTGCAAAATGTTATGTGATTTATGGCTATTGTCAGCCGAGGGATTTTTAAAGCAAGGTAAATTAGAAGAGGCATCAAAGGCCGTGAGTGAAGGAGAGAATGTGGACTGGAGCACACACGCGGGAGTATGGTGTTTATTAGGACGCATCCGGATCGCACAAAAGCAGCCTCAAAAAGCAATTGCAGCGTTTGAGAAGGGACTTGTGACAAAACCAAATGATGTGGAGTGTCGTGTTTGGCTTGCCAAGACATACATGGATTTAAAGCATTTGGATATTGCACAAGGTATTTTGGAATCTGTGACTCAAGGCAATGGATGGGATAATCCATCGGCATGGTAAAAAAAAAATAATTAAAATGTAAAAAATATTTTAAAACTCGGCTAAACAAAAAATACATTTATAGGTTTTATCTTGGCGAAATTTATAGACAAACAGAACGTCCGGGTAGGACGAAGGAGTGCTTCTTTTATGCTTTGGAATTGGAAAGTACTAGACCTATACAACCATTTACTATTTTGCCCCGATTTGTGTAGAGAAGGGGTAAATTACTCATCTATTATTTATTTATTATTATTAAAAAAAAAGCACACAAAAAAATAAGAGAGAGAGAGATGGTTGGTGTAACGAAAAGATTAGAAAAATAGAAAGACCATGAAAAAACGATCTGTTTTTGGTTTTTAAAAGTGCCGTTTGTAAGACATTAACAAAGCGCTTCGTCATGAAAATATAGGTAACACACTGGAGATTGTAAACTTGGTTCGCTCATTTAATAATCGAATTATGAAGGCTATCTTCGAACAAAAAAGATTTTCATTGAATGAATTACTATAAAATCTATATTTAACTCTCATTCTACTATATATAAACAACAAAAAAGTAATAGTGGTCTTTTTTCTTCTTTTGATGGGCCCGGGATGGAAAAAAGTTGATTGATTATATGTCGCACAAACCTTGTTTAAAGCTCCATTTGAACGAGTTAATAAGAATACTAAACAGTTAACCTCTTCTCTCTTTTTTCTTTCTTCTGTCTTTGTTCTATCTCTTTCCTCTTAACGATCCTTTAACACTCCTTTCCTTTTTGTTTTAACTGTAATGTCAACACCCTCGGTTCAAACAGAAGAGCCTAGTCATGTTCATTCACCCACTACAAACTTCTTACCTCGTATAAGACCTCCATTCATCTCATCTCCTTCATCCACAAAGTCTTCCTTCTCCAATGGAAAGAAATGGCGTTGGTGGAATTATCTCGGGATAGCTGTTTTCCTGTTAATTCTTGTCGAATGTGCCGTGCTTATTATGAGCTATAATTTATTAAACGTAGAGACCCTGCCTATCAGAATTGGTAAAAAGAACAAACAAAACAAAAAAAGTTACACATCTCTAATTAGAGTATCATCATATAGTGAAAAGACAATATCCAATTAAGCAATACACACACTTGGACACCAATGTCAAGAGTCAGATTGAAAAAGGCACACAAGTCTATCATGTTACTAAAGAATTTGGACCTGCAGTGACATCTCAACTTGGTAGAACAGTGACGGCTTTAGCAGCAGCACAACAAGCTTCGAACCTTACCGAAGTTGCCATCGTTATGCCATTTTATACTTTCATGCGTCGTCTTGTCACCGACAAAGAGATTGACATGGTTCTGGATATCCGAGGAAAACGACCTGGTCAAATCATGAATGTCGAATTCCGGGTGTGGAAAATGATGCATGCATTCAACCCACCTGTACAAGCTCCCAGTGTTTATGAATGGCAAATGATTAACAATATCAACACATCCGTTTTAATCACACCACAAATTGCACCTGCTCCCACCGATGTTGTTCCTGTTTACATGATTGGTCATGCCAACCGTCGACCTTTCAACCAAGCTTTCAAATGTCGTACTGTCAATGATATTCATACCGAGAACGAGTTACCCATGGAATGGCGTGATCAATACTTTGCCAAAGCAGCAGCAGCTTTTTTAGCTCATAAAGCCACTGCTTCCGATGAAGAATCCATTTTTGCTCCTATTCGTATTGTTCCTCGTGTCGATATCGTTCATATTCATGGCGCTTCCAATGCCTATGTGTCTAAATTCTTGCAGGATAAAAAAGATGCCAATGATTTAGGTCCTCGTCCTCCCGCTATTGTTTACACCATGCATGATCATCAACAAGAGGAAATTCAATATTCTAATTCATTCCGTAATGTACGCAAATTTATGGATAACTTGTCAGAGCGTGAATCATTGCGCAAGTATGTGTATGGCGGTAAAATGTTCATGTCCAAATTAGCCATAGACCGCGCCCAAGCAGTCACTTTTGCTAGTCGACCCATGGCCGCTGATATTATTGAAGGCCGAAGAGATTTCCATCTGAAAGAATTGGTCATGGATGGACTCCTCAAAAAGACCGAAAACTCGAGATTTTTCGGTATCAGTAACGCCATTGATTTTTACAGTTCCGAGCATCCATTCATCACGGACAAGCTGGTTTCGAGAAAGATGGGTTATCCTCAATACGCTCTTGATTCCATTGGAGATCAAGAATCTATTCATTCCAAAGATCCTTTGCATGCTTTAGCTTTAGATATCCCCGATACACCTACGTATTGGACACTGTCTGAAGAGTCTAAAGATTTTACGTTCGTCTACAAGGATCGTGCTAAACGTTACTTGATTAAACGTAGCGTTTTCACAGAACAAGATATGAAACGTCCCATTGTTCTTTTCCGTGGACGTTTGGAAAACAACAAGGGTTTGGAAATTTTTGAACAAGCAACTGAATACTTTGTCAAGCACAACATGCGATTCATTATTATGGGCAACAAACACGATTATCCTACTGAACGCTTAGAGGCACTTGCCAAGAAATATCCCAACCATGTATCTTTGGTCATTACAGGCAAGGAGCAACGTCGTGTGGGTATCTTTTGTCGTGCGGCCGCTGATTTTGTATTTGCACCTAATCCTTACGATAGCCTTGGGTTGGAAACGGTGGAAGGCATGATCTTTGGATCTGCAGTGATTACAACTGGTGCAGGTAGTTTGCATGAATCCATCATTGACCGACCTTTATACCAAGCAGGATCTCGACAAGTCAGTGTGACTTTATTGGATCCTACTGTCGTGACAGAAAAGGGTGCAGTTGTAAAGAGTTACGAATACTTTAATGGCTATGTCTATGACCATGATTCACCCATCTCATTAGAAACCGCTATTGTGGATGCATCCAAGGATTTCCATCGACTTCGCAAAAACAAGGCACTGCGAGAAGAATTTATTTTGCGAATGATTCGTAGTGCTTTGAACCTGGGCTGGGATCGTGGTCATTTCCAAGGTCCTGTGCACGAATATAACCAAGTCTATGCTTTGGCTCTGGAAGATCGATTTATCCCTGAAATGAACCGTCATCAAGTTGAGCAAGAACATGATTTGGTGTCTCGATTACAGGATATTGAGTTTGACTGGGAGCCTTAGTCAAACCCACCCAACAAAAAAAAAAAAACAAAAAAAAAACCCTTCATACATTTTATTCTCATCTTATTTATATAGTCATACTCACTCTCTCCCTTTCTCTCTCTCCTTTATTTTTTTTATTTGTAAAATAATCATCATCATTAAACCTTTTTCTTTTAATAAAAAAAAAACAAAGAAGCGTTTTTTAATCTATTCCCCAGCCGAGGTTGCCCCCCCCCCCAGAAAAGGGGATCGTCGTTGTATTTTTAGAAGCATGAACGAGTGATAGACATTGTACCACGCTGACATCAAAAGAGGAACGTTGGTCTATTTTTACCATCCAAGTGATGTCGAACATCTTTATTTACTACCAGCTAAGATAACTGAATGATCCTCATCTTGAAATCGACCCTCCTCGTATCAAGTACACTCCACATCTTTTTTTTTTTTTTTTTACCAAGCGTGTAGTCTATTTTTTTATATCACGTTGACCACCCTTAAATTAAGAGCACACTTGCAAGTTTCATTACTGAATACTATTTGTTTTCTCAGGCTTGACTTATTTTACAATTAAATTCATGTCTTAATCATTTACTTGTATAATACCGAACTTATCAATCATTTATTAGTTATTTAGTAATATATGCGCACTGTCTATCGGGGTTAAACCTGGCAGAATGAACCAAACTCAAAGGTGATGGCCGGTTCGTCACAAGGCATTTCCGAAAAGGGTAGCTTCCATGTTAGAACCTTTCCGGAGACATCAATGATAAATTCTATAACTAATCATATGTAAGCGTTTCGGAAGTGGTACAGTGGCATACTTGTATGATGCATAAATGTAGTGGTTGCGATAGCAACATAAAGCAATACAATTTATTTGAAAAATTGAGTTACACGTCAATTCAACGTGCATTTAAATGAACGTATATTATAATAAAACATTGATAGAAAGTTTAAATGCACATGATTACAAAAAACATGTTGCAGGCTAAGTATTTTGTAACGTAAACGGCTATCTTTGTTTCTTATAAAAAAAAAGCCCCCAACCTATTCGATTATATAAACAATCAAATAATTCATTTCTATTAAAATAAAAGCTAAAGATTCTAGCATATTTTCTTTCTCTTCGTGATCTTAATCAATCATATCTCCATGCATTTAGAGCAACCATATGCAGTTTGTGTTCCAAAAAACTCAAGCGAGCCCGAACTCACCTTCGCTTAACCAGTTTGAGTATACAACAATACGAATGGCCTTCAAATTGAACCCAGATGTAACCTTCCCAGTAGTTCCGATACTCACTTTAAACACTCATGTTAACGCTTTGAGCAAAGGTCCGCTAATAAACGATTTAGAAGTAAAGCCTCTAATAGTTTATTATCCCATCGATTTTGAGTCAATATTTGTATCACGCGTTTGAAAGTACTACCACTTAAATCGTACATTGTAGATGTAGATTTTCCTTTCCGTAACTATCAAGTAACATCGAAAAAAGCTCCCCCAGATGTTAATAGCAATCAAGAGTTCACGCTTAGATTCATAAACCTTAGGACTAATGCTTGTAAGTGTTATAAAATATTACGCGTACTCTAGTCATACCCACCAAACACTTTTTCTAGCACTAAATCCCGAAATAAACTTACCGTCTGTGCTAGGGGCCTCTGCCCAAAACAGTTTGTTTATTTTGGGCGAAAAAAAAAAAAGTCAATTGTTGATTGCGGATGCTGCACCTAACCATACTTTCTGCAAGCGTTCTTAAAACAAATGCCTCAACAACATCGGAGACATTTGATGTTATTAGTACTATTCTGTTTTATAGACAAAACTTTCGTAAAGGAACGAGATAATAACAAATACCTTTATAGCCAAATCAAAAGAAATATGTCAGGAAATTATTGAAAATGTGATAAGGAAGAAGCCAGATACAAAATAGACACAAGCACATACGCCAAAGAAAGGTCCTGTTCATTGTATGAATATGAAAATAATGGCAGTAGTGCTGAGTTTATTGAAGACTTGAGCAAGCTTAAAAAAGGACATCCTTAATAAATCTAAAGCGAATGACCTGTTCAATTCGTACGTGTCATTTAACACCCTTATGCTTATATAAAAAAATAAATTGAAACAAAAGACACGAAAAAAAAAAAGTGATATAAAACATCAAAGTTTTATTATGTTGTGGTTTTAGCGACAATGTAATCAAATATAAAATAGCGCGATGTACTAATACGGGTTCGGGTATACTAGCTGTATTCACACGGGAGAAATTGAATAGCGTTCGTTGGTCCAAAACTTACTTTTTCGTTTGCATTAAAGTAGACCACAAGTAACTCCATCTTTCCTTAATTTCGGAGCGGAGATGGAAGACCCACCCCAAAAGTTTCTATGCATGTCAGCTTCGCTATCTGTTTGCTTTTGGTAAGTATGCGAACATAGCACAACAACTTATCCCATAACAGCAATTTTGCGGAGAAGTATATTATTTTAAATGGCTCTTTCTCTGTATTCGCGCTTCCTTATCAGCCTTTAAAGAAGTCATCTTTTGTTACGCGTCTTTTTTTTTTTTCTTCAAAAATTCATGTAACTTTGTTTTAAACAGTAGCCGAAATTTAACATCTTTAAATTGACTTAATTTACCTGTAATTACAGGTCCAGAGCTAGTATTTTTTTGATAAACGCGCTAGTGACTTTAAACTTTCTTGTGTTAGGCCCTTATTTGACTCCGAAGACATAAATATAGCAATATCTTGGCTTTTCAGTACCTGGAAAACACCTATGATGCGTTTCCATTATTTTCGCGTTATTTACCATCTGTGCGCAGATTTGTACGGATAGTCGGCATAGGCACGGAAATATAATTGTCTGAGCTGTACATATATCATTATTTACGTTTCAACATGGGTGGTGTTCCTGAGCGTTAACTCAATATTAATACGATTAAGATTGAAATAATGCATAATACAACTCCGCACATAAAATATTCGACACTTCCGTTTTGAGCCAAAAAAATAAATAAACCTACTCTTTCTTCGTTCAACGATTCTTTCATATTTTATTACACAATTTATCATGCCACTTACTGACATTACTAACAAAGTCTCTAGAAAAAGCAAGGAACTTTCAGATTTCGATCGTGGAGTCATTTGCGGTTTGGCAGAGCATGCCAAATGGACAGGTACCCAAATCAGCAAAGAATTGGGCGTTCCTAGAACAACCGTTGTTACGATTATAAAAAAGTATCGAACTGAAGGGATCACGACTGTCCAACCTCGTCCAGGAAGACCAGCAAAGCTGACAGCAAGAGCTGAGCATCACCTGACGCTTTTAGTTCGAAGGGACTCCTTTGAACCTTTAAGTGTTCATATGCAAAATCTTGCGAAGGCTACCGATCCAATCAGCCTGACGACATTGAGGAATGCACTTCGCAAAAACGGTTTTTATTCTTGCAGACCTTCCAAAAAACCGTTTTTGAGTCTTAGACATAAAAAAACGCGAAGAGAATGGGTCGACGACAAGATGAATTGGACATTAGATGACTGGAAGAAGGTAATCTGGTCCGATGAGTCGCGATTCGCACTCAGGCACAACGACGGTGGTGTGAGAGTTATTAGAAAGAAGGGTGAAAGGTATATGGATAGATTTGTTTTACCAACATTTAAATTTGGTAAGGGATCAGTGATGGTATGGGGATGTTTTTGGGCAGGCGGTTTGGGCCCTTTGGTGACACTAAAAGGGTCTGTCGATCAAGAAAAATATGTCAATTGTTTAAGTCAAAACTTTCTCCCTTGGCTTGAACAATTGACAGAGAAATATGGTCATGACTTTATTTTCCAAGAAGACGGTGCCCCATGCCATACAGGAGGATATACGAGGTGGTGGAAAGAGAAGGCTGGGATTGCAGGCTTTGAGCGATGGCCCGCTCAAAGTCCCGATTTGAATCCGATTGAGAACCTTTGGCGCCTCCTGGGACAAAGGATTGCTAAAAGAAGAGCCCAGCTTCAAAATCTTAATGAATTGGAGGTTGCACTTCATCAGGAATGGAAGTTGTTGGGGGATGAAGTGTGTCATAAGCTTGTAGAAAGTATGCCCGATAGATGCCGGGCAGTAAAAAAAGCTCGTGGCTCAAATACCACTTATTAACGTAAATAAAAAAGTTTCTTTTTACAAAATATATATATATATTGCTATTTTGTCAAGTTTGGTAGAATTTGAGATACCTTTTATTAACAAGTTTTTGGTTTTAAAAAAATGCATGACTAAAGGAACTCAAATTTTTGTGAAAAGTGTCGAATATTTTCGGTGCGGAGTTGTATTAGCGCCACTTTGGTCGGGTGGTCCGAAAAGACAAAATCATTCACCCTGAGAAATTTCTAAATTTGAAACATCAACCGAATGGTTACACATAGTCTACTTTTACTTGTTCTTTTGTGAAGGTACCGGGCTGTATCTAATTAGGACATAACCTTGTTATTTAGAGTGCTGTTTGTTTATTGGCTTTTTTATGTTATCAAAACATAGCGAGATAAAATAAAAGTATACAAATGTATACGCGTCCTTATTTCGCGTTTTTAGCAGTAGATTTGTTATTTCTGATGTTATATTAGCACAAAGATATAAGGGTCGAATGAGCCAAAAATTATTTACGTCATAACAGACTGCCGAATATCTATTAGTGCTCACATAAAGTAATACGTCAGCTGCTTAGGCTTTAAAAAGTAAGTTTCGTGAGTAAGAAGTATTCTCGCCGTTACATTACGTGTATTTCTAATGTTCCTACAGACTGCAAAAAAAAAAAGATGGTATGCAAATGATAAAAAACTTTTGGTAAAATAACAAATTATGCATTGAGGCGTTTCACTAACACCCATACTAACTTCCCGTCTTCATTTTACCGGGAAAGACACACGTGAACACTAACAAAAAGATGTACGGGACTAGTGCTTTTTTTAGAAATAAAGTCGGGCAATGAAAAGATCGTCGTCATGTCATGTAAAATTTCAAAAAATCTTGTATAAATAAGCTCTGTAATCTTGGTTGTTTACTACTTCTTTATATTTCTATATACTTTTTTTATAATCCAAAATGCTCAGCGACTCCGAATCTACTCTCAAAATCAACGTCATCTCTGCCTCTGACCTTATTAATGTCCAAACAATGGGTAAGCAAGATCCTTTCTTGCAACTCTCTTTGAACTTCCAAGAGAAGGATAAGTTCGTTAAGACCTTTACTCACAAGGATGGTGGATCTCAAGCTTCTTGGAACCAATCCTTTGAACTCCCTTTGAATGGCGAGCCCGATCTCTTTATTGAAGTTCTTGATAAAGAAGCCTCCGTTGATGAAGTCATTGGTTTTGCTGCTATCCCTATTAAACAAGTTGTTTATGCTGATGGTGCTTACTTGAACGGTCTTTTCAACATCTACGACACTGACGGAAACCGCGCCGGTCTTGTCCACTTGCAATTAGCTGCTAAGGGTTTCCCTAACTCTGAAACTCCTAACTTTGACACTGAGCCTGTTCAAGGTGAAAGTAATGTAAACGATGAGCATTGTGCTCGTATGAAGTCCAATGAGAAGAAGGCTGTTGGTGTAAGTGTTGCTGGTGGTCTCTTCGGTGCTGGTTTTGCCATCGGTGCTACTTTACTCGGAAAGAAGCTCTACGAAGCTCAACTTGAAGAAGAAGAGGCTGAACGTCGCGCTCGTGAAGGAGAAGAGCCTGTCGAAGAATAACTCCCCAAATTTAAAGTTGGTTTGTATAAATAATTTAGGTCCATCAGTAAAGCCACGGCCTTTTCTCTGTTAATAAAATATCTCAGACTTTTACCTGTATTCATCATCATGACCAATGAAGTTTATGTTTGTTAAATCTTCGAGCTCAAATTAAAAAAAAATAGAAGGGGGGGTCGCTTGGAGATGAAAGGATTAAGAGTGATATTTTTAATGAAATATAAGTAATCAATATGGATTTTAAAAATTCTTACTATAAAAACTAATGGAAAGTGATTGGTATTGATACATCTATGTTCCAAAGAGAGCGTATTTTGTTGAACGCCACATTGTACTTTCTGTATACCCATGTAATAACGTCAGTAAAGACGTATTATTTTGATTATCAATAAGATGTGTACATAGATCTTTTGTCTGCTGTCGCTTATAATAAGATATAAACTGTCAAGACCTCTTGTATTTATATATATATATATATATATATTTTCTGCAGTTGGAAGATACAACCTGAACATACGCATGTGTTAGCGCTTAGATATAATTGATTACTTTTTTTCTAAAGTTATGCTGCTCGTAAGACATGCCAAATACTATGGCAAAGTAACAATTATTTTTGAAAAAAAACAAAATTGCAGTCGATTCGGATTTTAAACTCTAAGTAAATCACCGTATTGATACAGTTAAAGTCTCTGTTTTGAATATACTTTTCTTTGTCCACAATAAATATAAGCACGTAATCTGAAAATTAATTTTGATATCTAAAATTTAAAGAACTCTTATCAAGGATATAAGTTATGTTTTGATAGTACGTAAATCGTTCTTGTTAAAATAAATTTAGATCAGGATTGAAAATGTTTCCCACCAGGCTTATTGATCACTAAGTCATCGTTAATGGGTAAGTAATTTATATAGGGCGTTGGGATTCTACAAAGTGAGATTTCCCTAGCAGAATTGTCCTACTTCTTCATAACAATGAATAATGTCAATAACTA